GAACGATCAAATATGTTTCTGGCAAGGTTATGCATGCAATCAGCGATCTCTGGGCACGCTCAATGTGCCTGGGCGAGGCTATGTGGAGTAAATTCGTTGAAGCTGAGTTGTGCGCCGAAGCACTGTCTCACTTGACCCAAAGAGTTGGGGAATCCGTGTTCGAGGAACTCAACAAGATGGAGATGGATGAAGCACTCTCATACTCGAAAATTATCACGCTTATGACCGCGGCCGCATCTGGAGCGCAACAACAGAATGAGCCACAAGGAGCTTGCCCAGATGATGTCTTCGAGATTCTGTTGAAGCAATTACAGGTCCTGCAAGGGAAGATCGATGACTTGAATGCGAAGTCTGCAGACATATCTTGCGCTATCGAATTCGAGAAATTGCCTGCGCCCTGGACGGCTCGCGCTCGTGAAGTCAAGGCACAAAAGGCTTTGTCACAAGACCTGCAGGAGGAGATGAGTCGCTTGAAATTGAAAATCCAAGAACAGACCATCAGGATCAGTGAAAAAGACAAAGAACTTGAAGAGCAGCAAGTCAAGGTCGAATTACTAGAATCGAGAGCCAAGGAGACCAAGGCCAAGGATGAAGGGGTAAAAGAAATGAAAGAAGAGATCACCAGGCTTCGCGCAGAGAATGCGGCAGCTGTTGAAAACGTCCAGCGGCTTGAGACGGAATACCAGACGCTCCTCGAGTCCCAGGAGAGTCAAAAGATGGAGCTCGAGGCAATCAAACATAAGGGAATGGCAGACGGACAAGGCCTACCACTTGGGCCTGCAGACGAGTCGGCGACGCTGCGTCTAAAAGCGGAGGTTGATCAACTCAAGCTGGAGATCATCAGTCTGCAAGCAGCAATACGCTTCCTGAAGTCCGAGAATCGACGACTCATGGTACCTGTTGGCGACTTGGCACAAAAAGCTGTCGAGCATGAATGGCTTGATCCCAACCATCTCAAGGGACCTTCAAACAAGGACGCCAGGACTCAACAACTGCGTGCCGGTTCGAAGGAGGTGTTTGCGAGCTTGATGGACATGGCCAAGACAGCAAAGCCTGTCAGACTCAAGCGATCTACTACTACCACTCAAGATACCACTGGGAAGACGTCGTACTGGCGAGCACAAACAGATACCACATTGTACCAAGTGCTCCAGCGGAGAGAGGAACTGGAGCGATGGAATGAAATGAAGGATGACTTGCTTAGGAGAGCGAGGATCGTGGCTCAGTCGGGCTATATCCTCAAGCCAAAAGCGCCGACACCGAAATACCGTCCAGCTTCTAAAGTTGGCGTCTTCAAGGTGGCCGATATGGAAGATGCAAACCCGGAGTTTGGGGTGCGAGTTGATGGGATCTGTATAGTATGACGAGAAGGTCTATTTTCGTGGCTGGGGCCATTAAGCAGCATGCCCCTTTGTGAATGTAATTTACAAGGCTGCTAGTCAGTCTCTTGAGAATATCATTTACTCGATACTCCCGATGTGATCTCGGCATTTCCCTCACAGGTCGTCTACAATTCTGAAAGAGGCAACGGCGAGCGAGGATGAACTATTGAGAGTCAGGTAGCCTCGAGCATCAGCCAACGTCTTATTTCAATTGAGAAAGTGTGGCGCGCAGAGCGCATTGACTAGTTCCGAAGACCGATAGACCCTGATCAGACACTGAGTTACCAGGATGAGACTAAGAAATGTCTATGATGACGATACACGGAAATAATGCGGGTTTGTTTAATTTAGGTGACGAGTGTAGACTGACTGTTCTGGGGCTGGGGCTTATGGCGAGGGTACAGTGAGCGAATATGTACCTCGTACGGGACAATTGACTCAGTACCGAGTACAGTTCTCCGTAGGTGCCGCCTGAGTATTATATGATTACCACAGAATTATGGATGCCTTTGTGTTCTGGGTTGCTAATGAGTGGCGGCCGCGAAGCCGACTGCGATAGATTCGACGCCGTTGTTTCTATAGCCGCGGTCGCCCTAGTCGGTTGGCTCTCGCTTTCCCGATCTTTTGTCCTCTTCCCCAGAATTTGTCGTCGCGTAGTCGTGTGACTGGAGGAAGTGTACCTCGTACGGGGTCGAGGGAACCATAGAAGCGCCTTCTCTGTGAAGTATTGTCCTTGTATATTCCCCTCCTTTTTTGCTTTCATTTCTTCCATGTGTCACACCTTGCTTGGCACTCGAGCCATGTTTTTGGATTGCTGGTTGCGGAAGGTAGGTTTTGAAAAGCTTAGGACCCTTGCTTGGGAGGATTGGCATGGATGAGATGAGAGGTCGATCGCGGAGTGGGCAAAGGTCGAGGGATAGGCCAAGTGTGGCTGTGTAAGTTAGTGCAATGATGCTGAGTGATGTGATGGGTTGACGGTCAATTGCGGGTGGGGAGCAGACCTTCTTGTCCTTCGCATCACAAACGTATCGCAGTTCCTTCTCTCACCACGCACCGAATTTCCATCTCGGAGTTGTAGCTTGACCATCTGCTTCTTCCCCCTCCCCGCCACAGTTCACTTGTACCCGCCCATCCCTACCGAACAGCAAAATCTCTCGTCCGCTGCGCCTTAACCTTCGCCAAGCAGACTTGGCGGATACAGCAGAAGGAGACAAAGAGGCATCAAAGCTTCCTGCATCGTTTCCCACGAGGGCCGTCATCTGGCTCAGGAGCTCCTTTCTCCTCTGTTTGCCCCCGCTACAAGCCACTGCTTTGACAGGGCCTTTTTCTTTTCTGCTCAGCGCTGTCTTGGTGGTAGACAATTCCTGCCCCCAGGATATCGAATGGGTACGTGCATGTGCTATATTACACCAGCTCCCTTCCCACCGCAGCACATACCTTCCCATGTCTGGTATTTCCTCCCGTTGCTTTGATCGCATTCACCCTTCCGCACCAGAAAACCCAGTAAAGTATTGGCTGACTTGGAATTGTCGCCTGCTATGGCGGCGTTGCGCAAGACATCTATAGCTGCGAGCACTCTCCGCAAGAAATTCGCCCAAACCGCGCATCCCTCCCGCGACGACATCCTTAACATGCCTGAAGACGGCGGCCTCAACGGCCGCGCTGACCCCAACGAAAGAACCGGTCTTCTTTCGCGAATTACTACCACCGACTCAGGGACACCATTTCACAAACATGAGAACGTCTGGATCAAATACCCTTTCCTGGTGCTACACTTGACCTGGGAGATTCTCAAGACCAACTACGTCAATGTCTTGTTGGTGTTTGTGCCCGTGGGCATCCTGGCGGGTGTGTTGAACTGGGCGCCCTCGCTTCAGTTCATTTTCAATTTCATTGCCATCATCCCTCTGGCGTCCCTCCTCGCCTTCGCCACGGAAGAGCTGGCTATTCCTTTAGGACAGACAATTGGAGGACTTCTCAATGCGACTTTCGGAAATGCCGTCGAACTGATCGTAAGCATACACGATAACATGAAAATCCGCGGCAGGTGCTAATGCTGGAAACAGGTGAGCATCATTGCTCTTCAAAAGAACGAGATCCGCATTGTCCAAGCTAGCATGCTGGGCAGTATCTTGTCCAACATCCTCCTCGTCCTGGGATGCTGCTTTTTCGTTGGCGGCTTGAGGTATCCCGAACAGAGCTTCAACTCGACTGTGGCATCGACCATGTCGTCGCTCATGACGGTTGCCACCTCATCACTGATCATCCCCGCCACCTTGTACGCTGTCATGTCCAACAACAAGGCACAAGATGATAACATCATGATTCTGTCGCGCGGCACGTCGATCATTCTGCTGCTCATCTACGTGGCCTACCTGTACTTCCAGCTCAAATCGCATGCCAACCTTTTTGACGATTCCGAAGCGCAAGAACAAGAGGGCGAGGAACCCCAGCTTTTGGGACCTTGGGCGGCAGGTATTGTTTTGGTGCTCATCACCCTCCTTGTCGCTATCTGCGCCGAATACTTGGTCGATAGCATTGACGCTATCGTGGAAGAAGCGCATATTAGCAAGACCTTCATCGGTCTGATTCTGATCCCCATTGTTGGAAACGCTGCCGAGCATGTCACGGCTGTGATAGTTGCGTGGAAGAACAAGATGGACCTGGCTATTGGAGTCGCCATTGGCTCCAGTCTACAGATTGCCATCTTTGTCACACCTTTCCTGGTCGTTTTGGGCTGGATCATGGACAGACCCATGACGCTGCACTTTGAGACCTTTGAGACTGTAAGCTTCTTCTTGGCTTCACTGGTCGTGGTACTCTTGATCCAAGATGGAAAGTCCAACTACCTCGAAGGATTACTCTGCCTGGGCATGTATTTCATCATTGCTTTGGCCTTTTACGTCTTGCCGGACGATGCGGGCACCGGCCTCAACTTGGGGAAGCTCTTCGGAGGCAGTGGTGGTGCGTGAAAAATGTTCAAGGAATCTCCAAGTGTGGGATTGGAAGAGGAGGATACTCCAACCTTCGTGCTCAATTTCTTTTCTATATTGTATTTTCATTTGTCGAAAGCTTTTTCTACGGCTTGTCGCAAAAGGTTGTGGGTTGAGTGTGAACAGAGCAACAGCAAAAGAGCGAAAAAGAACGGTCGTCATATTCGATTCTCTTCGGGTTTGCCCCAGCAAGCATCCCCTAAACAACAGGGAATGATCAGATGGCGTTGGATGGAATGGACACAAGTCAATGCTCCTCTCGACTTGGTGGTGCTCGCGATACCCAGGTTTTCCACAAAATTTATTAGGTTCGGCTTTCGGGAGTGTAGGGACTCAGCGTTTCATATGTAGATGGAATAGCTTGAAATCATCACAGAATGATGAATAAAAACTTGAGAAACACAGTTGTGCATTCTGCTCCGTTGATTTATCAAGCTGTGTCGATCTAGAGACAAAACGCGGAGCATCATGTGATTGAGTAAAGCGGCAACTAGAGATGATCAGAAGGGGAAACTGCCCTTGGCTGCGGATTGAGCTTCCACATCCGCTCCAGGAACATTGATCTCAGAACAGCCTCTCCAAAACTCTGAATCATCGTCTCAGACGCATTTCACGCAATAGCAAAATGCCGCCTCGACTATCCCTCTTCACGGCCCGATCGGTGCCATTCAGGACAAAGCCCACAGTTCCGCAGAAAAGATTTGCTCCTGCTCCCAGTCTGCAGCATCGCGCAGCCAGCGATGATGCAACGTCCAAGAACCAGTCGCCCAAAACAACGCCACTTCATCCGCAGGCAAAAGGTCCCACCATGGACCAGCTGCCTCATGTGACGGAAGAAGCAGTCGCAGTTGACAAGGCGATGGGGAACACGCCTCCAGATGTGGAACAGGGGACGCCGGTGCAGGAGGTAGGTGGCAGACGCTCGCCCATATAAATTGCTTGAGTTACCAGGCAGTACAGTTATGGGTTCTAGATATGACGGTGGCTGACATATCGGTGGTGCAGATCCTAAAGCGCGACAAAGACGCTCAAGACAAAGCGCCTCGAATCATGAAACAAGAGCTGCAGTCGGAGTCGAACAGCAGCAATAACAAGTCACCTTCGGGCACCCGCTCTTTTTCAACCGCTGCCAGGAGGAACACCGCGGAGATGGAGATGGTGTCGAGCTTGGGAGGATCAGGGGATCATTTGGTGCAGTTCCAGGACACAAGAGTCGTCGGCCTGGAGTATCCGGATGCCGGCTTCGGTCACAAGTTTGGGCTGCCAGATCTGAAGCCGTTGGGCAAAGCGGTGAATTTCAAGAGAAGATATGATCCGGTGGTGGAGCAGGTGACGAGAAGTCTGATGAGGGACGGCAAATTGAGTCGTGCGCAGAAGGTAAGCGTTACTCCGTTGTCCTTGTCCCGATTCAAGATGTGCTAAAAGGTTTTGAATACAGAACATGCAATTCATCCTTGACGCGCTTCGAACCTCGTCAGCGCCTCCGACCAACAAGGACCTCATCAGTCCTTTGCCCCTGCAATCTCTTCCCCTATCTCCTGTCGCTTATCTCACAGCTATAATCGACTCTGTTGCCCCTCTCGTCAAGATTCGCCAGCAAAGAGGTCTATTGGGTGGTGGCGCTTCCATGCCGATTCCCGTTCCCCTACGCCTGCGTCAGCGGAGAAGGACGGCTATTCAATGGATATTAACCGCCGCGGAGGGGAGAAGGGAAGACAAGCTGGCGGAACGAGTCGCCAAGGAACTGCTGGGGGTTGCGGAAGGGAGGAGCTCTGCGTGGGAGAAGCGGGCAAGGATTCACAAATTGGCAATCAGTGCAAGGGCGAATGTGAAGATTGCGGCAAGTGGGAGGAGGACGAGGACGAAGGCCATCAGAGGGAAGTGATTACGATCTACAGACTTGAACCATGTGCTGGTCTCCTTCAGCACACGCGCACACGCGCGCACACCAAAAACAAAAAACAAAAAGGAAAAAAACCAACGAGCAAAAACTTAGTCATGAAGCAGCTCAACTCTGGTTCATGATAAGTGAAACTCGCCCTTTCGGGTTGGTTTTCTTCGTCCGATTATACTACGAATTCTATAAGTTGAGATCGGAGGAGAGAGGGAGGAGGGTTCGGGGGTTCGAATCGAGGACCTGCTGCCTGCTAACCCGATGTTAGTTTGACCTGACAGATCCCAGATATGTGAGTGGCGTGATCGAAGTGAGGCTCGAATCTGAGATCCTGTTGTCGCCCTAGTTCGGGTGCTAGATCCAACTGCGACAGGACCTCAGATACTCGGGAGGTTCGTGGGGTTCGATTTCGCCCTTTGTCGTGGGAAAGGGGGTCTTTGTGTGACAGAATTTGGGGAGAAAAAACTTATAAAGGGTTGAATTTTCGGTGGTATTGTGGAGCTTCACATGGCATGGTCACATGGGTGTGGGTGGTTGGTGGTGTTGTTGTTTGGACCGCACCCTGCTGGTGGTGGCGGTGGTGAATTGGTGAGTGGTGGGCGCGAGGCGCAGAGATTCACAGAGAGAGTCACAGAGACGGGGAGAGAGAGAGAGAGGTTTGTTCACCGAGGACCGAGTACACCACACACTACGCACATATATCTACGTACATGCACGCATACGCATACACACAGCGTGGAGGAGAGAGAAACGATTCCCCCTTTTTGGCTCCAGTAGTGGACGCCGTGTTGAGATATTATCTCATGTATTACATATAGCTGAATCAAAAGTTTGGGGTTTGGGGTTTGGGGTTTCGAGTTATGCAGTCTCAAATATTTTGTTCGCTCTACCGAGTACTATATGTATTTCTTTCCCGATACTCACGTCCTCTTGTGCGGTGCGGAAACAAGCAAGTCCCCTTTAATTGTTGACGGCTTCGCAAGAAAAAGAGTCCTGTGTGATTGGGAGACGCAGGATCTCGAGTCTCCGTGTGGCGTCTTTTCCGCCCATGACCATCTCTCCAGATAGAGGAGTGTTTGCTTTGCAGCGACAGACTCGAATGTGGCTCGAGTCTCGAATGACCACAAAGTGTATCGTCCTCGTCCTCCTTCCTCGCCTTCAACCTTCATCCTTCATACTACCGTTAGTTGACCAGTTTCCCCCTCTCTCTATCAACCTTTAACAACATGGCCAACACGATTCTGCCGTCGCCAAGCACCGGAGAACATTCGTGCAATTCTCACCGTTCCTGAGAGTCTGCTCCCGTTGCCGTTCACCGGGTCGTCGCCAACAGTCCCTCGGCCAACTTCTGCTTGACCTGTCCCAAGCTCTCGTCAGATGTGTCGAGGGCACCCTGCGAAAAACATCGTCCTGAAAACCCTGCGTAGGAAATAATCTTGGACAGCCCTTGACATGTTTGTGTGTTGGTGGTTGGGGGGGAGATGGATGGATTGTTTTTCTGCCCCCCTTTTGGATGTTCAGCCTCGTCACAGTAGGAAGAGCAAGTAGCTTTGCTGTGGTGCTGGGTCTTGGCAGTCGGCTCCACTTTACTCATCGTATCAGACACTCAGATACTCCCACCTACGAGGACCTCGCCTCTCCTCTGCAGTGCGCTGAGCTACAAGTCACCATTGTCGTCGATAGCTCTGCTCTTCAAGTCATGGTGAGTGGGACAACGAGTATAGTATCATTCTAGTGCTCTGGCAGCTCGAATACGCTTCGAGCGAAACCGGCCCTGGGAGACACCCAATTCCTCGTTTCCCGCACAGTATTTCTACACAAACAGTTCTGCAAGCTTACCGGCGGGTACGGTGGTGAGTTCGGCATGCAAAAATTGTCCTGCCTTGGTACTGTCGAGGGGTTCTTTCCTTCAGGATACAGCATGTTTGAGGATGGCGACAGCCAGAGAATGAACATTCGAACTGGCATAGCGAAAAGGAGGGCCGACCAGCTGAACCAGTCCGAGGCCATTGCTGCATCCTATCCATCTTTGAAACGACCTGGCAAGGTTCTGGCAGGGTATATTATGGTCGGGTTCTCGTTCGGCAACTTAATGACTGGTTGCCTGTGACATCCTGAGGTATTGCGGATTGCTATCTTTCACCCAACACGGCATCCCGAGCGGCGAGTGGTGAGTGTACTGACATACCCGACTGGTTGAGTCATTATTTAAGCGGGAAAGAGTCCTCCAGCGACATTACGAAATGTTGAGTTCCTCATAAGATACTAGCTCTCGGGTCAAATCTCGTCAGATATTTCCTAGCAAGAAGTGCATTTTCAAGTGAGGGCGAGGATCTCTGCTATGAAGGTTGTACGGAAGGGGTTGGCGTTGTGGTGGAAGCAACAGCGCATCTGCCCGTCAACAGCCTCGTGGTGCAAGTCTCGGGTGATCAGGATGGATAGGGGGAGGTCGAGGGTGCTGTCTAAGGTTGCTAGCTTGAGGCTCGGTGTCTGAGACGTCGACGATGTTCAGCAGATCACCTCAGAGATTGATGGATGGGAGGGCAGGGGCGGGAACGTGACATTTTCTATCTGTCGCTCTAGCATTGGAAGAGATACAAGGACAGAACCACTTCAAGGACATTGAGTCTGATTGATGGGATACTTGTAACTGGTGCACAAGGTGGTGGTGGTGGTTTCAGCAAAGCCTGCGGCCTTCAAGCGAGCGCAGTCTGGTGCGTAGGAAACCTCATAACTGCAGTTTAGGTACATAGCCAGTGAGATTTAGGCTACGGTTTAACTAGCGGTGCCTGACTAACCATTAATATTAGGTACCAATATTTCTAGTGCAGGTGCCTCTAGGCTTAGCTAGCTTAACCTCCTCGGTAAATCCACTTGCAACCCTCACTCTTTACTCACACTTAGGAAGCATCTTTCCATATCTTGCGCCTTTCTTCACCTTGTCTGCTTGAACTGTAGATGAGAATCTGCATCAAAACTTCATGTCCCACACTGTTGATCGGGTACCATGGCGACGACTGCATCGACTCCACAGACACCTGTCGCATGCTCTCTGTATCGGCGGACCAAGGTGAAAAGCTGCAACAATCAAACCATTTCATACCACTTTTTGCTAACTTGAAGCCCGCAGATGCGCTGTATAGGAGTCCACAGTCCCCGTACGTCCCAAGGCTCCAGAATCCGTCGAAATTGAGTCCTCAATGCCCCTCGAAAGGGACAACAGCAGCCACCAATCTCATCGCTCACTTCGGAGGATTTGCACCAGCGGCAGATCTGGATTAGAGCTTGAGATTCGACCAACTCCATACGCAACCCGCCTGCAGTCGACCCAGCATCGTCTCTGGCATATTCCCACGAAGCCTCTCTTCCAGAGACAGACGAGTGTATCCTGCAAGCAGCTCATGGCACAACAAATGCGAATCGCCCAGTTTGCCGTCTCATCGAGCCTTGAATGTCTTTGGCTCGAGTACGCCCCAAAAACCGTTATCAAAGCCCTGGCACAGCCTGGATCGGATGAAAACGCCGTCGCTGCTGGGGGATCGCCCAGTAGAACCCCGCCAATCTGTCCAACAACTCTTCAGTGGAGCTCATTGAATTGTAAGCGTCAATATATGTATGTGCCCTGTGGGGGAGACACACTGATCAACGCATTGCATTCCCGGGAGAAGATCCTGTGCTATATGCCTGGTATTGGCAACGAAGACCTCAGGAACTTGCTGAAGATGCCGACACACAGGCTGTCACTCACTGATTGTGCAGGTTTCATGGCATCTCAGTTTATATCGGAAAGTGCCAGTACCCGCCAACAACTTTTCCGACCCATCTCGGGCTTCATCAGGGTCATTGGCGGGCCTCTAGCAGAGGATAAACATACTTCGTGGAACAAATTGCCGGTCTCTGCACTCCTCTATGCCTACCCTCCCCCCCGCAAACATGTTTGGACTCGCAAGTGTTCCTCCGCCTCCAAGATTCCTGAATCAATGGGTCTCGAAGTATTCTATCGAGGCGAGCCGAACTTTATTGCCCAATCGACTACCCAGAAGAAGTGCTAGAGAGAAGACGAACGGAGATACCAAAGAGACTGGCCTTGTTGAGGTGCGTTGACTAGCTTTGGTAGGCGACTATGTCTCATCATTTCCCTGTGGCCCGCATGCCTCCATCTATCAGAGAAGATAGCACCATCAGTCCAGCGGCTGCCTTGCTAGAGACTCGCCAATGCCAACACGTGTGGTCCGTGTCCTCGACAAGGTCGATTTTCATACTGTGGCAACAAGCAGGTCGAAGGGCTCCTGGCCGGTGGTGTAAACCATCTGGTGCTATGGATATGTAGCAAGTGGTAGCATCGCTGGGAGACATGCACAGGCCCCTTACGGTCTGGGGTCAATGATGGGGTCTCCACGGAGAAATCCATCTAACCATTCGAATATGGACGTTTTCAAAACCAGAGCCGTGGATTTCGACGCTCAAATTACCGGCCTCTGCACCACTACTTTGGGGGCAGCAGGTATATTCTTGAAAAGCAAAATCAGCTCTTGACACCCGTACGACATCTCAACAAACCCCTGGCTGAATTGCCAGAGCATCCCTGGTGAAGTCTTTGGAAGCAGCCAATATCTGTTCTCGATGTGTCAAGGTTATAACACCACCGAAACTCGAAAACATCAACGTGGCCGCTTCAGGTATGCGCGACGGCATGCTGCTTTCTCTACCAAATATAAGCTTGCGAGCTACTCGGCTCCACCCTTCCAACCCCGACAAAATGCCTAGAATCCGTTGAACAAATGGCAACGTTCTTAAGACCAATGGCTGCTGCGAACAACGCTGCTCCTCGCTTCTATGGCAACTCAATATTGCGGTTGCTCAAAAAGCCCCGCTGAACACCGAGCACTACGGCGTACTCGGTAGGCGACCAATTATGGACAGAAGAGCATGAGAGAGTCGTACCGAGTCGTCCAAAAGCCCGATTGTGTCGATCTCGGAAAGAAATCGAGGTTCGGATGGAAACCATTGACGATTTACCCGAAGTCGATGGATTGCAAGGTTTTTCGCGGGCCTGCCCACAACTCTCTGTTAGTTGCTCCATTCTCGAACCTAGCTGGGGGCCTTTTGAGATAGAATGCAAGGTACCCAGGTACAGCAGGCCTCTTACTCGGTGAGATGGCAAGTATGGACTCTGAAATTTACAGCTCATGAGGTCACTTCAACAATGTATGATCTATCAAAGCACCAGAGCTGTGGGTATGATTGGCGAACATCCCTCGATGTATTCCCCAGGTTTACTCCGTAGGGCGGAGCTCAACAGTTCACCAATCAGAGACATTACTCGAGGGACGCGAATCTGGACCAACCAAGGGATCCGGATGCAACGGACAGAGGAGTGCCCACCGCGCACTAATAGCAAAAATGTCAACTGCTGTCAGCGAGATTGGTGCAAGCCATGCAATTCCAGCTTTCCAAGGTATACTGCACAGTGACAGGACACCTTCTCGACTTCTGAATGGTTGGATCAACGAAACCTTTTGTGGCTGGGCTCTCAGCGGATGCGAGAAAAAGCTGATCTTACCAAACCACATAAAGACACTGAATGATCCTGGACCAGTACAAGGATCAGAGCCCACATGTTACCCATCTTGTCTTGGCTGCAACCTCGCTTCAACTTCTTTCCTCTTCATCATTGGGATGCCGTCAATGCGGTATCCAAAGACCGCTGCATCGTCCACTCACAACAGGAGATCGACTCGCAGCCTGCATTGCAGCTGTCAGATAGAGCTCAGTTGAACCTGGTCTCACAGCTGATCGCCAGTGTCTTGTACCTTTTACAGATCTTGCTTTCCAGCCCCTTGCGATCCTAGACGCTCCCAACCTGGTGGTCTGCAAGGGTCAAGAGGTGCAGTACTTTCAGCTTGGCTATTACGACCATTCCTGCACGTCACACCCACACCCAAGCCCCAGGATTCGACGATCCAGAGCCAGACTCTAATCTCCAACTGGCTACTAACTTAAGCTCGGAACGGTCATCCGGCATTCGCTGGACTCTTTTTCTCGCAACTCTATTGTTCTCGTCACTATCCACAGCCTCCATCCCTCGCATGGCAGTTGGAAGTTATGCTTCTGACTTTCTCTCTAGGGAGGACTCTCTGTCGTTCCCAGAACCGGACATCCGACACTTGACAGGTGCACATTGGGACAAGGACAGCCGGCAAGATATGCTGAAACTTCTGTACCATCCCTCTAGCCCCGACTTTGACAGGCAATCAATTTCTCGATCTTGACCTGACCTGCCAGGGTACGAGTATGTGTGAGCCTCGCCACTCCATGGTGGGCCTGGCTAATGGGTTGCCGGGACTTGGGACCGCCCTTCCGTGCCGGTGCGCGACGACGGGTTGGACCAGAATCAAAACTCTGAACAAAAAGCCTAACAGGAACGAACCAGGCGCATCGGTAGGTACGAGTTACTCATACATGGAGAGCCAAGTCCCACTGGGCCCATATCTGGGCCTGTATAGCATTAATCCAACTTCTCATGGCTCGACGGCACGAACACGCCGTATTTCCGAGTTGACAGGTCGTGCGCTCCACCCCTCCCTCCCTCATGAGGACGAACGGAGAAAGCAAACAGTCCTGAACTCTGAATCGATCCCTTGCGAACCAGGCATCCGAACCTTTATTCCCAGTCGCCACTGGCTGGACTCGTCTGCGGTCCTTCGCTAGCCCACAACTGACATCTTGGACTTGGACTCTTCTGGTGCGAGCTTGTTCTACAGCCCTCGCCACGGATCGAAGTGGCAAGCAATTCTCCGGACCCATGAAAATATTACCAAAGCCAGGGCAACTGGGTTGTGGTGCTACAGAAAGGTGCGAGTGTCGTCTATATATCGGGTGTTTGACACCCTTGGGTGTTCGGATAGGTCTACACCTTTCTCTGAGGTTACCTTTGCACGGCGACCTGCAGCACTTTCAAACATGTTGGAATCCAAGGATGCCGTCCTCGTGGCTACAAGCCTTGTGCTTGCTGTTTCCACCATCGTCTCTGTGACGATCGAGTTGGAGAGGCAATTGGCGACCGTTGGGCGGTTGACCGCCAGCAAATGTGAGTGCTTTGCAGGAAAGTTGGCGAATGATTCGAAGGCGTTGGCTGACCTCTCGCAGGGTTTTTGGTTCTGAGTGCGGTACGATGGACCCATTTCGCAGTTTCAGGCCCTCACTCATCACGGTGCAGTTCTTCGCTCTGCTGATGACCTCTATTGTCTGTGCAGGTAAGACACTAAGCTAAAGCTTCGTGGTTGTCATACTGATATGTGCTTCAGCCGCGGCCAAAGGGCTTGGAGCTTCCATCACTCCTGTCGAGTTCCTAACCAGAGAAACTCTGCAAAAAGTCAGTCTCCACCTTTCCCAACGCTGTTCTGTCTGTAACGACTGCTGACGCCAAAATAGCTCATCGTTGCAGCCCTTCCCCCTTATTTCCTGTGCAACATGTTCGTCAAACATGCATGGTTGACGTTCTACTACGGCCTGGCACAGACTCGTGCCCAGAGATATTTTATCCACTTGATGCAGTTTTCTGCCTTTACCTTTGGCCTCAGTTCTGTGTTCGTCATATTGCTGCAATGCATCCCACTGAGCTACGCCTGGCGTCAATACCAAGATCCGACTGGCGAGCTCGAGAAGGGGAAGTGCATCAACTTGTTATCCTACTTCTATTTCAATGCCAGCTTCATGATTGCCAATGATGTGGTCATGTACCTGATACCGATGGTATTGCTGTGGAAGGTCGAAACACTTCGTGAACACCGGTGGAGCCTATATGCGTTGTTCGCTGTCTGTTTCGTGTATGTGGTAACGCTCTCGTTTCCAGGGAACTCCTTTGCTAACACCTGACTTCAGTGTCATCTTGGCTAGCATCTTTCGACTCGTCGCCGTCTACGAAATTGATACTTCGCCCAACAGGGTCTCAGGTATGCTCTCCTCGCATCCCTTCTCACCCTTTCACATAGGGTCTAGATCACCGCAAGCTTGCTAACATGCCATGTCAACTTACAGAAAACTACGCTCTGGTCTTCATCTGGGCGGGCGTTGAAAACCACATCGGCATCTGCGCCGCCTGTGCGGGTGCACTCAAGGCGCGAGTGTGCATGACTTATCGAAGAGTCAAGATGCTTTCCGTCGACCTGCGCAACAAGTCGTGGCTTGCATCCGTATCGGCACCTGGTTCCGCATCGACATCGACGGGCTCACGAACAGACACTGCTACTCGAAGCCAGATCACAGAGGAGCGAACCCTCTACGAGCGGACAAGCAGTCTACCGTCGTTGCACTTGGCTGGACCCATCTCGTTCGACAAAGGGCCCACAGGCACAGTCACGGAGCTGGTCGACATCCGACAGCCCAAGTCGGCGTATTCTTCGGCCTCACATTCGCGAGCAACGTCTGAGGACAGTCAAACTTCAACACTCCAACAAAAGTAAGCAACAAGAGTTCCGCGGTCGGGGCCACAAGTGGATGTCAAGCACTGGTCTTCTTGGGTGATGCTGGTAATGCGGATTGGTCACACTTGTCCGCAGCAGTATCTTCCATCCCATCCTGTGGTACCTCAACCCCTGCTCCGCCAAAAAAAAACCAAAATCGGTGAACGAGTTTGACGGCTTAACTGACGACGGCTGTTACTGATACTATCACGAAAATGAGAAACAATATCAACGAAAAGTCGAATGCAAGGTGTTTATGACTAATGTATGTGGCTACGAAGGTTGGGTTGGATTGAGAGGCATCTCTGAATGAATGATTCGAACGGATGGCAAAATGTCAAATGGGACTTGAAGGGCAATGATTTGGCGTCCTGCTCTTCCACGGGTCGGTCATGGAGTGGTCTGGTGTTGATGATGATGATGGCGACGGTGATGGAGTTACGATCACGGCTATTGCCATGGCTATGGCTGCCACTTACCTATACCTCAAGGCGAAGACTGGGGTTGGCATTGGATTTGATCAGCTAGCGATCATGTACTCTGGAGATATTGGGATAGTACCACAGTAGCCGGGAAGTGTGCCAGTCACTCGTACGTAGGATGTTACTTTACATCTCGGCTGTCCCTACCGATGTGACAGCGGCAGCGACGTGTTTTAATGAACGATATTCGACCTGCACTCTATCCCGTCCCCATCCCTAATCCCCGACCCCTCACACAACGACTTGGTAAATCGCATATTCTACCTTCTCAACTCCCCCAGGCCCAAGAATCAGCGCGACCTTGGCGACCAGCACGGCAAAGTTCATCCACCAGTACTCCCTGCTGGAGGTGTTGCACCAGAGCACCTCGGTGCCGTATAGCGCCGAAGGCATCCCTTCTTCTTCATTGGTGGGAGGACCAGCCGCGGTTTTGGCTGCGTCTGCGTCTGCATCTGTGTCCGGGGCCGGGGCAACAGCGCCGTCCAAGGCGCCCATGATGGGCCCGGTGAGCTTATCGTACCCGACGCCGTGGAACTTGAACAGCGTAGTCGACCCCGTCGTCGGGTCCGGCTCCGTCTGCGCAATGACCCGCAGGTCGACCTCGATGGTCAGGTCGTCGACGTGTCGTGTGAAGTAGTCACCGCCGCCGGGAATCACGGTGGCGATCTTCTCGCCCGCCGGCGTCGTCAGTTCCCCCGAGGGCGTTTCGACCCAGCTGATCCGGCCGCGAGGGGTCGCGCCGGCGTCGAGCACCGCGGTCGTCGTCAGGGTGAGGTTGAGGACGTGGTTCAGCGTCGGTGGCGAGGTGGTAGTATTCATGGCTGGGAGCGGATCTGATTGGCTTTTTTTTGTTTTGCGTCCCGGACTGAACCGAGTATATGGTATGGGTGTTGTTTTGAAAATGACGAGAAGTCGTGATGTCGTGTTCCCTGGGGTTTGTATTGGGTCCTTTGTCCTGGTTCTACCGAACTCACCTGTGATTATATTGAGAGAGAGAAGACAGGATGACAGACAGGCCTCGCTCATCGTGCTTTCAACGGTAGTTTATACAACGCATAGCACGGGTCTCACATTTAGCCAGTAGTGACAACTGGCCATTGTCCTGGGAATATTTCCCCCGGAGAAGGTAACAGTCTATCCTACCGTGTCGGGGGCACACTTAGAGAAACCAACGAGGTTTACGTGCGAATCGTGTTGCTGACTGCATGTGAGGTATGTATTTATATACGCCACCCCGTCCTGGAGGGTTTAGTCATGCACACCGCCCCGAGCTAGGTAGATAGCGGGCACATCAGTGAGGAACGTGTATCTTCTCTGGCGATTAGCCTTTCGTATATGTATGGCTTATGGAACAACGGAGTATCAGAACATATGAACTCGGAGGAGAGTTGCAAGTGGGCAACTTATGTTTTTCTGTTGGGCTGAGTGAGCGAGTCGGCCTATAGTTTCTCCAGCCCTTTTCATGCGGGTTGGGTTTCGGTTGCCACTTTGGCCCGGGGCTCAGGTGGCTGTTTGTGTGCTGAGAACTTCTCCTCCCTCTCCCGTGGGCTATTTGTGACAAGGGAATACCAAAACCCCATTCTGATTCCTCTGTCATGAGGTAGAAACGACAACAACACAGCACACGTGTTCGATCTGTCCAGAGCTCTTTCAAACCTGTCAACTAGGAGAGAGATACAGAACGAAAGCGCCACTTAGCGTCTCGACTCAAATGCTCTGAGAATTCCACGTGCGTCTTTTGATGACACTATGCGGCAGCACCACCATCTATGGGAACTACGGCGCCTGTGATGAAAGACGCGTCGTCGCTGAGCAAGAATGCAAACAACTTGGCCACCTCGTCCGGCTTGCCTTTTCTCCTCAGCGGCAAGTTGGTGTATGTGCTCGTGGTCTGGCTCGAACCTGACGAGCGAGGACCTGACAGGAGTTTCTCCAGCATGGGGGTATCGATCGGACCGCTAATTGGAAGTCAGCTTGAAATCCCCCCCGGGGGGCAAGGACGATTGAGATATGTTACTACTCACGGCGCGACAGCATTGATCCTGATCCCTTGCGAACCAACCTCCTTCGCCACCGTCTTGGTCAATCCGACAATGGCGTGCTTCGCACAGACGTATGCCCCCAGCCCCGGCCGACCAAACGTGCCTGACAGGGAAGAGGCGTTGACGATACTGCCGCCGCTCTTCATGACCCGGATCTGCGCCCGGACGCAGTACATGGTGCCCGACAACGTGACGGCAATGACCTTGTCCCAAGTTTCGTTCTTCAGGTCTTTGACGTCGTTGAATCCACCGTCAATGGCGGCCAGGTTCGCCGCGGCATCCAAGCCGCCAAAGTGTGCCACTGTCGAATTGATCCAGTTATCCACCGCATCACTCGAGGCGACGTTGAGAACGGTGCCCACGACCTCGACTCCCTGGCCTTGGAATTCTTGCACGACCTTGTTGAGAGCGGCTTCGTTCAGATCCGCCAATGCCAATCTGGCGCCCCTCTCTGCTAAGAGTTTTGCTAGTGTGAGGGCGATGCCAGACGCCGCCCCCGTGATGGCAACTGCTTTGCCCTTGAAAGACATTATTTTGGTGATAGAGAGAAAAGGAAACCGTGGACCTTTGCGTCGTGTCGTTTCACCCAGAAACAGGAGTAAAACTCGTGTGTTTTTTTTTATGTGATACCCGCCCCAACCCGCGGCAGGATGCCGAATGCTTTCCGTCTCCGAGAACTGTGGCTGCTGCGTGCCCACCCTTTGCTCCGCGTTTGCCGTTTCCCCAGTCAGAGTATTGAGCCATACTCCGGACCGTTGGGCGGGGAAATAAGGTTAGGAGACAGGTTTTGCTCCCAAATATGATACCCGAGGATTGTTGTTCGTCGTTGTGAGCCAAAACTTCGCGGTCTACGTCTCTACACAGACACACACACACACACACACACACACACACATATCCTTTTGGAGTCATGAGAATACTTCCCGCCTTTGAGTTACCAAATGAAGCGTAGCTCAATGAACAAGGCATGCATAACTTGGCGTTATTGTCTACCCTGGAACGAAGATGGCGAGTGCTTTCATTCCAATCAGTACCTGGCCCGGTATACACCTACCTATATTCAGGCAGACCCCTCACCTTCAGAAGCCTCGCGAGATATTTCTTCCGACAACGGGGGTCAAACTATGACGCCGGAGAAGTCATAGCTGAAGACAGACGCCACGTCGATTACTTTTGGCCGGGAGGAATTCGCAAATGGAGAATGCCAAAAAGAACGGTTGAGCAGGAACTCGAAGGTGCACTTTCCAAAAGAGAATCGCCCCCTCCCCCCACGAGTGAAGCCGCGGCCGAAACGTGTGATACCCATGCCCGCCATCACTTGGTCAGTGGGACAGCTGGTTACCCCTTCACTATTACCTCGTACACTGTTATTGCCGTTCCTGGCACTAGCCGATCTCGCAAGCGAATTGTAACGCGTTGTTATTGGTGGGAGATAGTCACCATTCCTATCAAGGACATTCAAGCTAATCCCGATACGTTGTTAACTGGTTCGGTTCGGAGTGATCGGCACCGAAGCACCGATGGCGGCATAGTAGAACGAGTGTTGCATCATCGCATAGCACTTTGTTCCAGCAACGTCAATACAAGCCTGTATAGCCTTGAGACAATACACCACCACCCCTCTCATGAGCCGACATCTATTCCCTGCCTGATCTAGTAGTCGTTGTACCCCTCCTCCGGATCCTCAAAGTACCACGCGTTATCCTCGCCTGGCTCCTCCATGGTCGAGAAGCCATTGCCGAGGAACTGGAACCGATTGTCCGTGTGGTACGTGTACTCCCAATCTTCCAACCTCATGTGCTTCAGCATGTGGAACCAGTGGATGCGACCTCCGGGGTGCAAGGCGATGATGGGTCCGTCGACCGTCCCGTTCTTGAACCAGCTGCGGCACGGCGTGGCCCAGACGGTGCGCTTCATGAATTCTGTCGTGTGCACACCAAAGTCCCGGATCGCCTCGACCTTGGGACTCACAGACTTGATGTTCTGCGTCTGCATCTTCTTCATCAGGTTGATGAGGTATTTCGTCGTGTGTTCGATGATGGGGAGGTTCGAACCGTGCGCCACGGGTGAATTCGGTCCTAGGAACACTGAAATTCAAAGAACTTGGTTCAAAGCTCGAAAATTGGTGGCGGAGGAGGAGACTCACTAAAGTAATTTGGAAAGTTATTTGTCGCCATCGAGAGGTAGGCTTCTGGCTTTTGTGACCACTGCTCTGAGAGAATCGTGCCGTTTCGCCCGGTCAGTTTGAACCGTGGACAAAACGAGATGTCGAATCCCGTGGCGCAGATGAACGCGTCAACCCTGACAATCTCGCCGGTGGCGAGCTGAATGCCTTCCGGCACGACTGATTCGATACGATCGGTGATGACCCTCGTGTTGGGTGCCATTAACGCTTCGAGATACCCATTTCCCGGTGTTGGACGGCGACAAGCCACGCCAAAGGTTGGAATCAAGGCTTTCGTGAGACGTTCATTGTAGTGGAGTCTCGTGCGCATCTCGTTGATCGAGTACAGCCGTGCCTCTTCCTGTTCAGGACTTCCCATGATGGCCTTAACACCAACGTCAGCTATTGTGGTGAATTTGGTGGTTTTTTTTTTTTGGTTGGTTTTTTTGGAGAAAAGCAACCAAAAAGACGCACAATCTTAAATCGACGGTTGAGTTCGCTCTCGATTGACTTTCTGTACTGCATGTATTTCTTGGGATCTTCCCTGAATTCCTTTTTCTGTTGTTCACTGACTATTTGTGCATCTTTCGTCAATCACGGGCCTCAATTGCGGAAACAAGTAGATGACAAACCACTTACAAGCGAAATTTGCGCCCCCAGGGCCGGCGTGGTCTTGTGCGAATCCCGCAGTGATCCAGGTCGGTGTGCGAATGAATGTTGTCAAAGACTTGACAGCTGTTTTTGATCAATAAGCCTACAAAAGCCCCCAAACAGGCCACGTTGCCAACCGGTGTTCATTTACCTGGCTGTATGGTGGGAACAATTTGAATGCCAGACGATCCGCACCCGAGAACGGCAACGTTTTTGCCTCTGAAATCGTAGCTGTCGTCCCAAGCGGCGCTGTGTATCAAAGCGCCTTTGAAGGAGTGCAAACCAGGAATGTCTGGCCACTTCCAATTACTAGCAAAAAACCCATGTCAGCTGGATGTTACCTCGACCAATATCTCTCGGCATAACGTACTTGAGAATTCCACAGCCATTGATAAAGACGTGTGCCCAGTCCTCTTTCGTGGCCCCGGTCAGCACGTCTTTGACTTTGATATTCCAGATGCCTTGGTCCTCGTCCCACGATGCCTCTTGGACAAAATGATTCAGTTGCACGTGCTTGTACAGCTCATACTTTTCCGCAATGTCCTTGAAGTACTGCAGGATCTCTTGGGCACTCGAATAACTGCCATGTTTTTTGGGTCAGAAAAGCAAAATCCCGTGCAAAATGAACGAGCATGTGAATAAACGTACAAATGTGTCCAATTGGGATTCGGCTCCCACGTGAACTGGTAGTTGTGAGAAGGAATGTCGCAGGCGCAGCCAGGATATCTCGCAAAGAGGTCTGTCAGTATGCTCATCAAGAGTGGGAAACCCAACGGAAATTTCCTTGGTTGAAGGGAGGGGGGCATACTTGTTCTCGAACCAAGTGCCTCCAACGTCGGCATTCTTGTCGTAGATGGTCAGCTCGTAGTTCTTCATGTGCAACTCCATGTGTCGCGCTGTGTTGAGTCCACTGGCACCGGCACCCACGACAACCACGCGAAGGTGCCTGGGCGTGCCCAAGGGCTCCTCCAGGACGGTATACCCGGTGTTTGTCTCTTCGTAGAAACCTGACAGGGGAGGGTGGGATCCATGTCCATTGACCTCCGTTGGCGCCATCTGAGTTTGTGCTGTGAGATGATATGTAACAACTCGTGGTAGAGATTCCAAAGTACTTCCCCAAGAAGGTCGAAAAATCAGAGCAGCGAACTTCGATTCACACGGTACCGGCGTAGTTAATCAAGTCAGAGATAGTCATTTTCAGTCTAAAAGTATTTGAACCTTAAAAGCGCAGTAGAGTGTCTGCTACACAGTCACAACTGGCGTGAGAATTTGCCGTTTGCGGCTCACGGCCTCGGTTCGGCTACCAGGCAGCATGTCGAGGCTGGAAGGGGATCACACGTGGATGAACCTTTCTTCTGACAACCGAGAACTGAGAACTGGTAACCGGACAAGGATGCATGCAGCTTCGGCAGACCAGACCAGACCAGACCCGAGCCGCTGAGTAACATGAAAAAAACCACCGGGCAAGGGCTGTGGTCAAGAGTGGAAAGATGCGAGAGCGGTTCTCGACTGTTATTGAACAACCTTTCCATCAATTAGAGCAAATTGACCTACAGTGAAGATGAATGCACAGCTACCGTCGGTCGGAGTCCAAGGATTCCTGGAGAGCCAAACACATGACTATTCCACCGACTCAAACCTGAGGGATGCGACTATTCTTGGGAGCGAAGCATAGAAATGGAGTGGCGACCCCTGCACAATATGGCTTGCTTGCTTGCCTCTTGAAGACGTCAACAAATATAGATACAGGACTCCCGGGTCTCGAATGAACTAGACTTGTCGAGAGAATTTCAACCCGCAGAGTCCTCCATCAAAAGTGCCCATCTTCACTGTAAAGCCTAGAATAAGGCTCTCAGGCACCCTTGTATTCACGTTCCTCCGAGATGACCAGAGTCTTCTCCTTGACAAAGTCCGGGCCTTCAGACTTCATCAGCTCTTGATCCAACCTCTCCCTTTCTTCGGCTGTCATGTTTGAGAGATCGATGAGAACTTCGTCACCAAACAACGTGGCGATTTCCTCCAACGTCAGGCCTTTGGTTTCCGGGCTGTAATACCAAAAGAGTGGGAGGCCCACAATCATGAGGGCGATGAAGAGGAAGAAAAACTTGTAGCCGACGTTGGCGAAAGCGGTCGGGGCGACCTCGTTGTAGATGATGGCAGCGACGAGATACCCGGTGAAGGCGAATGACAGGCCCTGTGCGCGCGCGTGGGTGGGGAATATCTCGGTACAATAGATGAACGAGTTCGCGTCGATGCAGCTGCCATAGAAGCCGACCAAGGCGAAGATGAAGAATACCCCGAATCCATTGCCTACTTTGTTGTCGGTTCCCGCGAAGCAGGCAATCATGGCGGTGGTGCAGGAGAGCATCACGAGGCAGCCGAACTGGAGACGGTGAGGTCAGTGACTTTTCAGAAGAGGCCTTTTATAGACTGGTGCTTACGACTCCGACTGTGATCATGAGGATACGGCCCCAGCGGTCCACGACCATAGCAGCAAACAAATTGCACCCGGCAGCCCAGGAGAGGTAGACTGCGGCCAGGAGGAGTGGAATCGAGTCGTGAAGACCTAGGTTATTGTATAGCAATACCTGGTAGTTGGCGACGACAACACACCCGGTAGATTGGGCCAAAAATCTGCAACAGTCAGTTCTATCTGGATTGAAGGGGGGGTGGGAAAAGAAACATACTGAAGGCACCATGAGATTACCAGACGACGTCGGTATGAGGGAACTTTCCACATTGCCCACAGATTGTTCGGCTTGGTCCTTTCGTACTCGATCTGCGCATGGATTTGGTAGTACTCCTCGCGGGCCATCAGGTCGTTGACGTCTTCAGACGTGTGGTGGAGCTTCTTCAGAATGTCCATGGCGCGATCGTCCTTGGCCTTATGAACAAGCCATCTGGGAGATTCAGGCACCCACGGGGAGGCCACGATAAGGGCAAGAGGGGCGACGACTGGACCACGAGACCCCGATCAGAATCATCCTCGACAAGTGCGTAATGATATGGACGGCTTTACCTTGAAGTGCCAAAAGTAGACGCCATTGGATCTGGGGATTCGCCTGGAAATAACACCCAAAACCACTCCATCCTGCAACCGCCTGAAGTGCTTGTTAGGATTTTGTTGGGAAGAAGAACAACAAAGGGCAACTCACGTATCCAGCCACCAACAAAAAGCCGTGTTGGCCGACCATGCGACCTCTAATGTTGGATATTAGCAACTTTGGACCACCCGTCGGGGTGCAGAAATATCGATCATCATCTCACCTTTGTGCGGCAGGCGAGACCTCGGATTGGTAAATGGGGACGGAAACAACAATCATTCCAGACCTTAATCAAATTGTGTCAGTATCAATTTGGTTGACAACGAGAATCTCTGCCTGGTACTCAGAATCCCAGGGCAGTTGGGAAAGCCGTACCCTGCACCACCGATAGTACGGCCGACGAGAAACATGGCCATATGCACCGAAGCACTCTGTATAATAGCGCCGACCACGCAAATGGCACAGGTAATCTGTAAATTGCGGATACGACCGTATTTGTCGGCCAGCCAAGCGGCGAAGAGACAACCGATCAGACCGCCTCCATAATAGGTGCCGTTGGAAGCTATATCGCCCACGAGTGAGTGACTTTCGTCGTAGCAGAAAACATTGAGGGAATTCTGGCTTACCCCCCAAGATACGGTTAGACGCCGAACCACCGTCAATCAACGAGATGTCGTAGTACGAGAAGAAGCCAGGGAGACTGGTTCGCCCGTTAGTCCAGAGGTTCGGTACAATTGTTCCCAAGTCACTCTCACCCCATGACAGATCCAAAGGACGCGGCGTTGAACCCAAAGGCGAAGGAACCCAGGGCCACGGTGAAAATGATGATGAAGTTGTAGGCATTTCCACCGTGGTTGCGAACGTTATCTGCCGTCATGTTGGAAGGGAACTATGTGTACCAGCAAGAGGTACAAGGGAATGATCTGAAAGTGTCAAACTTGGCAGCAAGATCCTTTTCGACGGGGCCAAGGTAAGTATATCTATAAATCAGCCCTCCGCCAACCGCCTCAACCACGGCCTGAACCTAAATCCTTTCATACTACCTCGGGCCAATGTACATGGAGCGTTTCGGCGATGAGGAGTATGATCCGGGTCAGAGAGGTCTAGTCCTGAACTACCTGCGAGCCGAAATATAGTTGGAAAACAATCGAAGCAGGCCCGCCTGAGCAAGGAGGTGAACGTGTGTCTGGGGGAGGCGGGGGAATTCCCCAGGATTGCGGAGATTGATCCCCAGTAGTACCAGTTTGCCAGTTTGCTAGTAGCAAGGACATGTTGGAGTAAGGGGGAGTGGATACTCGGTACAGCACTTAGAGTCCGTGTCGGTGAGCCGGTCTGTGAGGTTTGCACCAACGAGCTACCTATGATACTTGTGTAGAGTACACCCTTGTATAGATCCGGCCTTCAGTTCCCGATGCGTTGTCGGAACGCGGCTCACTTGCCGTCCCTAAATTTGTAATCACCTCGTACATAATATTGGAGGCTGTGGCGGGCCGGACGCGTTTCCAACCAGGGTTATATACACGCGGAGATACATGAGACAATTGTGGCTCACGTGGCCGTCAATGTCCGCCATTGAGATGCTATTGGGGATACTCTGCCAGGGTACGAGGGTATTTTTGTTGCGTATATAGCTTGCAATGAGTGAGTTGAGACACTATGGAGTCGAATGTCAATACTGTCTCTTCTCCAGCAAAGTAAATATATCACAAGGCGTCTGCTGCCGTTAACCCGTCCTTTTTGGACAGCCCCTCGAGATTCTCAACCGGCTGCTTTCTTGTGTCCTTCGGCTTCCTGATACACTCTTAGTCTTTGCCGAAGTTGATAATAGAGGCGTGACAAGACTTACCGCCACGCGATGACTAACTCTCAACGTCTCTGACTGCCAGATTGCCCTGGGGTCAGGCGCTTTCAGGTCATCTCGCGCAACATCGATGAACCCCTCAGGCGCAAACTTCCGCGGGAGTATGACTATGGCGCGGCCTGAATGATAGCGTGAGTAAAAGGGAGTGAGTATTGATATATGGCTAGGCCCAAATACCGTTCATCGTCTTGTCACTTGCAATTCTGAGGGCTGCTCTGCCCGCGTCTTCGAGAGTCGCAAAGTCCAGATTGAGTTTCTCCAAACGCTGTATAACTTCCTCGCTCATGATGGGAGTTTTGGTGAACCTGGCGCGTATTTGTTAGCCAAAAGAACAAGTATGTGGGAAGATCGCACAGGATTCACCATGGACATAGAAAGTTGACCCGCACGTCCTGCATCCAGCTCGTTCGACGCAAACTTCTCATCAAGCCTCGGACTCCAAATTTCGATGCAGAGTATTGCGGCGTCCCCGGTTGATCGACGTATGCCGCAGTACTGCCCTGGAGGATCAAGCAACGGTCACGATGTTCATCGACCGGCGACTTGCGGAAATAGTGCATTGCCAGCTTGACCGTGTAAAGGACTCCGATGAGGTTGATATTGACGATCCGCAGATTTGGCTTGACAGGGGGTCCGGATGGATCTGGGTCGTTCAGAAAAGTTCCAAGACACTGCGTTCTTTAGAGGTAACTCACCATCGAGGTCAAAGACATCGTCAAGTCCACTGACCCCGGCGTTGGCCATGACGATATCACAGCTCTTTGCCGGGGATTTGCTCATGGCTGTTTCAAAGAGTTGTACCTGATCATCCCATGAAGTCACATCGCATTTGACGAATGCGGCTTGCCTACTGCAAGTTAGCGACTGCCTACCACTCAGAACAAGGACAAATACCCCGGAAACTGCGAGACGAGCTGTGACCCTTCTGCTTCGTTCAAGTCACCTACAGTGACGAAGGCACTACAGAGGGGTTGGTTGGTCAGCATCTGTCCTGATCATGAATGGCAAAAGATTGTCTTACCCTGCACCCAGAAGTGCATCAACATAACTCCTGCCGATCCCACTACAGCCTGTACGAGAAATGGCGAGTCAACCCTGCGGCCAATTTCGACCCGGTGGAGGGCGAGGTACCTCCCGTGACAATCACACTCTTATCCTTTAGTTGTGCGAGATCTGGTGGTGCTGAGCAGTCAACCGGACCTCGATCCTCGTACTTGGGTACAGTCATCATGCATGGAACATTCAATCTATCGTCCTTTGAAAGTACATTGAGTAAAGTGTGGGTGCTCGCCTCGAAACCAGTGTGGTCGCCACTTTAATAGATAAAAGCATTGCCAATCCAGCCTCTGGTTCAGAGTTACCCGAGCCGAATCGACGCTTGCTCATGGCCTTCGGAGGGGGAGTTGGTAGTGGTATTTCTCGGGGTACGTTCTCTGACCAACATGGGATTACCTAAACTACTTGTATTCTGAATTATGAATGACTCGCGCGTGGTGGGGGAGTGGGCCAAACCTGACCCGTTGGTAGCAGATTCAACCTAATATGGCCTAATCCATCGCCGAGTGGATTCAGCCCTGCGGGGGATGCCGACTTGGTGCTCAAGCGGTTCGGCTCACGAATGGAGCCTCTTCTCGACCATCGACAACTAGACAATTGTGGCCGCAATGACACCAAATACCAGTGATAACAACGGGCTGGGATTTTTGCCAGGTTGTCAACTCGTCCGACCCTTCTCTCACCTTTTCTTTTGACCCGAAGCTGGCAAAGGTCGATGCCGCGGGCGAAATACTGCGCCAAGACTTTCAACCGAACGTGATATTCTGTGTCAACGGCTCAGCTCGGCTCGGCTGAAAACCAAAACTGCCTTGTGACCTCGTATACAAATGCGAGTCAGATGCTTGTTATAAGTACACTATTGGAATGAGGCGATTAAACTAGAGCACACGGCCTCACGGACCGAGATCCATGCCGTCCCTCTCCGCGCTGCCCGCCTCTGGGGTCTGGACTCTGGGGAAGCCTGGAGTGTTGGCGCGCGCAGACGGTGGCCGGGGTGACGTCGGTATATCGCTGTCGCCGACGATGTCGATATTTTGCTTCCGATTCTCTGCACGCGGTACACTTGATCGGATATGTCAGAAAGCCCGCAAACACCACTGACCCGGACGCAGTCGTCAGTTGGCTCAACAACTCTGAAACGAGCGTCTCGAGCTTGTTATGTCTGCCATAGACGCAAAATCCGCTGCGATGCAATGACAAAGGACCATGGAGACCCCTGCTCCAGCTGCGTCGCGCTCAACACGCCGTGCGAGCTTGTTCCGGGCAGAGTTGGGAGGTAGATGCTGACCGTCTTCTGTAAGCGAAAGACTCCCGGGGCTTCGCTAACTTGATGCAAACCTCACAGAAGATACAAAAGATCCAAAACGGGACCGGGGTCTGCACCGGCTGACAAGGTAGACTGTGGTAGCGGTCTTGATGCCCACGTATCTGATGATCCAGACCACCAGACATGCCTTCCACCTGGTCGGGTCGCGGAGAGCCAGTCTATTCAGGACTCGCAGGTGGCTGCTCGTATTCTCCCGAGTGACCGGAGCACGGTTCAGCTGTCTCCTCTCGAGACTAGTTTGAACGTATCGTCATCTAGGGGGAGGGCTCGCAGCACGTTGGAATCCGTCGAGATGGAGGACACCACGAATAAGGTCTGGAGCAGCCCTCTTGATCAGGCGGACGAATTTTGTGCTTCGTTGCCATCCGCATCACCCTCGTTGACCCCCCGATTTCTGGGAATAGCTGGCCGGACCGCGGCCAAACAAGCGACAAGATCCCACAACCGCGTCGCCTACGCGGGTGAGACCGTCAACCACTCGGGCCTTTCACCCATGACCGGCCACGGACGCTTCCATTCGGAACGACCACCTGCATCGAAGCTGCCTACAGTATACCAAAGTCGATCATATCCCTCGTCAAGTTTACCCAGCCCAAGCTGGATTGAGAGAAGCATTGTCAGCGACGAGGCTGGCATCGGCCCCTTTAGTGACCTCCCTCCCGAGGAGGAGTTCTACCTGAGATCCATGAAGAAGGTCCTGTTCTTCCCTCCGAACGGCATCATGAACACCTACATGGTGGCCTTCCTCGACCACGTGCTGCCGGAGTTCCCAGTCGTCGACCGGTTCAAGCTGGCGAGTATCTATGATTCCTTCCTCGGCGGCGTCGCCCTGTCACCCTTGCTGTTCCACGCCATCCTTTTTTGCGCCTCCCAGTATGTCGACAATGACACCCTGAAGCAGACCGGCTTCGACACGCGGATGAGCGCCAAAGAGTATTTCTACCGGCGGGCTGCCATGTTGTACTTTCTCGACTGTGAACAGGACCAGCTGCTCGTGATCCAGGCCGTCATCTTCATCAGTCCGTGGTGGTCCGACTACAACGAAGACAAAGACACGCGATATTGGATCTCGTGCGCCTGCAACTTGGCGCAGGCCATGGGTATGCACGCCACCATGTCCAAATGGACGCAAATCTCCCCTGACGAGAGATCCCTCTGGCGGAGGATTTTCTGGACCCTTTTTGTAAGTGACAAGCTCCTGGGAAGTTTTCAATCAGCACGTCACATTCAAGAGCCGGTTGCTAATAGGCAACCACAGTCGCGAGAACACAACGTCGCCATCGGCGTCGGGACGCCTTTCCTGCTGAGGCGCGATGATATCAACGTGGAACCCCTGACTGTAAACGATTTCTACGAGTTTTTGGACTCAACTCCAGTCGAACCGGCTAGCGGAAGCCCACCAGGCGTCATAGACTTCACTGCATTTTCCCGCGTACACGTCTCGTTCGCGCTCGAGCTAGTTCGATTGTCGGTGATGAGTGAGTCCTTTACGCCCGTTTCGAGCCTGCTGTGTCCGGGGTTTTAACTTTGGTGTTGATAGTGGACCAGTTGGTTAAAATGGAATCCCCCAGTCTACAACACCAGACCAACGCGCTGGAGTTCTACGCCGAGTTCCAGAATCGACTTACACGGGAGTCGCCTCCGGTGCTGGTGAATCGCTGCGTGAATGTGCCGGGATTGAGAGAAAGTACCCGTGACAACGACACCGATGTGGAGGAAATGTGGCTCACGTTTCTGCGGATCAATTATGAGCGGATCTTCGCGCTGAACGCCCGGTACTTGTACAAGGCGATTTTGAGCGCCACGTCGTCGCCCCCTGGCGTCCCGTCAGAGGAGCAGGCGAGGATGCTGATCGTGCGCTCAGCGTCGAGAACCCTGAACATGTTTGAAGATTTGTTGGCGATGGGGTTCTTGAAGTACTCCCATGGGTTCATGTGAGTGTGGAGGGTTTAGCTGGTCAAAGACCGGTGGGATTTCAACACCAACGGTCGTCGACTGGCCTGCTTCCCCCCTTTCCTCCTTTTCCTCCCTTCCGCGTTTCCTGCCCAAACTGGAATTCATCGTCAAACCCTTGACCGGACCAGCTCGACGGCTGACGAAACACGACGACAGGAACACCGCCATCATCAACTCGATGATCACAATGGCCGAAGAAATCAAACTGGCCCCGGAGGACAGCCAGCGGTACAAAACGGCCGAGAACAAATTCGCGCTGGGCATGATGATCCTCGAAGAGATGCGCAAATACTGGCCCGCGCCACTGTGGGCGTACTCGCTGTTCAGCCATCTCAGCCAAGATCACTTTTCCCGGCTGAAGCAACTACTCCCGCAAAGGCTGTCGTCCTCGTCGCCTCCTCCCCTTTCTTCTTCTTCCAACGCCGATCGTCGAGAAATCGACACCGCCCGAGACAAGGCCGCCCCGTGCGAGCCATGTTGGCCTGGTCAGACCATCGACAATTTCTGGTGGGACGACCTGTTCTCGCTGGAAAGTCGCGGTCAGCAGCAGCAGCAGCAGGATGCGGCGCTGTGGCTCCAGTGCGATTTTGCAGAGCTGCGCAATTCACTGGGATGAAACCACCCACACGGCTTTCTTGGAACTTGTAGAGATTAGAAGGCGTGAACTAGGTTGACTTGTAAAAGTTAGGGATACCTTGGCCCTCGCACGATGACCACGAGTGGTGTGTCTCGGGCATATGATACTTTCATGTGTTCTCTTCTCATGGGTTGTTGCTCACTACTTGGTACTATTTGTGTACTTGTAGCAAACGGGGGAATTGAAACCAATGTTACCATGTGTCTCGCCGAGACGCTCAGACCAAGGAGGGTTACAGTTTGGCAATAACTCGCCCTCATTGTTTTGAACTACGTACGTAGCCTGACTCTGTGGACTATGGGTGTTTTGTATTGAACCACAACCACCACCGATTCTTTCCCGTGCACACTTTTTGAAGCGTCCGCTCCCCGCGTCACAACACCAAGTCCCAAGTCCCTTCACCCAGCTCATGGCTACGAGACGCCGCTAGGCTGCAGCACCTCCATCCACGCTGAGCACCGCTCCCGTGATGAACGAGGCGTCGTCACTGAGTAGGAAGGCGACGGCTTGGGCCTGTTCTTCCGGCTGGGCCATTCTCCCGAGAGGAAGGCTGGAGTACGTGTTGAGCGTGCTGCTGGAGGTCGTGGTCGTCGGGCCTTTCAACAACGCGTCAAGCATCGGTGTTTCGGTTGGGCCTCTGGTGTAATCGATCACGAATTAGCCGTTAGCTGAAACTCGGAAAATATTCACAAAGGACCTAACAAGGCGGGGATGGGGGGAGCAGTAATTGACGTACGGGGCAATGGCATTGACTCTGATGCCCTTGACACCGGCCTCTCGCGCCGCTGTCTTGGTCAAGCCCACCACCGCATGCTTGGAAGCGACATATGCGCCCAGTCCAGTGCGGCCTCGGATCCCCGACAGGGACGCCACGTTGACGATACTTCCTCCGCGGCCCAAGGCTTTCAACTCGGCCCTCAGACAGTAGAACGTCCCTGTGGCATTCACGCCCATGATCTTGTCCCACGTGGCATTGTCGGTGTCTTCGAGGTTGACGAAGCCGCCACCCCAGCCGGCGACATTGGCCGCGCCGTCGACCTTGCCGAAATGCTTCACGGTCGACGCGATCCAGTTCTGCACATCCACGTCCGAAGTCACGTTGAGGACGGTGCCGACGGCCTCGACGCCTCGCTTCTTCAGGTCCTCGACGAGTTCTTTCAACGGCCGTTCTGCCATGTCAGCCAGTGCCAACTTTCCGCCCCGGGATGCTACGACATTGGTGACGGCGAGTCCTATCCCTGACGCGGCTCCCGTCACGGCGATGACTTTTCCCTCCAGCGCCATGAATTCCCGGACAAGGGCAGGATGCGCCAAAAACTATAGCGGGTGCTGAATGAAGAAAGCACAAATTGTGGCGCGTACCAGATGTATATTATATCTGAATGTCCGCTTGTAGAGGTGACAGCCGCCGGGCGCCCAGGGTAAAGAGGTCGTCTTTGGCGGTTCTAGTAGATCGTGCAGGACGGCCGCAAGTTGACACCAGAAGCACGCACTTTATCTGTCGACTCTGGGCCTTTGAAGGCATGCGGGGTCCGGCACAGAGCTCGGTTGATACATTGTTGGCTTAACTCGGCGAGCACTCGAACCCCAGGTCTTCTTGGTGCCTCTTCCCACCACTTGACATCCTTTCCGCAGCACTCAAGCAAAATTTGTTGTTGAGTTCAATGGGTTGACAACAAAAGCAGTCGATGTATTCTTGCCATCAAAGTGTGCAGACTTCCATTTCGAGAGGCTGGCATCGAACCTGAACTTCCATAAATAGCTAGCTCCTGGCTTTCGACTTTGACCCGCATTTGGCCGAACTAGATTGGGCCGACAGCTGGTCCAACACTCATACGCCCGCCCTGCGTACTCCGTACTGTTTCAGCTGTTCGTGGCACGGTGCTTCGGGGATATCCTAGCTAGGAGTGCAAGTTGGGAAACTCTTTGGAATATCCAAGGTGACGAGTGTGTTGGCAAAGAGATACCCATGAAGGTAGTAACACGTGGAACCTCGTAAGTCTTGGCATCACGTGAGTCGACTCCCCGGGCAACTACACCTAGTGCCCAAGCGCATGAACGCAACACAACCTCGACCTTTTACCGACACTTGATGAATCCCTCCAACCCTTCAGGGATGTAAGGCTGTATGCTTGGCAGCTGCTCTTCCTTTAGCAGCCGCACATATGGCACGATCACCTCGCACCTTCTCCGGAATGTGACCGCATCACGACGCCCATCCTCTCCCATCCCAGGATGTGGCCGAAGAGAGCACGCAGAGCAGTCACTCGTCTCGCCGAGGAGACAGTCCACCAGATTGCTCCATCACTCCCCGTCGGTCCATGAGAAGAACGCACCGCCCTCTCACTCCACGTCACCGAGATCCTCGCTACTGGACTCTTCTTCCCCACACAACTCTCTCGAATCCTTCCACGCCTACGCGGCCCGCACCGGTCTGTCGCGATCCAGCACCGTCTACACTGGCACCACGTACGAATACCTCGCACAGTCCACCCTCCGACCCTATGGGTTTGATCTGCATCGAGTGGGCGGCAGAGGGGATCGCGGCGTCGATCTCGTAGGTGTCTGGGAGATACCCATCTTGTCGCACACTGGCGAATGGAAAGAGACGAGGCATAACACAAAAGGTCGAGGATACAATTATGCGGGGGTCGAAGGGTTCGAGGGTGTAGAGACCTTGCAGCTCAAGGTGCTGGTCCAATGTAAACGCCTATCGGGGAGGCATGCTAGGATTGGGCCGAATCTGGTCAGGGAATTGGACGGGGCTGTCAGAGCGAGTAGAAGTGCAGCCTTGGTTGACATGATCTTCTCTCAGAACACGGCGGCGAGCACGGCCACAGATGAGGGGAGCAGCCGCCGCGACGAAGAGCCCCAACAGTCGGATCCAGGGTTGGGACAGGCCATCGGCGTGCTGGTGGGCACCAGGCCAGCGACCAAAGGCGTGGTGGACGGTATGAGCCGGTCGACTCGTGGATTAGTCTGGATCATGATGGAAGAAGCCACGGATCAAGAAACGGGGCCGAGGGTTGAACCACAACTCACAGACCAATGCGAGTCTCTTTCCCCAGACACAACCGACCCCACTACCGCTCTAAAGGGCCGCGTCAAGCAAATCCTCTGGAACCACGCTGCCCGCGGTGCTGGACTAGAGGGTGTCGACGTGGTAAAGCGTTACGCCTCGGACGGTGCGGAAGAGGTGGTCCTGATGCGAGGCGGGCGAGTCTGGGGCGGCAGTCCAAGACAGAAATGAACCATCGACTTTTGTGAGTTTTTCATTGTAAATGATATAAACACCTGGGCAAAATGCAAATAAATCGGGGCAATATCAGCTCTGGTATCGTACATTGCCTTTGCCTTCCCTTTCCCCTTTCCATCTCTCCCCCGTCTCCCTGCCCCACGAGTATCTGCCCTGCCCCACGAGTATCTGGCATATGTGCACTGTGCTGCCTCAACACAAGGAAAAGCAACGACGATAGTTGGGTATCAAAGCCCCAGCTGGAAAAAGCTCACATCACACAAAAGATCTATTCCCTCCTTGCCTGTCCATCCGAGGTGCGTCGGTCAGATAGATGCCGTCTTTATTTGACCCTCTCCGAGCTGTCCGGTAGCTGGTCAAGCACGCACAATCACGCAGCAAGAACGCTCACATCTCCTTCCGCTCTCCGGTCCTGGCCATTCCTGTTCCCGCATTGGTGTGTTCTAGATGCACGCCGCAGGCCAGCCGAGATCAATGCCAGCGTCTACCACACGGCCCCTTATCGTCAAACAAAGGAAAAGGTTTTAAAAGGTCGATTGTGATGTATGAATTTACAGCTTGGCCTTGGGCGTCTCCATGCTGGGTAGGAGCATGTCTCTGATGTCGCTGGCCGCTTCGTTGAGGTAGAAACTCATCCGTTCACAGCCGAGTTTCTTGGAGACAATGTTGAATTGTAAACTAAACAGGCTGTCAGAACAATGCACTACTAGCAAGAAATGTAGTGCATGGCGAAGTACGAAGGGTAGAAGGGCAGTGGAGGTTAGAAAGTAAACATACCTGTTCTCATTGATCATATAAGCAATGCCCCAGCCTTGGTCCACAACTTGACTCCAGCCGTAACCGTTGAAGTACTCGGAACTCAGCTGACTGCTCGAGATGTACCAGGTGCTCGAGTAGGTGTATGCGGGATCAGTAAAGACCTCAGGTGTCTCCTCGCCGGGTTGGATGAGCTTCTTCAGACCGAACAGATGACGGTCCACGCCATAGCCGTCGCTTGCATCAGCCGTATATTGCACGTGCGCTTGAACAGCAGCGCGGAAGAGACGTTCGGTTTCTTCGCGGGAGACAGAGGGGTCGGCCATGGCGTTGCAGAAAGCCACACTCTCGTCCGAGACTGTGCGAGTGGTTTCTGTTCGACCCAGCTGGTACTTTCGCGTGGCGGCAGATTCGTATGTGGGTCGGTTCTTGCCGTACATCTTGTGATAGGCCAGCTGGATGACCATCTGCACGTACGCGTCGGGGGAGCACTTGAACTTCTTGATCAGTCCCTTGCCGTATCCTTGGTATGCCTGGACGCGGAGGTCGTGGGCACCAATGACTTGACGGAACTGCGACTGTGCGGCGGCCAGGTCGTCAAGCACAGCTGCGGAGGTTTCAAATTTCAAGGCAACAGGGTCGGGCAGGTCGGAGCGGACGGATGGGTTGTCGAAGTCGAGTTTATTGTGAGTGATGAGAGCATTCACTGTATCGCAGAGACGGTGAGTCGGGGTACCATCCATCATGGAATGTTCACCCATGAAGCCGGCGGTGCCGTTATCGTTGATGATGAATTGGATAGGCTTGTCGTACCATCGGTTCGAGCCGTCGCCGTGCCAATAAACGTGAGCACGCTCTTCAAGGGTGACGGGCGCGCTGGAGTCCAGGCACACGATGAACGACGAAGACTCGATCTCTTTGAGGACCTCGGCGTTCAAAGGAGACGCGGACAGAAGGTTTTGGCGGGCAGTGGCGCCTTGGTCGCGGGGGAAAGACGTAATGGCACCAACGGGGTCGGCCAGCTGGGCATTCTTGTAGACCTTGTTGAATTGAAGCTCGAGCTCGGAGGTGTTGAGCTGTCTGCCCGAAACATGGGTCTGAACCTTCCAGAACTGGTTGTTGCGCATGACAATGATGTGCTCGTTGCCCTCGGCAGGGTATTGAATAGGATAATCCACGGGAAGGGCTGCGACGCGGGAGGTGTTGAACATGTACTCGTAGCTGCTCATGGCCATGGGCTTCTTGCGCATATACTCGGGTTCCAGAGTCTTGTCATCGACCTGTCTCTTGAACTCCAAGGCCGCGGTCGTGATGGCAGCGGCACGTTTCGCAGGGTTTCTTCTCCGACGGTCGTCGCGGAATGAGTAGAAGTACGAGACGTACGGCACCACTGGATCACGATAGCCCAAGTACGCAGACTCGTTCCACCAGTCAATTATCCAGTTCTTGACGTTGGGGTCTTTTGCTTTTGCTATTAACCTCTCTTGCAGCTTCTGGCCGATGCCTCCTGGTTTGTTCAGTGCAGCGACAGCCTTTTCCGAGGCAGCATACTCCTCTTTGGTTAGGAGAGGGTGCAGGCTCTTCAGGTACCGGGCGGAGGTTTCTTCGAGGGGAGGAACTGGTAGTCTGGGTAGGGAATCTTCGAAACGAAGCATTGGACCTTTCGAGAGGTCTTCTCGGTACTCTGCAGCCATCCGCTCCTGTTAGACATGCTCTTTCGCAAGAAGTTCCAATAATCAGACTCACCCTCGGTGACCCAGAATTGAGCCTTACTCGAGGCCTTCCGCTTGTTTGTAGGAGCCATGGCGAGCGACTGTCAATCTGTCAGTTTCCCCCACCTGACGTCAACTGGCATTGAAAGATGATCCGTTACCTTGAGAGCAGCTGAAGTGGGAGAGGCACGAGATATGGCACGTAGGGTCGTCTGTGCTCCTAGTCGAGGCAGTGTGGGAAACATCCCCAAGAATACCAGGTCAAGAAAGTGTAAATTGTAAGGAGGGACACAGAACTGGTATAGAAAAAAAAAAGTCTATGGCTGGACAGAGCGAGCGATAGAAGGTGACGCGACAGCTTTTAGATCGGAGGGGATTCGGCGAGCATTGGACGAGAGATGCAGGGCGAAGGCACACGAGGCGAGAAAAAAGATGAATTGCCGCGGCGAAAGCCAGAAGGGACAAGATAGTGGTTGTCCTTGGAGGTTGCGAAGGGAGAGACCGAGCACCGCCCACGAACTGCCAACTGCGACTTGCGGAATAGAGGGTGCATCCACCAGTTCCACGTCCGGTGAGCCGAGGCACATTGCTCCAACCCGCCGCCATTTGTTTCTTTTGTGCCTTGGGAATAAAATCAAACTGCGTCACTCGGACAATCATCGGTAACCGGCCAGATGGGAAAACTCGGAGACCATCAGCCACAGTAACACAAAAATAATGCAAACACCACGATAGGCACGCATGAGATGCGGAGGCCCCATGTCCTTGTCCCTCGTCTGGATCTCCCTCTTGGTGCCTTGTCCCTTTGATCCGCTCCATTGATATAGGACGCTTCTCTCAACCTGTACGCAGTAATCCAACCTCTTTCTAGTCCTCCGCTACGAATCTGTGCAACGCCACCCCTAGACTGGTTGCCCCTGCGCCTTCATCGTCTCCCTCACACCATGGTTGCAGCGTGTCTAAACTGCATAGATGTCGCATCGTTGGGCGTCCATGCGGGCAGTTCCAGGGTTTGTCGATTGTGCCCATGTTTGCCACCACCTTTTGCATCTGCCGCCTGGACAGTGTCTTGCCGATCATAATGCTCGATCGACATGCTCGCATGGCGAACATCTTTCTGACTTTGCTGGGTCGAGGAATATCAGAAGAACCGCCCACAGGTGTATCGGCCAAAAGCTGAATGAGTTCCTCTAGGTCTTTCATACCAAATACCACCTCTTTGCTGAGTGGGAGGCTGACGAGGCGGCAACGTTGTCCAACCATCTTGTCGCCGCTGGTGTCGATCTCGACGAGAAAACCGTTCTTCTCCAGAGCTTCGTTGTTCTCCAGGACGATTTCTTCTTCCACCGCCGTCAAGTCGAGTATCACTGGTCGCACGAGCCTTTGGTTGCCCACAATAGTCTCGGCTTGCAGCCTTTCAAAGTTGTATTTCTCATCTGACGCATGTTGGTCGATAATGAACAGTTCATCCTGTGTTGCTTGGGTCTTCGTAACCGCAGACTTCTTAGCCGGTCGCACACCCAGAATGAAGCCTAGATTGAATTGTCCGACAATCCTCATTTGTGCAAAATCTGGCTTCGATACGGTCAGTGAGAGGCTTGTTTCCGGGTCTTCCACATCATTGTCTTTTCCATCAACTTGCGAAGATCGACGGCTCATACTGGAATCCACTGGTCTAACATACTGACGCATTTGACTGGATATGCTTGAGATGGAAAACTCAATAGTTGCTAATAAATTCGTCGTAGACTCCTTGGCTCGTCCTCCTGCCAGGGCTTTCATTGCTCGTTTCAAGTTCTCTTTGGTCGGAACGGTCGAGCTTGCTTCAGCTGCCTGAATAAGCTCAGCGACTTTGGCTTCTTCAATCCTTTTCTTCTCCTCGTCATCAATATAGTCTGCGTCGGACTCTCCTTCCGTGTCTGGTGCCGCTTCTAACTCGTCCTCGGCCAAATCTTCATTCCCCACGCTCTGCTGGTCCAGATCGGATTCGTGCTCCGCGGGAAAATCTTCAGTCGTCTCGCTATCAGCGTCGACCAATTCCGCGTCAGACTGCGCATCCGAGTCACCCTCTTCCTCATCCGGAATGTTGGACCCTTGCGCACCAAATCTGCGCAACTTCTGGGAGAATTGAAAGGCTCCTGGGCTTTTGGTGCGCCTCTGTGGGCTGATTGCACTCCTCAGGCTGCCAGGGATGTCACGCTTCTCGAGCGATTTAGGAGATTGACTCCCTAATACTGTGGTAAAAGTCTTGTCTCCGATGGTGAAAGTGGCGACTTCTTCTGACAGCCTCTTTGGCCTCATGCGGTCAAAAGCATTCTGTACGGGTCCTTTTTCTAGACCTGTTTTTGCTGGCACAATAGCTTTGATCTCTTCTGTTTGCCGTCCATCGTCCTGGCGTATAGTTGCCTGATAGTTCAACCTAGGTTGGGCTTCGGCCATTCTCGCGTTGAAATCACTGACATGCAACTTGACTGGATCGAACTGCGATGCCTCTTCCTCTTCCTCAGACTGCTGCAATATTTCCTCCGTCTCGATCACTTCCTGGTCATCGTCCTCCTCAAGAGACTCATTTGTTGGCGTGTGTTGCCGAACGATCTCCTCGAGTGCTTTTTCTGCAGGTCTTTCACGTGGAGCTACCTTTTGAGGTTGCAATATTTCGCTCGATCCAACGTCCTTTGCGGTACGAGAGAATTTCTGCAAGTCATCCATCACCGATGCCGTCCGGGACTCATCTTCGTCAAATCTATCCCCATCTTCGTCGTCGTCGACTGGAGCTGGGTGATCTGAAAACGAGGTTTGTCGACTTGCAGATTCGGGGCTACTCGAGGACGGCTGGCGCAGGAAGCCCAATTTCTGAAAAGCAGGCAGCTGGGACGTAACAAGTTGGGATTGAGGGACAGTTTGCTCTTGCTGATCAAACATTTCATTAAGTGCAGTCTTGAGACTCTCAACAAGCGATGCCGAGTCATGGATCAATATTGTTCGTTTGTCAGGCGATACATTTACATCGTACGCGTTGGTGTCCATCTGAAGATCCGCAAATATGAAGGGTGACTGGGAGACATTAAAAGCCTTGTAGACCTCATTGATGGCTTTTGCGATCTGGGGCAAACCACATGGTCTGCCATTGACAAAAAACATTTGTCGATCTGGCGTCTGCCGGCCCTCCCCAAACACGGGCTTGGAAATGTGGCCTCTGACACGTATATTGGTATGCTTGTCTTTTCGGGCCATTTGTGTCAATGTAGGCTGATAATCCAGCTCGAGGTCGAGAGCAACCAGTGCACTCAGTGTTTTAGCCCCGTAGACGTTTGCAATATTTTCCCGGGTAGTGGCATTGCCTTTTGTAGAAAAGACCATCATGCTTTTACTTTTGGGCATCGTATTCTTGACCGTGAATTTGACGTTGACGCCAATACAGGCATAGGCCTGCAGCAAGCCCAAGACTTTGTTATACTCGCGTTTGATGTTCTTGGTGAGCTCTTTGCGTCGCACAGGGAGACTCTCGAACAAATTCTCAACACTGGCAGTAGTTCCTCTCTGAGCGGCAACCACGGTCACCGACTTGAGCTTGCCCAAGGAGTCAAAATCCAGCCGCTTGCCCTTGGGCACTTCATCCGCTTGTGCGGTGACAACAGAGAACTTGGAAAGGGCACAGAGTGAAGAAAGCGCTTCGCCTCGAAAACCAAAGGTCTGGAGACTAGAAAGGTCATCGAAGCTGGATAGTTTGGAAGTGTAATGCTTGAGAGCGAGAGTGTCGTAGTTGGCTGGAGCAATGCCGGAGCCATTGTCTTGCACTTCGATCGAGTCCAAGCCATGGTTTTTGAAGCGAACTTCGACAGTGGTGGCACCTGCATCGAGGCTGTTCTCGACTAGTTCTTTAGCCACGGAACAAAGATCGACGATGACTTGCCCAGATTGAATCTGGTGAACTGATCTGGCCTCGATGGCCTTGATGGTAGCCATCCCAGGCCATGTTGCTTCCACCCGACTAATGACAGGACAGAACCGGGAGTGAACAAACCCACCGTCACCCAATAAGCCCAAGTCGATAACGATCGAACACAATTTGATGGACGTCTGGATGATGAGAAGCGCGGTGAAACGTGAAGGCGAAAATGGGGCTGACGCTGATTCGCGGAGAATTGACGACAGCGCCAAGACCGCCAAGCATTACGTCAATTGGTTGCTGTACGCAAAGCGGCGAATTTGGTCTTTTCGATGCTCACGGCATGGCAAAGTCGGGAGGCAATTTGCTTTCGTTATCTTGGAAAACATCAAAGAGACCTTCAGGCTGGTGAAGAGGTTCTGGTTTTCCTTACCGTACGACTCTTTCTCCAATGATTCAAGATCTTCCTGCTGAGGTGATTCACCAGATCGTTGGCCACTTGCCTACAGCGTCATCCATCATCAACCTCTCGCTCGCAAACCAAAAGATCCATTCCATTATCTCAGAAGATGACCACGGTGTTTTTCGGACATTTGTGCAAAGAGCCTTTCCAACAATCAACGTCCCACCATATTGGAAGGATGTGGCGCGCACGTTGACATCACGATCGCGGGCATGGGATCGCCGCGCCTTCATCGCGAGGGAATGCTGCCCCCCAACTGATGACAGCGACTACCCACACCCATCGCCCCACGGTTATCCAATAGGCTATCGTCCAGCTATTGACAGCTATGAGACCTGGCATGGAGGATCGTGGGAAGATCGGAAAGAAGTGCTGGCATGGGGAGCGGCAGGAAGACTACGACTTCGAACTATTCAGAACGGCGTGACGAGTTGGAGCTCATTCAAAGTTCCAGAAGACCACAGACCCCAAACGGACATTCTAGATGTCAGGCTTTTACGACCCCATCAGAACCAAAACGCAGGCGGCGAGACAATTCTCTTTCAGAGAACTCACCGTGAAGTCATCAGTATCGAGACATCCACCAAACCCGACAACTTTACACTAAAATCTCGCTATATCAATCTCCCTTCTGAGTTTTCCTGCCTAGATGTCAGTCAGAGCGATGAGCCTGTCCTCGCAGCTTGTGGAGACCACTGTGTCAACCTCTATCCAGTGCATAGTCCGTCTCAAATTGTACTACCTTCTAGCTCCACCAAAGTGGAAAGGATGCACAACTATCGATCACGCATGCGCTGCGTCAAGTTTTTATCTGGGAACACGATCGCAATAGCCCACCAATTTCTCGAGGGTCGGGAGCGCGCCCCGATCGACATCTACGACATTAACCCGACTGGCCTGTCCTCGACACCCATCGCACAATCCCTATCCTCCTATGAGTCCATCCATCCATCGATGAGCCGCCACAGTGCCAACACCATTTCCCGCCTAGATGACGTGGGAGTCAGCGGAAGCTCCTCTCGACAATTATTCCTGTCCGGCTGGACCGATGGGGTAGCTCGCCTCTATGACATTAGGGCCCCTCGAAGATCAGTGGCGGACTACGTTGATCCTGTGGATGACGGCCAAATACTTTCTCTCCTCCCAATCGGCCACGAGCGCTTCCTGGCCGGCAGCCATCAAAACGGGTGTCTGAAGTCCTTTGATTTCCGCATGCCAGGAGCTAGGGCTTACTCGTATTTGGATGCGCGCCCACCGGAGACCGTCAAACGTCGGACGCCGCAGAGAGATATCAACATCTTTCTCACCCCCATAGTGAACACGGATCAAAGACTCTGGGAGCCACTCCCACGGCATCCACGCAAACGTTCTCAGCGCTACCGTGGCTCTGTTTATTCCTTGTCAAGCCCATCACCAAGCTCGCCCACAATCTACGCTGGAATAGAGAGCCACGTACTACAACTTGACTTTGTTGCAACTGACGACTTCCTCAAGGGTCACAGTCGAGTCATTAGCGGTTCGAATGTCGATATCCTCCGGGACGAGAAGAACGAGGCCGTTCAGGATCAGGTATTCAATTTCTCCTGCTACGAGAGACCTCGAGAGGGAAAGGAAAGCACAGATCCGGTGCTATTGAGGAAGCAAGCGGACTTGATGGACGAAGTGGCGGATGGGGAGATAGATAGCCACGGGCGCAGAGACGACCGATGGGATGGACGATGGCGGTTGAACACGTCTGGCAAAGATCGTGGATTCGATCCAGGTCGGCGTTCCACGTGGCGAACATTGACTCGGCATGGTCGTTAGATCCAATAGAGGGCAAACCCGCCGGTGGAGCTGCACGGATATTTGTACCAACACCTGCTATAGAATACACTGGCTTGACGACTGTGGTATTAAGTAACATCCTAGACGGAATGACAATTTTGGGGAGTACCTGGTACAATTTACGATCAACCCAACATTTGGCTTTGATCCAACTGATAAAGTAGTAGCCGTAGAAAGGGTAGACCCAGCCAGAGAAGACAAGGTAGGGGTATATGTGAGGGACAAGGCCACCTACTGTGCGACTGTACTGTAGGTACATACTGTAGAAGTCCCATTGTGACGAGGCTGAGCTCCCGTTCCCAAGCACGCCAATCCGAGACTTGGACATTTATGGGATTGGAAACCAGGTCATTGAGATCCATCAACTTTCAAACCCCCGTTGGGGACAATCTGCAAACACATACAACTCTCCAACCCAAAGCTTGGAGTAAAATGCCAGCCAGGGTGACATGGACTTCCCCCTTTACCCCTAAAGCGTTCTCCGTTCTCCGTTCTCCAGCCGAGGATAACCTACCCACCCATACGAGACAGATGGGAACACATGCGGAGAAACACAAAGTCGCTTCGTGCAGGCGCATCAGATCTCTCTCCTCACGGCACAGCCCTCATTCAAAGAGCGGCATACTCCGACATTTTGCGAGTTGGGATGCTAGAAAATATGGATGAGGAGCAGAGAAGAGGTCCCGTGCTGGTTGAGACATGAGTGTTCAAGACTAATCCTCTCTCGAGAGATATACACCATTTTGCGACGACGATAGCTGTGAGATCTTGCTCAGTGTCAGTCTCCAAGAAAAGGAGAGTTGGGGTTCACTCAGGATACGCTGGGAGGTGTTGGGACTTGATTAAAAGGGACAGTATGGCGGCGCCAGAGAACGCCATCGCCTTCATAGGCAAGCATCCCCTTTCCTCGACTCTGGGTGTACCCCATGCCAACGAAGTGCAGGCCTCGGCAATATGGGTTATAACATGGCTGTCAACTTGCGCACTAAAATGCCCAAGGACATGACCCTTGTTGTGAGCGACACGTCCCAGGCTGCGATATCGAGATTCCAAGAACAAATGAAGGACGTGGGACCGGTAGTCGTTGCGACGAACGGGTCCGAAGCGATTCAAAAGGCCGTAAGTATTTGTTTCGACGTCGATTATCGCATGGCACTCCTAAATTGAGAGCGGGCTTAGAACACGATCCTCACGGTCCTGCCCAACGATGCCGCCTGCGACAGTGTCTACCTCGATCCATCAACAGGCGTCCTCGCCGGCGTCAAGCAGGCAGACCCGTCCCAGGGAAAGATTGCCATGGAGTGCGGCACCATGAGCCTCGAAATCATCAACAAAGTCCGAGACGCCTCGTCGGGATGCGGACTCACGTTCGTTGACAGCCCTATTTCTGGAGGCCCGCTAGGAGCCAAAGCAGGCACGCTCACCATCATGGTCGGCTGCGACGAGGCCGTCTTCCCCAAGATCAAGCCTCTGCTCGAGCACATGGGCACGAGTATCCGACGGTGTGGCGACGTGGGGACCGGGACGGCCTTCAAGACAATCAACAACTACATGTCCATCAACAACGTCCTGGTCGCGAGCGAGGCGCTCAACATCGGAGCAAAGCTGAACCTCAACATGGAGGACCTGATCGACACGGTCAACTCCAGCAGCGGCATGAGCTGGATCACTCTCAAGAACAATCCGGTACCGGGGATAACCCCCGGCGGCGCCGCGAGTAACGACTACAACGGTGGTTTCCGGATAGAGCTTGGCCAGAAGGATCTGACGCTGGGTGTGCAGTTGGCCAAGATGGTGGGTGCGAAACCTGTGCTGTCGATTGAGACGCTGAAGACCTTGGACGAGGTGGCGAGTGACCCGAGATATGCTGGGAAGGACTTGCGGGTCGTGTACAAGTGGCTGAACGAGCAGTAGTCTAGGGATAATTGTCGTTAGTTGCTTCGGCATGTGGTGCTAGAAGTCGACGATGCCGCTCCAGCAGACCTCGGATGAAGATGCAACACGGTCAAGTAGGCAAATTTTATGGGTTATGAGCGTCTCAAAGCACATATTGACTGCTGGAGATCTTCTGATCCTCTGTGCAATACCTTGCTCGACCTGATGTCCAAAATGAAGATAATATCTAAATCTCATCTAAAAGCGGCGTTGGCTTCCTGCGCCTTTTTGCCCGCAAAATAAATTTCCCAATTGGCTTTTCCTCCGCATTTCGATTCTACCAACCAACCGACCTTCGTTCGACCAAGTTCATCTCTCTATCCTATATAGCAACCTCAAATCTTCTCATTCTCAACTTTGGGTTTTACACCAATGGCTTCCACCGCGGGTGCCCCGTCCCTCCGTACCCTCTACCGGCGCCTCCTCCGCGAACTGCCCCCAACACCTCAACCACGGCACACACTGCCCCGATCACCCCTCCACGCCTCGATCCGGACGCATTTGTCGTCGTATCGGGAGGGACAGCAGCAGCAGAACTCCGCTTCGGACAACGGAGCAGCCACGGCCGTCACGGACAACCAGCTCGCGCGCCTGCAGGAGTTGGAGCAGTTCGTCATGTACCTACGTGCGCAGAGGATGTACGGCACGCTGCTGCACCGATATAACCCGGGCATGGGCATGGATGAGGAGGAGCGGGTGCGGCTGACGGCGCGGCGAGTGGGCATGGAGATGCCGGTTGAGTTTGAGTGGAAGGTGAAGCAGTGAATCGAGTCTTGTCTGGTTACCTGAGATGGCCCTGGGGAGGGGTGACAAAGTATCCCGTGGGGAAACTTGAGTTTATGACAAGTTGCAGAGTGGGTGCGGGAACACGAAATACCTAGCATTGGGAGCTTGGAGTTCTGCTCGATGCGGTGCTGTCCTGCGGTCTCTCCTGGGATCTCATGACGGAGCGAGGGCAGTCCCCAGCACGCTGAAATACGGACCAGAAATGCACGCACGCAGACTGCGGTTTTCGAAGCGGAAGGGACGACCATGGCCCGGATTAGCTACCGAGTGAGATCACGGACAGCGAGCCATGGACACCAGCGTCGAGGGCCACAGCGACACGGCATCCGAAGGTCCACACACATCTCTTAGGCCAACAGAACAACCTTGGCTGGGCTTGTCCTGCATGTACCGAACCCACCTACTCAGGAGCATCGGGGCCATTGTTCGAGTGCCATTGCTAGCCTGGTTGAAAACAACACCTGGATAACGAACCCCTCCCATCCACTCACCGAATGTCCGAATCAACATATTGTAATCTGTCATTCGAGGAACATCGTCGACGAAAGAGACGGGGGGCGGATGCGACAACGAAAACAAACACGCCACGCTGCAGATCTAGACTTGGTATTCTCATCCCACATCCCGATATGATAGATAGGTGCCAGCTATTCCATGCCATCTACTCATCTACCTCTGTGTGTGTGCGTGTGCATGTCGAGCTCAAATCACGCTCCCCAGAGCCAAAACCAAAAGCCATGGCAGGTTCACAATCCATCCAGACGGGTCGCAACCCCATCGATTGAGCCGCAAAATACTTCTTATGGTACGCTGCACGGGAGACATCACCGAAACGGCCACTATACCAAGGCCCGTGGAAGAACCCTTCTACATCCTAGATATGTAGAGTAGGGTAGGGTAGATAGATAGATACTGGGAATCTAGACGACTCCAACACTCAAACAAAAATCCATTGATAACCCAATACTCCGAAATAGCTCTCGTACCGACTATGCCGTGCCAGCAATATCCGTCTCGAGATCTCCTTGTCCCTGTCCCCAGCGTTATGCTCCATTGATCTTCCACCGTCGACATATTGATACCAATCCCGCAACGTGTGCAGAGTCCATCGTTGATCCATCCTCTCCCTGCCTGATATCTCCAAGAGCCTTGTTTGACCTGTACCTCTCAAAAATGCGCCCGTCCCACAGTCCTGCTGCCCCCTTTCCGACACCCGTCAGTGTACCCAGATCTCAGAACGCAAAGAAATCTTGCTCGTTGTGAAGATCCTGGTCTTGATCTTGTAGGGCGTTCCATGCTTGCAGGTTGACATCGTCAAAGAAGCCAAGGTCGAAGGGGCTGGAGTCGCCTTCTGGGTCGAGGATCATTGGGTCAATGTCAAGGTCGTAGTTGGTACTCCCCAGGTTGTCGAATTCCTGGAATTCAGCGTCGTTGTTGAGGGTAGGGAGGAGAGTCTTAGTGTATGGTATTGTGGTCGTAAAATCTTGTCCACTTGCTGGCAGTGACTGTGGGAGAGCAAGATCCTCAGGTACGAATGTTAGGAGAGTTTCATCACTCGATCTGTGTGCGTCAGTCAGCCAATTTGACATGGAACCCAGTTCATCCTGGTCAAATGCTTCAAACCCTCCATCCTGTAGGGTGACTTCCAGCCCCCCCGCGTGTTCTGATGACTCATGCTCTGCCCTAGATCCAAGGCCGTTCTCAATGTTCCAGGATGACTGCATGATAGGTGTAGTGTCAAGAAGGTCTGGAGCTTCGACTGGGTGAGAATTCTGGTGGGTGTCCTGGCTGAGCGTCTTGTCGATCGCCGTGACTCCTTCCCCGATATCTTCACGGGTTGGGAGACTGGCGTTGCTTTCCACACCAGAGACGTCGTTATCCCACTCATTCCACGGCTCAGCGTGTAACTTGGGCCTCTCGGATTCTTCAAATTCTTCAACTTCTTCCAGCTGCACGCGCCTGAGCTCCATTTGAAGCCGGTCAAGCACGTCTTCATCTCCTGCATCACCGACCTCAGACACCGTGGCCCCCTCTCCTTTTGATTTTGCCCGCGTCTGATTAAGACGGTGCACAATATCTAATGGAATATTATGTTCCGGGCGATAGATCTGACAAGCAATATTGTATGCCTTGAGACACCACACCTCCGCCCCCGAGAAGTCTTTTGCGGCCTCGCGAATGTCTGCGAGGAGCAACATGGAAGACGCGGTGACCCACAGCGACACCGAATCACCTTGAGTGGACTTATCATCTAGCTCCAAGGATTGCAGCAAAATCTTTGACGCCGACTCGTCGAGACCATGAAGATAATTCAGTTGTCCAATCTCATACAGCACCTTTCTGTAATAAACATGCTTCTGGCCCACTTTGTCACCGGTACGCTGTAGTAAAGAAAGCCAGCATTGGGATGCTGTTTCGAAATTCGCACGCGAGGCTGTAGTCTTGGTCATGGCATAGTCGTATTGGAAAACCAGCCAGGAGTCGTACTCCACTTGTCTCCGGGCAACGTCGTAGCACACATTCAGCAGGAGCCGCGAGGACATACCTTGTGCCTCGGAGTTTTGAATTACTTTTAGAATCATTGATATGGGATGGTTTGGTTGAAGAAGACTTTTGGCCAGAATGAGCAGGAAGGAGTAGATTTCGCAGATTCCTTGACTAATGATACCGCCTGCACGGTTAAAGTAGACACGCATCAAAAGTGCGGGCAACATGGGATGCTGTTCTCTGAGTGATGCCACTGCTCGAGTGCAAAGAACTCTCATCGCTGCCTGGCCGGCGTGAAATGCCCCGCGGAAGAGCGCAAGTTTGATACAATCGATAGAGTCAAATAGTTGTTCGAAATATGGCCTATCCGGCTCGACATAGTGTGCGGCGTTGGACATCTGTTGTCTGAAGTAGTCGTCGCTTTGCTGGAGTCGCCACGCGTAGTAATTGTTCAGTTGAATAAACGTCAATTCGAGATCATGCATACCTTCAGACTGCTTTAGAAGGATCGTTGGCATAGTCAGTCCTTGGCGACTGCGCTCAGCTTCTGTTCCATGGTTTTGGTCTACAGGACCCGTCAGAGAGCGCAGATAGGCTGTCTGTGGAAAAGCCACTGCAGTTCTCGAGTTGAGCAAGGTATCGCGCGGGAACAAGTGGCTGAAATGGCGCTTGACACGTTGTATCGGAACCGGTTGGCCATCGATAATGGCGGTCGGCGTTCTCAGGCCAGCCTGCACAAAGATCCCGAGAACGTTTGCGACAGCGCCCAATTCTTCCTTTTTGAAGTTTTTCCTTGTCCCCAGATTTTTCATCCGGGTTTTGAACATGGACAACCTTCTAGGATTAGCAGATAATGTTATTCAGCTGTTTGTAACTCACCCTGCTTCAAAGTTGTGTTCTCGTGCCAGTCGCTCAGATACCTCGAATAGGGGAAGCTTCTCGCGGATATACAATTGGTGCCATTGTTTCTTGATGCGATCCCACTCTGCTTTGCTCGGAGCGCGATTTCGAGACCTCCTGGGCTTTGGAAGAGCCATGTGATTGGAGAGGAAGTGATCCACAAGGTAAAACGGTCACGGACTCCAACCTCAGCCTGATGGAGACCTGTGGTTGGCTGAGAAAGCCTTAGAAAACAGTAAATGTTGTAGCAGTAGACGGTCCACAAGGAGAAGGCGCCACGAGCAAATGAACAGATCATCATATAGTCCGAAGCACATTAGAGACCGGGTCCAGAATATATACATCTCTTGAACACCTGGGAACTCTAGCAGAAAGTTGTTAATTGCGGAGACAACCATACTAAATCAGGTTAGACGGACTGTGCACAGTGAGGCTGCCTTGGAACAGGTGAGCCGTTCATCATTGTTCAGCTTCTAGCACAACAACTTTTGTCGTGGCCAATCATGGCCGACCGTCCCGTGGCGGTCAGGTCGAATATGAGGAGCAAGGGAGATTCAGTGGCAGACAAGCAATGGAGAGGCCCCAGTGACCAGGCAATGTAATACATTTCTTCGTCTCTCAGTTGCTTCCAGCTCACGAATGCTGTCCATTTATGCTATTGTACGAGGTACCTCGTACAGAGAGAAGAAACACGAAGACCGAGGGAACATAGAAGGCGCCTGTCAAGAATAACTTCCCTAACAGAACTAGTCCTAATACAGCCTAGCCCAGCACGTGCCTGACCACGTGCAATGAATGCCAACCGGACAGCCGGAATAAGCGATACGGTCCTTGGACGCAAATCACAGCCCAAGAACCGTTTGAGATCTGACTCTTTCAGACCTTGGTGCTCTAGTAATTATTTCCAGCTGCTTACCACCAACAAAAGGAAATTCTCTGTAAAAGAAACCCAGCTCACTTCTCGACTTGACATAAACGGTACCCACAAACACCTCCCGAGAATCCCAAGCCCGAGGGAAGCCAGAGTAGAACACGTCATACTGGTGCAGACCTGAAAGTGATGCTCAGACCATGTACTCGACCAGCCAGCCTGAATGTCGCAGTGCCGGAGGAAACCGCCGTCCAGTTGCTGGCTGTTGGACGTAAAGAGCTGGGGTTGATATCGATGACTAAAACGATCGTACATGGTGTTCAGGCTGCGGCTATTTCCTCTCTTGCACACCTCCATCCGGTTTCACTGAGCTCGGTCCTCAGTTTGATATCGACGGGGCATAACCTCACAACAGAACCGCACGACAGAAAATGAGCGTTCAGGGAAGGTCAGTGCAAGAGGAAACCCAGGACGGTGTGGCAAACCCATCTTGTGCGAGTTAATTTCCAATCTGCCGCGTGATTGCCCTCAAGTACTGAACAGCCCAGAACAACGGCGTGCATGTAGTCCGTGTCCTTCTCGTTGAGGTAATATGGTCATCCCTGTAGTTGTCGCACAGACTATCTCAGAGTGGTAGCAGCTCAAAAGTCCAAGCGTTGAGAAATCCACTTCGAGGGTCCAGCTACTGGGCGGGAGGAAGGGGATCCAGCCTCGCCCCCGAAAGCCAAATCCGACAACTTGAATCTCTTTCACGCCGATACTTTGTATCCGTAACTCGTCATCATGACCAACAGTGTTCCGACTCACTGCCAGGTCGAGAAACGGTCTGTGTCATCCATGTCATATTTGAACTGTGGTGGATCCTCCTGGAAGAATACCGACGGCTCGAGGATGGCTCCGACGACAGGTTCGTCAGACATGTCCTCAGCAGCGAGGTCTAGTGATATGCCAGCCGACACAGCGTTCAAGTCCCACGTACTAGGGTCATCGCACTGCCCCTGCATCTTTTCGCTGAAGGTCTCCTGAGCAGCCATATCTATGTGTGAGTCCAAGAACTGGGAGTGGACCACCACCCCATTACCATCATGGACTTCCTGCCCGCTTGTATTCCCAAGGTCGGGAAGAAAATCCGGTCCTAGTGGAAAGAAAGTGGGATCTCCAAAAGTTGCAAAGGATTCATGGCTGTAGTCGATTTCGACTTGTTCGTCGGGTGCTCCTCCACAAACTTCTAGACTAGAAAAACACTGTGGTTCGTTGTCTTTTGCACTCTCAGTCTTCTGAGCCTGAGCATCTTCCTTGTCCTCCACTGGGACTTCGATCAGACCGAGTTCGCCCATTTTCTGAAGTGCTCTGAAATCCCTCAACAACAACGAAATATAGGGATGGGAACGGCCAACCTTGAAAGACGCCCAGATCAGGGCTTTGCAGTAATAGTCTTGTGCCGTCGCAAAATCGAGTCTCGCAAAGTGTATGCGCCCCAGGTCCGCTGCCGCACTGATATACATCCCGTTCCGCAAACCATCGTATGGGTTCTTTTGTCCCATTTTCACGAACTTGGCAAAAATTTCCTCGGCCTGGCGCTCCCATATCTCTGCGTCGTGCCTCTCCCCTGCTCTGCGTGCTCGCGAGGCATTAGACATGTATAGTTTGGCCAGTCGACTTTCCACGAGTAACGTGTAACGATTGCGCTCGCCAAGGGTCCGTCTGTAGTGAGTAAGCTTTCTCTCTAGCAGCTCTTTGACATCCCGCCTATCTAGCCTGTATTGAAGGCTGACGATGTACATTGTCTCAATGGACAAAATATACTCGCGGTCGAGCTTCACACGGTTCCCGCCTGCATCTGCCAAATCCATCATGAGCTTGAGCGCCAATTCCGCACACGTGCCTAGGAGCTCCATGTGCGGCTCAAGACTGGCAAATGTATCCAATATCCTGGTCAAGGGATGGTGTGGTCCGAGCGATGGAGCATTGGCAGATAAACTACGCACGTATTTGGTGGCTTTGGCATAGACTTCTGCGTGTATGACCCAGGACATTGAGGTGAACAGGTGGATCATTTCCAGCATCAGATCCGGATGCTGTTGTTCGAAGGCTAGTTGGATGTCGAGGCACACCTTGTTCACCTCGTGTCGGGCGTGGGCTGCGTCCCCGTCGCTATAGAGCTTTAAAGCCGAGAGAAACCCAACTTTGATATCTGGGCGCGTCTTCGCTTCACGTTTCGCTATGACCCAGGAACTTGTTTCGGCTTGTTCAAGCGTTCCACACCAATGCTGTCTGACTTCATTCAACATGCGTTCTACCTTGTGATCGAGAGGAGACGCTTTCAGGGAAATTTTCGATAACATCGCTTTGCAACCGACATCGCTCTGCAGCAAAGAACACCTGTATTGAGTGTCGGATCCAAAGTGACGGTAGACGCGATCCCACACAACCGACCGACCGTCTTTCTCGGAAGTGGGTAGCGCAAGACCCAGGTCTGCACAGCGTTTTGCTTCTTCGGCGGCGGCTTTGTGCTCCTGTTTTGTCGAGTTCTTCTTAAAGCCCCACTGCTTGAGTCTCTCTTTCAACATGTGATCACTGCGAATAGTGTTAGCTGTGTTCACGCCAACACTCCGTTATGACTGACGCTGCCACAAACTGATGTCCCTTCGACAAGAGGACGAGTATGTCTTTCTGTTTCTTCCCGTCTTCCATGTAGTACCGTTCAATCAATGGCTTGACACGATCCCATTCTTCCGCAGATGGACCCTTTTTGCGAGGCAAGCTTGGCTTCTTGACCGCGGACTGAGTAGATCGAGCAGGGGTACGCGCTCGTGGAGCGGGAGGGTTTGGCATGGTTAGATGGTCTGTTGAATGAGTGGAAAGGAGGCTACACCCTGCTTCTTGAGAGGTATCAAGAATAAGAACCTGCGAGATATCGTTACACGGGGCACTGAGAGGCAAATATCTGCATCAATCAAAGAGAGGTGCACCCACTGTGTGATTCAAGGAGAGAAGACGCGAAGAGAAGGATAGCTGGGCCATGATGCCCCCCTATGGTGCCTGAATGTTTCGCTCTGGGTCTCCATGGCCCGACCTGTGAGGCTGCGCAACAAAGCCTGCTTAGGCAGTAACATGTTCCCTGTTAACCTGGCGGTGCAACACCCCACAGACTGCACCGCAGCGGCTGGCGGCATGATCTTAAGCAGCCCTCTTGAAAATCACGAGATAACATCCACAGTGTTCACAGGTTTGGTGCAGGAACATTCCCTTCCTCAGCAAATATTTGCCGTCCTCTCATAAGTCACGACAGAGACACCCGGGCCAGTCCAGCCCTGATCAGCCACGGAGGAGTGGTTTTTAGCGAGCAGACGGTTGATTGGCGCCTCCGGGCCCGGCAATCGAACTCGGTCCACAGCATTCAATCCACCCCATCACTATCTCTGAGCTGAAGATCTGTACCGAGTGTGGGGACTTTAAGATGTCTTATATTGTATCGTTGCAACGTGCTGATTAGGTGCCTCCATGGACACCCCATTTCCGAGAAACTCAAGAAACAGCTGGCGTTGCGGAAATCGTGAACGATAAACTCCTCCGGACCAGAACTTGCAGTGACAGGCGATGAAAAGCAAACAAATCCATCTACCCAGCGAGCCGGTGGAAAAAATAAGTGGCACCATGAGAAGAGGGAAGATCCATACTCGATGTGCACCGCGCTGCACATACCAACATGCTCACAAGTGTCCTGTAGGCACTCTTAAGCCTGACAAGACCCCACGAAGCGATCGGCACAGAAACCCAGAAACCTTTTAAGTCTCCCAGCTCGATGGAAATTACACCTTGTACAATATATTTGGCATTCACAACATTAGGTGCAAGGTGAGCACATGGCTGTATCCGCAGAACAGCGGCCATGCGTATAGGGTATAAGCAGGTAGAATACATTTCAGCCTCATGCCAGAAGAGCAATAACACCTGCCAACAGACCAGCAGCACTGAGGACGAGTTCACCACTTCGAGGGTCCAGCTACTGGGCGGGAGGAAAGGGGGCCCAATCTCGTCCCGGAAGCCAAATTCGACAATCAAGCATTCGTTCTATGCAGGCAGTCCGTTCATAAACAATTCAGACTCTCGGATAAGATCATTGAGATCCCCTGTACAGCGTGGGAGCTCACTGTCATCGCTCATCTGCAGATCGCGATTATCAAAGCTGGCATTCAGGAAGCTTAAGAGATCTGATGCAGGGGTGATGGAAGCGTTAACAAACCCCACCTCAAGGCTAAAAATCATCGAGTGCCGTGATGTCGAGACCATCTGCACAAGAGTCATCTGTGCCCTGCATATACTGCGCCCAGAAGTCTTCCTCAGTCGTGTAGACAAAAGGGTTGGATCCTGGAGACATGTTTCCATCGATCACCCCAGTCCCGCTGTCATGTGCAGCGCCGGAAGTGAAATTCGGAGGCAAAGTGGGCTCGCTCCGCGAAATAGACCCGACTTCAAGAAGTCCATCGGACTCGATACTTTCCACCGACTCAAACTGCGCGTCGCACGATACTTCACAAGCCTCCATCTCTTGACACGACTGCACTCGAGCCTTTTCTCCGCATTGGTTGTGCTGTTCGTTTTCTGGCACTTCAATGTCCACGAGACCCAGTTCTCCCATTTTCTGGAGGGCGTCGAACTCTCTCAAGAGAAGTGAAACAAATGGATGAGGGCGGTCAAATTGGTTAGAGGCCCAAAGCAATGCGAGACAGTAGTACTTTTGCGCGCCTCTGTAGTCTTGCTGTGCAAAAAGATGACGGGCAAGATCCTTTGCAGCAATACAGTATGCGCCTGTGCGATTGCGGTCCCTGGGGTATTTCTTCCCCTGTTTGACAATCTCAGACAAGATCTTCTTCCCTTTCTGCTCAGAGATCTCTCTCCGGTGTTTTGCATCTGGCCCTTGCATCCTTGCAGCATCAAATAGGTACATCTTTGCCAGATGAAGCTGCGTCGATAGAGTGTGTTTACTTCGGGGCCCAAGAGCTCGGCGATAGTGGAAGTACTTCGTCTGAACGAGCTCGTAAGCTTTAGTTCGGTCCAATCTTCTGGCGAGCTCTGTGACGAGAGAATCTTCCACGGAATATATGTAGTAGCCATCAAGCTTAACCTGGTCCTTGTGCTCTTCTACAGTATCCACCATCACTTGATAAGCCAGCCCTGTGAAGTCGTCGACAATTTGTGAAGTCAGCGGTAGATTGGTGAGTGTTGTTAAGACGCTGATCAAGGGATGCTTCGCTTTCAGGAACACGTGGCAGGCAGATAGAAAGTGTTTGGCGACAACGATATACAGTTCGGGGTGGTCGACCCACAAGCTGGACGAAAAAATGGAAATAAAAGCTGAAAGGAGGCTTGGTTCCTGGAGTCTGATGACATTGAACACAGCAGCGCACGTTTGACTCATCTCTCGCCACCCCTGATCGGCACGGCCGTTTCTCATTAGATTAAGCGCCCCAAGAAGTCTGACTTCGAGATGGACAGGGCAGTCTCTAACCCGCGCAGCCTTACGGCTCGACTTGATTGAGGCGAAGGTTTCGTTTCTTGCGATTATGACAGACCAGTAGCGTTTCAACTCAATTAACGACATCTCGATGTTGTGGTCGTCGATGGACGTTTTCAGGGCGACCTTAGAAATGAGTGCATCCCACTGAGAGCCGGATCGCAACGAGGAGCAGCCGTACTGTTTGCCGAAATGACGATACACGCGGTCCCAAGCACATGGTTTGCCGTCAAATTCCATATCTACTGGGAGCTTCAGGCCTAGGTCTGCCCGACGTTTTGCTTCTTTTGCTGCAATTTCGTGTTCGGCATTTTTGAAATTCTTCCTGAACCCCCACTGGGTCAACCTCTCTTTTAGCATGTGTTCTCTAGTAAGGTATTAGCATAGCCTTTTCGACGCTTGATTGAACACACTTTGCATCAAAATTGTGCTCATTCAACAACAATGTCCGAACTTCTGCAAGCTTCCTTCTTTCCTCGATATAGTATCGCCTGACCAGAGGCTTCACCCGTTCCCATTCCGCAATGGGAGGTCCCTTCTTGCGGAATGGAACTTGCTTATTGACAGGTTTCCTGACTTTTGTAGAGGTACTCGTTCGAGAAGCGCGACGTGTCGGCATTGTGGCAAGCGCGGTCTGCTGGGAGTGCAGAGCGGATGGCGCGAGCTGTGTATTCTGATTGTAATCGGTGTGAGGGGAGGAGATCAAGTTTGCAGGATTTCTTCAAGAAAGACAGAACGCAATCAGAGACTCTGCAGACAGACTTGTTACTGTACCTTTGCAAGGGCATATCCTAAGAGAAGGTGTGGCCAAGGCAGAAGAGCACAGTCGTTTGCTGTTCTGTCTCATCTTCAGCCTGAGCCCCGGCGCCCCTGGCCGAGACCTCTGAGGCTGCGCAATATCCCATGCTTGCTTTGTTGCCACATGACCCAACCCAGCTCGTGGCACCCCAGACCACAGTTTGCTGCTGGATGAGCATTGCCGTTTGGACAAAACTTACACCTCAAGTTAGAGGAGTCGATGTTTGGGCTCTTTGGCAAGCCCTCAACCGGAGATTTGAATGAGCTTGAAGCGACGATTGAGGGATAAATATTAAGTGCCTGCGACAAGACCCGCCATTGCTGCAGCTTAAGCGACACACAAGATGACTGGAGCCAGCACCGCCTTCTCACATCCGAAGAGGTCCACTGCGTAACAATTACCCACATCTCTGATTAGTCTCTTTGTACTTGGTACGAGTGATTTTCACTTAGGATGACTTGTCACTGGGTCCCCTTCACAAGACCTCCTGGTCGACACAGCTGTTGGAGTTATCCGATGATAAAGTGCCATCGTGCCAAAGCCTTTACACGGTGACATCTAACATGGAAGGCGTGCAACACTGGATCGGAATAGAAAATATTAGCTCGGTAAGACGATTCTATGGCAGCAAAGTGGATTGAAGTATCTCATGGCTCATTCAAGGACAGGCTGCGTTTGTTTCGTACCTCAAGGCTGTTCGCGATCTCGAGCCGGACACAGCTCTTCGAAGTGGTCAGAAACACCTTGGTAATGCAGATCAACTAGCAAACCGTGTCTATAAACGAACGCCATATCATGACTGTGAAATATACAGTATGTAGATGCATTCAATGCTCATGCCAGAAGAGCAATGACACCTGCCAACACACCAGCAGCACTGAGGACGAATTGACCACTTCGTCGATTCTGCCCGTTGGCAGTATTTGTGCTTCCAGTGGTTGCCGCAACACCGCCATTCGACTCGCTGCTTGCTTCGCTGGTGCTGGTAGCAAAACTGCTCTCGGTGCGCGAATTGGAAAGGGACGTTGTGACTTGACTTCCAGTCCCTGTTCCGGATAGGGTTACAACGCCAACGGAATTGATGGTTGCCGTTGGAACGATACTATCTGTGCCACCGCCGATAGGTGAAGTGGTGGAGGCAACTGGAACGACAGTTGCTGTTGTAACCAACGTCACTTGCCCATCATCTCCACTTGAGCTCTGATCACTTTTGCTACCGAACGTCAATCCGGTGATTTGGGCAAGTGTGTCCCCGTTTCCAACAGCCAATATCTTATACCCAGACCCTGAGCCTTGTATTGTGCCGGCAGGCACAGTATACGACCCGGTGTATGAAACGACACCCGTCGCAATTGTCAGATCTGTGTCCGAACCGGACTTGCCAAGTTTAAGGTCGATGGTCGAGGGATCCGTATAGCTGAGAGACCACCAAATGACGACATCCTTGCTTGGGTCTATGCGCGAGTCGGAGCTTGGAGAGGTGAATTCGAGGCCAAGTGAGGAGGAAAAGAGTGTCGCCAGGCAGGCTACAACTTGGAAATGCGATCGCATCGGTGGGGGTGACTGATGGTTTGCGGTTTCCTTCTGCGAGGTTTAATGGGTGCCAATGCGAGATGGTATGTTTTGGTGGGTAACGACCTGCAAATATCTGGAAAATGAGGGCGAAACTAGCAAATTGATAAAGAACGGACGCACTTGACAATGGCCAAATGCAGCACAGACGACTCCTCCGCAATGAGAAAACCACGAGGAGTGTGGAGGAATCTCCTCAGGACGCGAAACAAAAGGGAAACGCAGGCGTCATAAGGCCCGCGAAAGCAATCAAATCCTAGCGCGACTATCCGTCTGCATTGGGAAGATGGGGCAGTTGAGGCTGAGGGACTTTTCCTCTTGCGGCTTTTCTTCAATAAATCATAACACGAGGCTCCGCTACTCGGCTCGGTTCATGCACCTACATATACGAGTAATCAGTAACCTATGTACAAGCAGACACAACGTCTCAACAACTGCGACTGGTCATGTTGGCCAAGCGAAAACAAGCTCCAGCTCCGGCTAAAAATACTCCTCCAAATGTAAGCTCGCTATTGGAATGGGAGGTACGCAGTATCTGCACCTATGCATGTATGTACCTCTTGCGGACGCCGGACAGCTACACAGCTTCCGTGATACCAAGACACTCGTACAGTCTCAGCCTTCCGGGATTCGGACGACTACTCGAACATCTTCATCAGAACAAAACCGGGGTTCAAGGGGTGGGGCATTATGCAATCATCAGAGACAGTTGATTCTCGAGCCCTAATAATAAACTCCTGTCAAGCAATACGTCGTGTATAAAACGATGGGTTATCGGAGGACAATTTCGTATCACAGCAGGCCGTGTTGCAAAACGTGTCCATCTGTCAGCCAGACCCCTTCAAATGTCACCATAAGCACCACTCCTCGAGGTTTACAGGTCAATCAAACTCCCGCCCTGTTGACCAGCCAGCCGAGCTCCGTACGGATTATTCTGCTGACCATACCCGCCCGCGAATGCACTACCTGGCCCGGTTTGAGCTGGCATTTGTTGGCCAAACCCGGTAGCCTGGGCTGAAAAGAAAGGGTTGGTGCCGGTTTGTGCGGCGCGCAGGCGATCGAGACCTTGCCCAGCCGAATTGACAAACGTTCCTGGTGCGGTATGTTGGGCTGGAATACGCAGATCGCCTGTGTTTCCAAATGTATCCTGCCCTTCCCCTGAAGCCAACAAGGCATTGAGCTTGGCATGTTGTGGATTGACTGGCTTTTGTTGTTGCTGGGAGGTCGGCTGTGGTGCTGTGTAATTCGTGATTGGGTTGGCTTGGTGCTGGAAGGTCGGCTGCGGTGCTGAGTAACTCGTGATTGGATTGGGTTGGGAAGGCTGGGTGAATTGCGTGGTGGGCTGCGACTCGAACAGAGTGCCCAGCGAAGGCTGAGTGCTTGGCCGGGCGAAGGGCGATGGGGATGACTGCTGCGCTCTCTGTGCGAAGGGATTATTGGACCCAGTAGGCAACGGCTTGAGTGCAGCCGGGGTTTGGGGTGATGGACTGGCCCAAGGGTTGTTTGTTCCAGGCTGGAGGTGATTTTGCTGAGGTGACTGGATTCCGAACAGGTCACCAGAAGGCTGCACACCATACGGATTATTGGTCTGAAACGCAGTCTGCTGAGGTTGGATAGTGTTCTGCTGCTGCAAGAATGGTGGCTGGCCGAATTGATCATATCCTGTTGGATGGACAGGCTGAAAGCCATTGGCGAACCCGTTTTGAAACCCTGTCTGCTGTGGCTGGGCGTATTGGTTGTTCAAGAAGCCGGTGCTCTGTGGTTGCTGTTGAAGTGGATTACCAAACCAATCCACAGCAGGCTGTTGTTGGTAGCCCTGATTGTATCCAGTTGGCTGATTCTGCGCTGGTGGTGGCGCGGGCGTGTCATCCACAAGTAAAGCAGCGTTTTGCTCCTCAAGCTTCCGGGCACGTTGCTCCGCTTCCTCCTTACTGAGCTGTATCGCTCTCAGGACATCCGGATCTTGTTCATCATCCTGCTCGTTTTGACGCCTGCGAGCCTCGTCTTCGGCGCTATCACGAATTGCCTTTCTAATTTGGATTTCCTCCTCAGGTGGAATATCGTCTGCTTGATCGTTACGCTTTTGACTGCGTTGAGGATAGGTAGGACCAGCGATGGCCTGCTTTGCGTATTCGTCAATTCCCGCGACACGGGCCTTCCACAATTTGCGGTCGGAGCGTTCGCTGCGCAGACGATCCTCGTCCAGGATGAGTGCAGTCAATTCTTTGGCAGATGTGCGGACTGCATCAATCAGCATGTGCGGCTCTGAAAATGAGGGCCATGAAACTGCTCACCGTTTTGTCCCACGTCTCTGCCATCCTCATCAATATATTGGAACTCTCGCAATGTCTTGATGATGTAAATGTTCTTTCTAGCCCAGGTGACCACCAGTTCCGAGCCCTCGTGCAGACAATAGTCAAGGACTTTCAATGACTTCAGCACATGTCGCCAGTTCTTGCCTTTGTCGTTTAGCCGCTTATCGAGCATATCCATGATCTCGTAGAAGTCACTCGGGCTATACAAATAGGATCAGCATAGGCAGCAACCTTGCCATTGAACAAATCTTACTTGTTGAATGTGAGGGCTGCAATCTCAGCCATGTCCGTACCCGTCGGGCCCCATGGATCGTTGGAGGTAGCTTTATCGCCATTGATTCAGTGTGTGAAGGAAGACCGCTAGGAGCGAACACCTACCATTTCGCACCTTGACCTGAACACTACTGTATCCCTTTGTGACATTTTTAACACTTCTCACGACTTTCGACATACTTCCTCCTTTTTTGTAGATGGGCGCAGACTGCAGCGAGGAACCTCTGTAGATGTTCTCGGAGGACCGCTGAGTGCGGGAGCCGTCACCGAGTTCGTTGGAAACCCCGACTATGGTACGGCGACGAGTGGGTTGATCCCGAAATGAGCGGCTAGGCGTCTCAGTGACCGAATAGCTGCGGCCGGTTCGATCGGTCACTGTGCGCACAGTGGGGATGTTTTGGTAAAGAAGAGGTGAGGCGAAGAATGCCAGATTGACTGACTGTCCGAAGAAGCCTTAAAAGTTGTTAGGTAAGAGCAGTTAACGTCAGGTGGGCGGCAAGGCAAGCGCCCGCAAAGCCCACAAGCCCACAAAAAGTCTGAATTGAGCGATGCCCGATGCCCTGGGTGCCTGCCTGGCGGAAGCAGGAGGCTGCTGACGATGATGATTATCGCCTAGACCTGGCTAGTTAGTTGCTTGGTGGGTGGAGGAGGAGGAGGGAAATGATGGCGTGGCGCAGTTGCTGCTAGTAGTGGCTGATGATGGAGTACGAGGTCCACTGGTGATGCAGATTGTTCTTGATCTGTGCTTGAATGGTCTGTCTCAGGTCAGGTACAATGATGCTGCAGGAGAATTTGAAGCGGGAGGAGCAGCAGGAGTAAGAGGGATACGTTATGAAATACTATCACCAAAACCTCTTGGAAGGAGGAGGGACAAGGTCCATGTGACAGATAGCTGGCGTTGGGTTAGTGTGCCTTTTTCCCTCATCCACCCCCCGTCCTCTCGTTCATCTTCCAAGGTTCCTTCTACCACTCTGTACCATTGGAACTGCTGTTGGTTGCCGCGTCAAGCTTCCCACTTGGCAGCTTGAGCTCGCCCCGACTCTGTCAGCGATACACCGACCCTTCCGAAGCGAACCATACCAAGTGCGGAGGTGCTGGCATCACCTAATACCTACGGCGCCGCAGTCTACGCAATACATGATGTCCTCGTCTGACTTAACACCACCACACATTTCCTATGTCCTTCGTACCGGCAGCTGCTCGGCCTGTGAAGTGGATATTACTGAAAGATTTGTTAAGAGTCAAAGAGACGCTGTTACAGAGTTTACCATCATCGATGCAGCACCAGCGGTTCCCTGATTGCCAGTACTGACCTCCACCAACCCATACCCTAGGCCTTTCTAACGATTCTATTTAAGAGGGATCCAAGTACATGAAGCATGCCATCAATGAAAATATACATGGCAAACATGGATGTCTAGACAACGAAAGGGTGTAACAGGCCTACCATCAGGTGAAAACATAGTTCGCCTCTAAGATGAAGTCCTGATGCGAACATCGCCCAAAGGATGGGGAAAAAACTCTCCCCTCACAGCAGCCTTTTGAGTCAGGGGTCTACTTTTTGAAGAAACATCTCACTACTAAACACCCAGATTGGACGCCTACACCCGTGATCGGTTCTTTTATCAATAGCTGGGTGAACCAAGCCGTCACTAATAAACGCCTCTATCGTGGAGTCTGGCGGCAGAAAGAGTATGTTACTCTTCATGTCCTTCGCCGACTAATCGTCTCCTGGTTTACTCGCATCTTCCAAGAAGGAAGTCCAAGTTTTGACGTCTCTCTCGGCAAAGTCCTTCCTGTTATCCTCATGATGTCGGTCGACTCTCGTGCTGGAGATATCGTTGGTACAAGCGAAAAGTACAATCAGCAGGGGATGTATGCCAAACATGAAGATATCCTCTTACGTCTGGACGGCGGTGACACAGAGGTTGTAACAAATATCAGCGCTACTGTTACACTCAGATTCGAGAAAGGGGAGAAGTAAGTTATATCAACCTTTCATTTGGTACTCATCAATACTTACAATCTTCTCAGGTATTCAAACGACAATCGCACACGACGTGTCGAATCTTTCAAGGTTCCATCATATAACTGTGTCGACTTCATTCTCCTCTGAGTCGCTCATTGCCTCCGTCATGGATTCTTTGCAGATGGGTAAACACTACCTGAGGTCCTCTCTGCTGCGAAAAGACGAAGAGATCGTACATTGTGATATAGATACCCACACTATCCCGCTATCGCCAAAATCTATCAACATCAACATGGACTACTCCAGACTGACCAAGCAGCCACTGTCAGTCAGGTTCGGAACACAGTCGATTCTCTCGGTATACAGGCTGGCTTCCTTACTCGGTTAGTCTCACACGATGTCCGAAGAGGGTCTGTAAAGGATCTCGCAAAGCTCCCAAAGCATCTCATGCAGACGCATCATAGCGGCGTTGCCCGAGCGATGGGTCACACATCAAAGAAAATGGGAGAAAAGTATAACAAGGACGAAGATTCTCCCTTGAATGTATACAAGGCCACAAACAAAGAGACAAGAATTGACAATCGACTTATCCAGGCTCAGTCACCATTCCCAAAGCCAAATCATCAGGAAATGAGGAAGATCATAGATGATGCTATCGTCGCCCATGCAGATGATATTCAACGAACTACTTCTCGTGACATCTCATTCTTCCTCGGTGAGACCCCTGGTAGGGACTGCGACGGCTATCATGAATATCACCAAGTTCGCGGAACCTATCGCCGCACTGCACTCATGGAAATGTACTACGAGGGGGCCGCAGAGGAGGCAGGTTCATCAGATGACAGGCCCTCATCGAAGCGACAAAGATTCGACGATGGCATTGCTCTATTGCCAACTATCTCGTCTAATCAAGATCGTCAACCTAGTCATCAATCATCGAATGTTCTACCCCCAAGTCGCATTCAGGCATAACTGATCAGCCATCGAGCTAGCAGCCAGCAAATCGTCAGGAATCTACTTTCTGACCATTAGATCCTCATCTTTTGGACCCTCAGTCGCCACTTCCTATTACCATGCCGCGCATCCTCCCAGTCTGACTCTCCCGGAGTCTATATCTACCGTGGATGAAAATCTCGAATCCCTTGAACCGCTCGAGCCCCTTGTACCCCAAGAACAACAGGAGCTCGGTATCCTCAATGAGAAAGATATGGCTGGAAGTCTATAAGAGACGCTTCATAGCCCTATCGTCGATGAGACAACTGCTACCGCTAGTCCAGACACTGGAGCCCTTCTGTTGAGCCTTGATGAAGCTCGATCACAACTCGAACGTGGAGGCACAGACTTTCCCACTTCTCTGCTTCACAAGCCAGACCCGACAGAGTTTGTCCTCTACTTCTCACGATATCATAAGGTAAACAACAATGGCTTGAAAGGAGCAGTTTCGAACCATTGCTGGACGGCGCTCGAACTTTGCAAGAGAATCAGAGCGATACCTTTTAAAGGATGCACATCGGCTTGTGATGCAGTATCAGCATTCAACGGATTAGAGACTTCCTCCAAATGCATCATTCGACAGGTAACGTATGTCATCGATTGAAACTGAAGGTTGACAGACAAACAACAGGCCCCAAATGGGATGGGCATTTCGCATGATTTTCAATTTCAGCATCCTTGACATCACGACTTTTGACAAATACACCCAGGTCAAGTGGTGGTCAAGTAGTGTGCTCCGTATACATCGCAGAGATAAGGTAAGCTGTACCTCGAACACCTCACATCACTAAGGTTTCATGCTTTGCTTTGAGGCAGGAGTCTTCTTCTCCCTCTCTCGCTACATCTCCCCAACATGCAACAATCTCGCATGATTGACATCTGAGCCCTCCATATGGTTCCTGGCCTGTCCATGATACTTCTGAAATCCTTCCGTATTCGTATATTCCAAGTGTTGTTCCATGTTGTCCCAGCCAGTGAAGAGGACGAACTGCTGTTCCTTTAGTTCCTCGCCTTCACTTGAAGGATCGTATCCTCTGTCGAGGCGCCATCCCCCTGCGATCCGCGCCGGTCCCCCCACCACTGACTCCAAGGCGTGTCTGATGTCCTGTACTGCAGCCGCGAATTGGCCCCTGTGCCCGTCCTTGACGAAGAACCGATCAACCGAGAGGACGTCATGGCGGAGCGGCAGCGGGTCGACGCGCTGGTCAATGTCGAGATGAAACATCCACTCCACCGTGACCTGGTCCCTAAGCAGGCGGAGGATTTCCTGGTTCTCTGCGCCGGGGATGAACTCGCGCATGTGAAACTCGACAGACGGCCACGACCCCAGGATGAAGATCACTTCGGGGTCCTCGATGCAGTGGTAATACCAGAATTCATGTCCGCTAGCCTGTTCCATCGCGGTCTTGGCCTGCGCGAGATGCGCGCGCAGCGACGGCGTCGAGGCCGTGGTGCCCTTGTGGAGGCGCAGGCGAGCGAGCTCGGTGACGGGCATTGTTGTTGTCGATTGTTGAGTGTTGAGTGTCGAGCGTCAATTGTCAAGGCGGTGGCGGTGCGTGTGGGTGAGGGTGAGGTGGGGGAGGATTCTGAATGCGGTCGACAGGTAGAGGACCCGTGGAACGCTACCTACTGTATGTACTAGGCAGTACCCGATACCTGGTACCAGGTCGTAGGTCCTATGTAATAGGTAGATAGGTAGGTAGGTAGGTAGGTTGTCAAGGAACGCGTTACCCAGTCCTCAGTATCCAGTACTTGTTTCTTGTAGTCTTGCTTGTATTTCCGTGCCCGAAAGCATTGGAAGAATACTCGTAAATATATATATATATATATATGTATATATAATATATATCTGGCGTAGAAGTATATTGATGATGTCCTCGGACGATACGTCACATACTTTCTGCCTGCGATGATGGCTATGATCGCCAGGCTCCCAAACGCTTCGCACGAACCGAGTTATGAATACCTATTTGGGAAGATGTCACGGAGCCGAGTACATAATCGGTATTAACTCGTACATGTACGTCTAACCGGGTCGTTACGGTGCGTGTCATGAATAAATTCGCCATGTGGCATTGACCGGATCCTCGTTGGATGATAGAGAGATGCTCCGCTCATTCCTTTTGCAGATTTTCCCAGTTATGTACAATTGTAACCGTCTCTATCTCCACTATATACGATCTCAGGTATGCCAAATATTTATGAGCCCAGGGAATGTAGGTGCGACATCACATCTAGTCTTCCTGTATTGAGCCCGGCGTCGGCTCGTAGTAGTGGATCGCGCCCTTGGCCTTTGCACAGGTCGTGTTTGGAGCAGTGGCATTGACCGGAATGGAATTGCCGTCTTGAGGACGTCCGACGACCTAGATACGCGCAGAATTCGTTAGTCATGAGAGCCTGAAGCAGTTTTTCCCTTTATGGGGCGGCTGTCCTGGGGAATGCCACTCACATGCATATAGTACCACACTTCGCTGAGGACGGTGCGCCCGCTGTCGGTGCTATTGGCTGCCATTCCCTCCTTCGTCGTATTATATCTTGGCCCTGAACATCCGATATACGGCACCGCACCGTACTTTTTGGCCAACTGTCCCTGAATCGCACTCAACGAATAGGTCGTGCTATTACTGGGAACAATCTTGGCCTCGTTCAGCCACTCCCATGTCGGCAATCTCTTGTAATACTTGATGGCTGTCTCGAAGAAATCCACCACATCCTCGTGCTCGACGTACTCCGGCCCGTAGCAAGGCAGATCAAAGGTCGAGTAACAAGTCGCATGTTTAGAGAATTCGTGGCCCCAGAAATCGTGGTTTGGCGCCCCTTGGTTGATCCAGAACTTGTTCATCCAGTCCAACAGGTCAAATCGCCCAAAGGGCTCGAGGAACGTGCCCACATTCGGCCCCGTATAAGCCGGCACCACGGTTCCGTTCGGCAGGCCATTTGTCGTGTTCGGCGCCGGAGCAGGATCGTACTGACGACTCAAATCGCAATATTGCACAAATGAACCATTGCAGAAGTCCGGCCAAAGTCCGTGAAGCGTGAAAGAATTGGGTGGTAGCTTTTGGCCTTGAGCCTCGAGACCAGTATAGGTATTCCAAAATTGGGTGCTGAGCAAAAGACCCCCAAAGGTTTCGGTGCAACAGGTGTCGACTTGATCGGCAGTAGCTTGTGAAGAGCAGGAGAGAACAGCAGGTTCTGAGGGTAGCAATTGGTGAGATATTCTCTCGTAGTTGTTCGAAAGACAACAGCTCGAATATAGGGCTGATGCCGATGTTCACTTACCGAGGATGCAAGTGTGGTTCTGTTTGCTCTCACCGTATAGAGAGGCTTTGACAGCACTCACTAGGCCAAGCAAGAAGGCGGTAGACTTTAGTGAAGCCATGTCGGACTAAAGTCTCTGACCTGAGGGTGTTGGGGGAGACGAGGCTGCAGTTGGTAGTGAAGACAGAATAAGCTTCCTTGCACTGAACACCCTGGAGGGAAAGAGCGACCTTATATACCAGCTTACATAGCTGGAGCATGCCTGTGGTAGCTTCGGCGTGGTCATCTTGCCTGGACCATGTCGGCAGGGTATCTTCGCAAGACGATCTCGCATCTGCAGGAATCCATCATGCTCTCCACACCAAGGGATGGTGACCAGGCGGGAGAGCTGGAGCTTTCGACGAGTCGCAGAGCGTGATTCGTGCACCTGCACTCCATAGGTCGAGCCTGGAACAAAAATAGGAAAACCGTGCAAAAGCTCTCACCAAAAATGCAAGTAATCAGTATGGTGACAGCATGATGGACTCAATGGAACATGGCGTGCATGGGTACAAAGCTGTACTTGTAGATCGCGTGCATGATTGATTGGTCGCTGAGATAACGGAAGACGGGGAATTGGGGAGGCGAACATGGGAACTGACAACAGGGTTACATGGAACCCGAGGACCATCAGGATGTTGGACGTTGCTTAACCACTGGCTCGGAATTCGCCGCGATCGCAGAACAAAATAATAGCCAAAGGTCAAGACCGAGATTGGCCTCGTAACATGCTCTTCTTCTTGTCCGGGAAGTGAACGCTCGTACTCGGAGGTGTATACTCGTAGTTGATCTATGTCATTGCAACATGCTGGTACAATTCGACAAGGGAGAAAGAGGGAGCCACCCCAGAAAGAATTACTCGTATAGTATCTAATTTCCGCCGAGGGCAACCAATCACTAGAAGAAAGTCATTCATCCGGACGATAGTCGGTCTGCCCGAGCATTTCCTGTCCTTTTGGCAAGTCGGGCGCACTCGTCGCAGTTTGCTGGACCGGAGCTCGATTGGCTGCAGCATTGAGCCGTTCATCTAACGCTTTGAGGGCCAGTGCGCGCCGTCGTTCGGCCTCTTCCCGTTTGCTCATGCCTCGTGCTCCGCGGGCGTGTTTGTTGAAACTGGGTAGGCCTGCCTCCCCCCTTGCGGCGGCTTGTTCATTCCCAGTCGCGATTTCTTCCTCAGAGAAAGGTGTGCATATCTTCAGATTACACAACAGAATGTAGACCTGATCGCAGAAAGCGGCAACTGGCGGCTGCATGACATCAGGAAAGAAGGTTGCAAAGGCGAACGTTTCGCTGGCATCACCCTTCAAGCCCCGACTATCAGTCCCCGATCCCGACAGATCAGGCTGGCGCTTGTAGAAGCGGAGGTATGTCCAAGTTGTTATCAATCCATACCATGCGAGGAAAAGGCCAACATCGGTGCCGATGATCAGTCCGGAGAGGGTGTTTAGCGCGAGGAAAACTGCAGGGAAATGTTTGACACGCATCTTGATCATGCCCTTGTATATGCTGACGGTATGCTCGGGAACGAGCTGCTTAAAGGCAACTAGGAAGGCCGCCTGTGTCGAAATACCACCAGCGATGGGAGTCATGGCTCTTTCAGGATTGCCCGTGATGGCTCCCCAAAGGATGTAGGTTGGCACCATCAGCAAGTTGGGTATTATAGATGAGATCAGGATAACGTAAACAAAACCCTGAGTTCCCCATGCTCTTTCCAGGTATTTTCCACCAAAGAAAATATTGACGCCGTTGATGAGGAGGGTAAGGATATTTTGCTCAACAAAGGTTGCGCTCAGGAACGTCCAAGGATACCACAAACATTGTGAAGGAACCAAGGCTAAGTATGGGACGATGGGTCGTACGGGTGGATTTGTCGTTGTCGGATCGCCAACACTGGCATTATCTGTTGACAGCCTCCATCGCGCGATGTTGTAGAGGAAGGATAAGGACACAATAGTCCCGAGCAGGACCCGAGTGACAGGAGGGAGGTTGATGCGAATGGCCATTGCGGAGGGATCGAAGGGCTCAATTCACATCCCGACGCTGCCAGAGAAGACCGAGATGCTGATGACCGTCACGGGACAGTCGAGATGTCTGCAGCAGTATGTATGGAGGTCGTATTTTGATGCAGGAACCAAAAAGTCGATTGAATCCAAGGCTCAGGCTCAGGCTCAGGCGCAGGCGTAGGCGCAGGGAGTTAGTTGCCTAGCCACTTCTGAAGCGCATGCAGCCGATGCTAACTACAACGGGCACGAACGAGGAGGTGGCACTGGTGGCTGGATTTGTTTAGGCAACGATCCTGACCACACCGATCCTGTGGGGATCTGGATATGCTCGTAATTATCGTAGAGGAACACCGCAAGAGGATATTTTGAAGATGTATCTAGGTGATTGTCGACAGCTGTCATATCATTTGATTATATTTGTCCCTCGTGACCGACCACCATTAGCACTCGCATCGGCATTTACTGGATTAAACCTCTTTACTTGGTCAGTGGCCTCAAAGATCGGCTGTCACGAGATACACTGACATGTCGACAAGTTGTACGAGCAGGTTGGCTGCACTTCAGTACCTGTAGCCAAAGGCTGGACACACCTGAAACTCGAATAGCCCAGCTGCAGGTAATTGATTGGTCCCAAGCGGGGGTCCCTGACTCCTGGGGGTTGCAGGTGGGTGCCAGGGACACAGTGCTTGGCTCTTCCGCCAAAAACCCACTAACGAAGTGGCCCCAAGTAGTTAGAGGGGTCCTCCCCCCAAAGCCCCCCAAAGCGCTGCCACATATCCCAGGCCCAAGCGCCCTAGCAGCCTCTCAGCCTAGTGGCCTCTAGTGGCTAACAGGCGTGTTTTCTCGGTTCTCACAAGTGACAAAGTGACAGACAACCTTGCCCTGTCCATCCCATCCCATCTCATCCCATCGCAAAAAACTCATCTCCCATCACCACTTTCTCTTCTTCAAGAACCATTGCGAATTGGTCATTACCCATCTACACGCCTCAAAACTTCTTTTTACTTTCAGACCTGTACATTTAACCCACGATCGAGACCTCTCAGGACCTTTATTTCATTATTTTGTTTGCGCCCGACTAATAGCTTCCACTCTCATTTTCGCCCAGCGGCAATCCATCACTACTCTCCCTCACACTTCTAACGACATCGGGGAGAAGTTAGGTCATCTTGCGCACGTCTCATTTCTGCAGTCTCCGTCGTCCAGTTGACTGAGCATCTCCATTCTCCGTTCAGTGGACTGCGATTTGCCGACTAACACTCAAAACTGGGACACGAACAAAACGACTCTGTGGCGGCCTGCAGTTCAAGCGGAATGTCGGCATGGAGACCGACGCTGCATCAACATTCAGTGCAAAGCCTCCTCCGCTGACTTCGGACCAACTGAATTATCTTATATGGAGGTGCGCGCGCGTCTGCTCTTGTCTCTTGTTATGGGCTGTTCCCAGCAATACTGACGAATTTTCGCAGATATCTTCAGGAATCAGGTAGGGCCGCGTTCCCGGGATCCACCGCTGCGTACGAACGCACTAAACCAATCCTAATAGGCTACGCTGAGGCTGCGGTCAAGCTTCAACGCGATTGGAATGTCAACGCAGAAAGCCTCCCATTTGCGAAATGTGTCCAAGGCCACGCCCTTGTTTCTCTTGTGCAAAAAGGTCTCCGCTATCACCACTTGTCGCTCACGATTGATGAGGTATTCCAACCCACTCAACTGCAGGTAGGAATTGTGCACCTACTAACCCCGATTTAGAATGGCCGGCCTTCGAAACAGCTCAATCCATCCATGTTCTTCTTTGGCCCCGAGAGCGAGAAACCCCCCCGCGAACGGCCTGATGAGCCGATCATTTCGGCACCTTCACCAATCGAGTCCGTCACGGATCCCCGAAGACAACCTCGCGATGGCATGACGAACGGTCTTCAGGAAGCCTTGGCTGCCCAACCGGCTGTCAAACGAGGCAGGAAGACAGCACCTAGCTCGGAACGAACTGGAAGCGTTGCGCGCAAACCTTCAGCGTCTGCAAATCGACATGGTCATTCATCCGCCATGGATGTGGACATGCTAAACGGCCATCTTGCCTCTCACGCCGACGCCAGATCTCCGTCTGCCACCGAGCCGGGAGCTGATGAGAGCGGCCCACTTACTAATGGTATCAAGGCTGATGAGCGTATGGATATTGATGAAGATTCACTAGCCGCAGATCATCACAACCATGAACCACACATTGAGGTCGTGCTGCCGACTGTCCATACTCTAGCCACGGGGCACAGCGTCGGTATTCAAGTTGTTCCTGCCAAAGTTGCAAACCTTTCCGCATCCACTACCATCCTTGAGCTGCCCCCCAATCCTGGCTCTGAAATACCCAAGTCCATTAGTCGAATTCAATGGAGACCTGGGGAGGACAACCTGCTGACAGCAATGGGGGATGATTTTTGTGGGTTCTGGACAGCTGCCGACCAAGTTTCAGACGCCGTTGGATCACCTAGCTTTCAAGAGCTGTTAGAATCGAGAGATGAAAAATCTATCAGTTCAATGGCATGGGAGCCAAATGGAGAACTGCTTGCAGTTGCGACGTTCAGCGCCCGCTTTGGGCAGATACATATGTTTGACGGTCAGGACCACTCTATGCTCGAGGCCCTACCGGCATCGCAAAGAGCAATTGCCTCTCTACTGTGGCTTCAACAAGGTTCGCGCTTGCTCGGCCTCGCTCCCTATGACGCTGAGACTACGAACCCTGACCACGGCGGCGGTTCCTCCATTCTCCTCTGGGATCTATCTCGATTATCCGGCCTTGCCGAACCTTCATCGGTCCCTATCCCCGAAATACTTGTGGATTTAGATAGTACATTTGTTGGCGGAGCTGGCATTGTTTGCGCTGCGGGGGAGAACGCAGTCTACCTCTGTCGCGCCTTCACAACTATCGCGATCGAGCGGAAGTGGGCTTCGGATGTCAGCGAGGAAGACCAATGGACCTTCATCAGGTGCACCGTGCAGGGGACCAGGCATGGGGAAAGCGAGGTCATCTTGTTTGCGGCGTCCGCCGACACCGGTACCCTATGGATGCCAGCCCAGAACGTGTTCAGAAGAGGCGCACATGATTCACCTATTACAGGCCTCGAAATCCGGCATCGCATCCCTGGAACGTCGCTTCCTGCGTCGAGACACGAGTTTGCAACTTCCTCCATGGATGGAACTATCAAAGTTTGGCAGTACGATGTGATGAGCAATTCGTTAACGTCAGTGTGCAAACTCATCATCGGACATGGCTCGCCTATCATGACGCTATCGTATTCTCCCGATGGCTTCTGCTTGGCAGGAGCCAGCTATGATGCTGCTCGCATCTGGAACGCCGAGCATAGCCACAACCTGATGGCAACTTGGAAGGACGAACAGAACTTATGGAAGGGTGCACAGCTGAAGGACGATGACATTCTGAGTACCTGTAACTCTGCGAGTGTTGACCTCGATACGATTCACCCGACTTATCATACATTGGCTTGGGACGGCCAGAGTAAAAGGCTCGCTTTCGGCCTAGGATCTCAGGTAAGCATCATTCATCCCGCCAAGTTCCATCGTGCTGCGCTCACATGTTCAGGTTGCTCTCATGCATTTGCAACGATGAAAATCTTCCTTGCGCTAGCCAGTGTCAGCTCGATCTGAGACTCGATGTACTACTAATATGTATGACCATCAGCATCTAGGGTATTGATGCATGTCCAATTGTTGCTGGCGCTCTCCTGGATAATCGAACGCTATGGTCAAAGAGATATTAAAACCGGGTGTAATGAACGTACAGGTGGAAGCAATGAAGACCGGTACTTTCCAAGGTTGGGCAACACCAGTAACCCTTTGACCCTCATTAATCAGACTCCAGTTGCTGTCTCAAATTCACCCCATTCATTATCACTGTCTTCAGGGATAGTTTTGAAGTCCTTTGCACGAGGAACTTTAGCGGCGGTCTGTGACGACCTCAACTCCTCCTCTACATCACGGAAACCTCTAAGCCACGCCGTGACACCCTCCTGCAAGGCCCTCACATCGGAGGGCCCGTCGAACCCAGAGTGGCCTCGAGATTCAACTGGTTCCTCCACATAGTAGCGCCCACGAAACCTGCCTCGGCCTCTGGTGACAATTTTCCGTGATTGAGAGGGTCGGTTTGGTGTTGGGGAACCATTAATCCATCCTTCTAGACCGGACACTGCGCTCGACATGGCTTTCACCGCTGTCTCCTTCTTGGCTGATTCGGATTGGGCTTCCCTCAGTCTGTTTCGGAGACTGTCATTGTGCTGGGTCAGGTCGCGATTCTGCTTCCTGAGGGTGACTATCTCTTCGGCGAACTCTCGTACCCGCCGCTCTTGTTGGATACAGCGCTGCGCGACTGCCTCGAGCTTTTCGACTGTCAGCTGGTGCAAATGTCGTTGTTCCTGCTGTCGCATGCGCATAGAGTCAACCGTAGAGGTCAGGTGTACGCGAATGAGCTCAAGATCAGCCTCTGTGGCACTCGACGTATCAGGCAGAGGTGACGGTGCGGATTGACTTTGATGTGTTGTCTCGCAATCGCTCTCTTCGCTGGCCAGCGATTCCTCCTCCAATGCAGCCTCAATCTCGTCCATGGCTTTCTCGATCCTCCGTCTCTTTTGACCTCGAATCGCTGCATCCTGCTCGCACGCCCAAATTTCAGAGACTAGACCATTGAGGCGGTCAGCAATCGCAGAATCGTCTTCCGTTTCGCCAGGCTGCGAAGAACTCGATTCTTTCTCGAGAGGAGCTGGTGATCGGGTCCGCATACTAATGGCGGAATCAGCGAAAAGAGAAGTGTTTGTCCAGGCTGAACCGGGGCGGGTTGGGGATGGAGTGGCGGCGCCGTCAGGTTGATTGTTGGCCAGGGACATAATTGTGCAACTTTTGTGACATGTGCGACACCAAGTACGAGTAAATGATTTCCTCGAGTGTTGGAAAAGTGAATGAGCGCAGCCTGCCAGCTGGGCAGAATATGGTTTGGGCAATGATGCGAAGAATGTGCATGTGCCGCTGTACAAGTAGTTGTGGCTGGTGTTTGAGTGGCTGGTCGTTGATAGATTATTGGAGGAGGAACCAGGTGGGGTGTCGATTAATCATTTGCGCCGACGATGTGCCGGACTCCTCCTTGCACGCTTCGCTCCAAAACTAAAAGACAGCGGTGACTCTCACGCCAGTCCCACGCGTATTCCATGTTCAACTTTGCTTACCGCAAATCCTCCTGTACGGCCAGAGTAATGAAAATCCTACTCTCCGAGAGATAGCTTGTCATAAACGGCGAGCCTGAAGAACTAGCGGCTCTGATCCGATATGCCCCGTTGTTCCAGTGACAGGCCATAATATCCCCTCTGGTTCCCTCAGTCTGTGGTTTTCCTCCATGGTACTTTCTGCTCTTACAACCCCTTTCATCTCACTTCATGGCTCACATATACCAGGCAAAAGTTCAACCCTCCCTTGAGGAGGTTTCCTCCATTCTCTCCAAGTCCCGATCATCCAAATTCCCTCCGAATCTCGTACCGGTATGCGCTCAAATCCCCGCCGACCTTTTTACTCCCACACAAGCATATTTAAAAGTATCAGAGGGCTCGAAGCTGTCGTTTCTGTACGAAAGTGCGGCAACCACCGGGACAATTGGTCGGTATAGTTTTGTCGGGGCGAATCCCCTCAAAGTCATCAAATCCGGCCCAGGCCATGGACCTGAGGAAGATCCGCTCCCACGGCTCGAACAGGAACTCTCGCAGTACAGAGTCGCAACCGTGCCCTCCCTACGACTCCCGCCCTTGACCGGAGGGGTCATTGGGTATGTTGGTTATGATTGTGTCCGATACTTTGAGCCCAAGACGGCCCGTCCCATGAAGGACGTCCTGAAGCTGCCCGAGAGCTTCTTCATGCTCTACGACACAATAGTGGCATTTGATCACTTCTTCAACGTCTGCAAGGTCATCACATACCTGCGGGTACCATCGTCAGAGTCGACTTCCGACCTGCAGTCAGCGTATGATAAAGCATGCGCAACACTATACAGAACGGTTTCACTCCTGCAGGGAGAACACATTCCTCTGCCCTACCAACCACCCATAGCTCTCAATCAACCTTCTAAATCGAACTTTGGCAAGACAGGATATGAGGCGCACGTCACCCGGCTTAAGAAGCATGTGACCAAAGGAGACATTATTCAGGCGGTCCCTTCGCACCGTATATCACGCCCTACTACGCTCCATCCATTCAATATCTACCGGCATCTACGGACAGTCAACCCCTCACCGTACCTATTCTACATCGATTGCGAGGACTTCAGCATCGTTGGTGCATCGCCAGAGCTACTAGTAAAAGAAGAGGCCGGCCGTATTATAACCCATCCCATCGCGGGCACGGTCAAGAGAGGTCAAACCCCTGAAGAAGATGAGCAACTGGCCGAGGAACTGCGTAACAGCCTCAAAGACCGTGCCGAACATGTGATGCTGGTGGACCTGGCCCGCAACGACATCAACCGAGTCTGTGACCCCTTGTCCACTCGTGTCGACCGACTCATGGTGGTGGAGCGGTTCAGCCACGTTCAGCATCTGGTCAGTCAGGTTTCAGGTGTGTTAAGAGAAGGCGAGAACCGCTTCACCGCTTTTCGAAGTATTTTCCCCGCAGGCACGGTCTCGGGAGCTCCCAAAGTCAAGGCTATGGAACTCATTGCAGAACTAGAACAGGAAAAACGAGGTGTCTATGCCGGTGCGGTAGGGTATTTCGGCTTCTCCCATGTGTCACTCGACGGATCAAAGATTGAAGATGAAGGGGCAATGGACACTTGCATCGCACTACGCACGATGGTGGTGAAAGACGGCGTTGCATATTTGCAGGCTGGCGGAGGAATTGTCTTTGACAGTGTCGAGGAGGATGAGTGGATTGAAACAATGAACAAGCTGGGAGCGAATATTAGGACTATTGAGGAAGCAGAAAAAAGATATTTGGAGCTCGAAAAGTTGCGCAATGGAAACGGGGCTGGGCAGGCAAATGGTGTCGCTATCTAGACCAAGTATATATCAAGACTTATACAAGGCAGAATGCCACAGAATCTAAAATAATTCAGTCATTGTCGAATGGCTCGAGGGAGAATCCAGCATAAGGGAAAAAGGGATTGTGCGTAGCAATATTCGTTCTGAACTAAGCCTTTTACGGCCTAGCGAGACAAAGCTTGGCGGGAAATCGCACAGAGGAAATTATCCTGCATGGATTGAACTGATCATTTGTGAAGCGTTTACAGCATACACTTCTGTCTTTTCTTTGCCAATTCTCAACTGCTGGTACCTGTCAGGGCTCTCCTCAGTCTTGACAGTCCTGATCAGCGTATCGTCGACAAGATGAAGTTGAATATTTCGTACCCGGCCAACGGGTCGCAGAAGTTGATCGAAGTCGAAGATGACCGCAAGCTGCGCGTCTTCATGGAGAAGCGCATGGGTAACGAAGTCCCAGGTGACAGTCTAGGAGATGAATGGAAGGGCTATGTATGGTCATCTTGTCATATCTGTTTCCTCGCTATGTCGCGGATGAAAGAGTTGCTGACGGATATTGTGCGAGACAGATCTTCCGCATCACTGGTGGTAATGACAAGCAAGGCTTTCCCATGAAGCAGGGTGTTGTACGTGCTGCCATCCCTTAGCTTGGTGAAAGCGCCAGCGAAAACTCGACGAAGAATCCTCGCTGAGACTTGTTCATAACAGATGCTCCCTACCCGTGTCAAACTCCTCCTTTCCGACGGCCACTCCTGCTACCGACCCCGACGAACCGGTGAACGCAAGCGCAAGTCCGTTCGTGGCTGCATTGTCGGGCAAGATCTCGCTGTCCTCGCTCTATCCATCGTCAAGCAGGGCGATGGAGAGATTCCCGGTCTCACTGATGTGGTCAACCCCAAGCGCCTGGGTCCCAAGCGAGCCACCAAGATTCGGAGATTCTTTGGTTTGACCAAGCAAGATGATGTCAGGTATGTGTCTTGATACAAACACCTCACCACTGCATCGACATTTGCCAACATGATTCTACAGAAAATTCGTCATCCGTCGCGAAGTCGTGCCTAAGAAAGAAGGTGCCAAGCCCTACACCAAAGCCCCCAAGATTCAGAGACTTGTCACTCCCCAGCGCATGCAACACAAGAGACACCGGATCGCACTCAAGAGAAGACGCGCTGAGGCCGCCAAAGACGCTGCGAACGAGTATGCTCAGTTGTTGGCCAAGCGTGTGCATGAGGAACGTGAGAAGAGGACCGAGTTGAGGAAGAGACGTGCCTCCTCGATGAGGAAGGAGTAGACTCCCGAATCGATTTTGCAGGATACCTCTTTCACAATAGCTTTACGCATACTGTGTCGACCAAGGCATGAAAATCGATGGTTGTCAGCTCAGCCTATTGGAGACAAGGTCTTGTGTGATGGTACTCGGAGGCAAGGCAAGAAATGCCATCCCTGCGAATGATAGCCTCAGGTGTTGAAGATCAGGGATGGCTTGTGAGACTCTGGAGAGTGTGCACAGCGCAGAATGTGTGGTATCGTTTCAAATACTGATGGGAAACTCGTCTCAAAATCCTGTCTCGCAAGCGGCATGGGAGGGATAGATCAGGTGAAAAAGGGTCAATCTGGCAGAAGAAAAGACTGAACATGACCTCTTGGTGACACTTCTCACGCCGGTACTACTCTGTGCCCCTTCACTTGCCCTGTCATTTCTTCCCTTTCCATGATATTTGACCTCGCCGTGCTGCCCCGCATACCTCTTCTTTCTCAAACATCGATCTGTTGTGACTTGAGTCAAAACTTGGAACGCCCAGGATTGCCCACGGGTGGAAGACCAGTGACAACGCTGCAAATTACCCAACTCCCAAGTGCCCCGCCACGCCGCCAACCAGCGGCGCCTGAGTCAGTCTCGCGGGGAATCCCTACCCGGTAAATTTTTCGAAATCAGCTTAACTTTTAAATCCCATGCCACCAGACTTGATTGTCCCTCCTGCCCTTGTTACTGCCCTTCAGAATGCTTCGTCGGTGATCGCATCCACTCAAAACTCCTCCGAAGCCATGGCGTCGAACTCGATCAAGCTCTTGACTGGGAACAGTCACCCGGAGCTGGCGCATGCCGTCGCCAAAAGGTATTCGCTACCTACCCTCCATGCGGCCCCTTGGGTGGCATAGTCGGGTCCATTTTCTAGGCGAAGCTGACTCTTTTGTGCTCTCGTGTGTCCCAGACTGGGTATCGAGCTAGTCAAGATTATGGTGTTGCAATACTCAAACCAAGAGACCAGTGTCACGATCGGCGAGTCGGTCAGAGACGAAGATGGTACGGCATTCATTCCCTTTGCTGCGGGACAGTTGTTCTGCCTTTCTGGGATCTTTTGTGTGCAGGAGCCTAATTTCATCGCGAAATAGTCTTCATCCTTCAATCGACCCGACCAAACGACATCAACGACGGCCTGATGGAACTGCTCATCATCTGCAACGCCTGCAAGACCGCCTCCGCCCGCCGTGTCACCGCCATCCTACCGAACTTCCCCTATGCTAGACAAGATAAAAAGGACAAGTCGCGAGCTCCCATCACGGCAAAACTCATGGCAAACATGCTTCAGACGGCGGGCTGCAACCATGTCATTACCATGGACTTGCACGCTTCGCAGATTCAAGGCTTCTTCAACGTGCCCGTGGACAATCTCTACGCAGAGCCTAACAGTGTCAAATGGATTCGGGAAAACCTCATGCATGCGAGCGAGACCGGCTTGGAGGTGAACGGACCAAGGCAGGAGTGTGTCATTGTGAGCCCGGATGCTGGGGGAGCCAAGCGAGCCACATCCATGGCCGACAAACTCGATTTGCCATTTGCTTTGATACACAAAGAACGATCCCGCCCTAACGAAGTCTCGCGGATGACGCTGGTGGGCACGGTGCAAGATAAAGTGGCCATTGTGGTGGACGATATGGCAGATACCTGTGGCACACTCGCAAAAGCCGCCGATACGCTGATCAAACACGGGGCGAAGGATGTGGTTGCGCTTGTCACTCATGGTATCTTGTCAGGGAAAGCCGTCGAGACTCTGCGAAACTCGTCGCTGAGCCGCTTGGTCATGACCAATACGGTCCCGGTCAGCGAGGACAAGCTCGAAGCTCTCAAGGTTCCTGAAGGCCAGAAGGGATGCAGGCTCGAGTTTATTGACATTGCTCCCGTCCTGGCGGAGGCCATCAGACGGACGCATAATGGCGAAAGCGTGAGTTATTTGTTCAACAATCCGGTGTCATAGCCCGGAGATCACGATTCGCACACATGAAATTGCCGCCGCAACAGTCGTGGGATGGACGGATGGAGCATTCCAGGAATATTCACCAGTCGATGTTCCAAGATGTCTGCAAGATTAATGTTGCAGAAGGCGTTAGACATGCAAGGCTGCCAGTTCCTTCAAGACGTTGATACCCAGATATACTGCCTGTCTCTGCTAGGTTTGGAAGCCAGTCCCTTCCTTTTTATTACTATGGATACAGAACTCTCCGCATGGTCTCCTGGCTACTGAATGGATTTTTCTGATCGCCAAGGGTCGATTTGGAGTTGTACCTTTTTGGATAATTTGAGATGGAATAATCAAGGGCAGTTATTCCTCCTCAGCTTCGATGTCCTACCCTGGATGCAAACAATGATTGTTGGCGGGGTTATTTGAAGTTGGTTCAAGCAATGGTCAAGCCACGGCCCATGCACTAGCTACAGCTGGCTGGACTGTATGTAAAGGCCGTCAGAAACAGCGAGGACAAACTTGTGAAGAGACGTCGAATGTGAAGAGAAGCAGGAGTTGGAGGGGCGTTGGAACTATCGATGCTACTAGTTGACGTAAATGGGGTACGTTGGGAAAGTGGTTCCAGACGATTTCGAATGGATCTTTGTCGTTTTCTGCGTTGGAAATGGTCGGCATTTAAGGAGACTTTGACACACATACATCATCATCATATGAATCGAGCGAGAGGTTGTCACATTGGGTACAAGAAGATGCTCTGTTACTCAGGGATATGGATGCGGCATGAGAAATGCTTCAGCTAGCCACAAAAATAAGCTCAATGCCAAGGCCGCTAGTGGCTGGTCCAGAGCTTCGCCTTTATTAAACGGGCGCAGCCAAACGCAGCCCAACGTCGTTGACCGTCCGAGTTGATTCCTGATTCCTCCATCATCTCCCAGACGGACTCGGTTATAAACTTCGCCTAAGCAGGTACAGAGAAACGCTACACATGAATATGGACAAGTTCACTCAAGGCTGCACCTCCTCTTCCTACACCATGGCGTCTAGATCCTTTCTGTCTGCAGTTCCCAGTGGACGGCAGGTGACCGCCGGACTCTGTCCCTGACATGATTCTTTTCGGCTTCGCCCTCATCCGGATTCTCATGGCCATAGTTCTGTTCGTTGGGAACCCTCTTTTCGTATACGGTCCCCGATGGAGATTTCAAGCGGCCCGAGTCCATGCCAGGAGGGGAACTGGCGCAGACAACGCCGCATCTTCTGAGCACTAGTGGGATCCCGTTGTTCGTCCAGCTTGGTCTCGACCTGGAAAAAAGACCATGGCCTTCCTCTTTGAGATGGGCGAAGTAGCAAGAGCTTAGTGTCACAGCTTTGTGCCGGAGGTCTATATCACGACGTTCTACAAGACTTACTTGGCCAGATGCGTCGCAAGACAGCGCCAGAATCACTGATTTGGTGGCAATTACGAACCCATGGATAGGAGATTCAGCCCAGCCGGCTTTGAGGCTGAAGCCACCAATGGCGATCACTCCTCGTTCAGAAATTGAGATCGACATGGGGTTTTTAAGATGCCCATACGTCTCCCATGTCCCTTTTGAGGGTGGTGATGAAGGAGAGCTATAAAATCTAAAGAGGCACCGCTGTCCATCCTTCATATTTGTGCATTCCCTTTCGTGAGTACAGCTAGGTCATTGTCATTCTGATCTTGCCACTATTGTCTCCTTCCAACATGAAGTCCTTACTCCTGCTGCTTTCCTGTTTGGTTGCGACCGCCGCAGCGTCTGGCCCGGTTTGCTCTAGTGGAGTTTACGCATTGCTCGCACCTCTTCGCGGATATGCTCCCGCTCAGTCCTATTGCACCAGCCATTACCCACCGTCGACGGTGGTCACGACTGTGACACTGGTCAGCTCAGCTCCGGTCAAGGCCAAGCGACACTTCCAGACAACGACGACAACCAAAACGACCACAAAGGCTCCATCGACAACAACGGTGAAACCTCCATCTACCTCGACCACCAAGCCTCCTTCTACTACGACGACAAGGTCAACGTCAACATCCGTTGATCCCAAAGCTGCACTCTTCTCGACCTTGTTGTCCGAGGCTTCCGCCATAGTCTCGACCCTCTGCTCGTGTATCGAGAGCATTCCTACTAGCACGGTATAGTGGACTTGACTGTGATATAAGTGTCTGATTGATGACGTTTGTCTTCAGAAAACGATCACACCATCTACCACCACCACCACCACCACTACCACTACTACTACTACCACCACCACCACCACCACCACCACAAGCACCATTCCGACCACTACCCCAAGTACTACCACCACAACAACCACTACGACAACAACGACGGTAAGTGCTGGCTGAACCTATCAATGAGAATGCACGCTGACTTTATCAGACAACCACCACGACAAGCGCTGCGCCATCCCCTGTCTGCTCAGAGTAAGTATACTTCTTCCGCTCTGCCCCCTCCGAGGCGGCGGGTCTTGCGCAGCATTCAAATGACTCTCTATAGAAATCTCGAAGCCTGCACCAGCAGTTCCGACTGTATCAGCCTCGATGTCACGACAGATTGCACCTGCTATTCTCGCATCTCCGGCTGTGGAACTGACGGCGATGGCGTCTGTCTACCAACAAATCAATTCAGCACCCCCACGCCCTGCACCGACGATTCACAATGCCCGTTTCTGTCTTACTGTGTAGCCACCGACGGTGGCTCTTTCTGCTACAGCCAATTCCCGGCATGCGTGGGGGAGGCTGTTACCAAACGTCTGTTCCGTAGGGACCAGGATAATATGAGCAAGGCGAAGAAGATGCGAAGGAGGGATCAGGGGCATGCTGGTCTAAAGGAGATCTTGGAAGAACATCAATTGGCAGTCGAGATATAGTTTGCTATAACTCTGTAAATGGAGGGAGGATAGCTGTATGGGGATGGTGGAGTCACCCAAGCCTTCTAACTTGGTCAAGTCTTTTATCAACAAACATAATAATAATGCCTGCTTTTATACAAAAGCCCCCAAGACTCACTAGGCTCGCCCCGCCCCAACGTCGGAAAAATACCGAGGAATCTGTTCCAACCCTTTGGATCCCTTTGGGCCCCCTTTCTATCTTGCTAATCAGATCTCACCTCTGGTGCCTCCATCTTCCCTGGGTTCCCGAAACTCCCTGGGCTCCGCATATAGGGCTGCTTTTCGGGGTAGAGTGAGTGACTGGCTGACCCAAACCCTTCCCTGAACAGGCTGAGGCTGGCCCGTCATGTTCATCACCTACAATGACCTGGACGACATGCGCGATGCCCGCAAACGCTCGCAGATCAACGCTTTCGTCAATCGCGGTCGCAGAGTCAACAGGGCCAAACCCTCGACGCCTCGATCATCACACCCGCCGACAGCAGCACAATGGCACGCGCGCCATCCTATTCGAACTTCTACGCCCGTCACGGTCGACTCGGAATTGTTGGCCCAGGCCGAGAATATCGGGGATGGTCGAGATGGTCAAGAAGTTACCGACGACATCATCTACGCGTTACTGAGAAGGCGACGTCTTCCCAAGTTGTCCGTTCAATATGCCTTGGGTGGCCATCGCAGGGATCCATTTGCGTCCTTTCCCATACCTCAGTCCGGACAGATCGAATGGGCGGCCGATTTCTGTGAGTGCAACGCGGTCTGAAACATCTCTTGGTTAGAGATCAGAGCTGACGAGTCTCCAATCAGTCCTCCAAGACTACGCCGCCATGAATGCATCGCTATACGCCGATGACTCGGGCAAAAACTGGCTGACCGGCACGCTCTTCCCCCTGGCGCTGCAATCCGACATGCTCTTCGAGGCACTCATCCTTTCCATGGCGCGATATACCAACCCTGCCGGTCCCAACGCCCTCGTGCCAGGTGGTGTGCACTTTGCACATCTCCGTTCCAGCGTGCTGGGGAAACTCCATCGGACGCTTTCCCAGTCCAAAGAGATCTCGACCTCGGACACCACCATCCACACCGTGATATGTTTGATAGCTGCCGATGTCTGTTTGACCCTTTGTCCTTGCTCGGGAGAGACTGATACTGACTCCTCGGTAGTTCTTCGCCGGTCACGACGACCACGCATCAACCCACCTCAAAGGCCTCCACACGCTGGTTTCGCTCCGTGGTGGACTGGAGCATGGCAACTTTGACCGCCAGACGAAATACAACCTGGCAGGGTATGTTCTATGCCGCTCCTCTCGCCCTGTCTTTGAAGATGCTAATCGCAAAACTCCCTCTAGCACCGAAGCATTGTATTCATTTGCGCTGCAACGTATGCAGGCGGCGTCGGCCGAGGCCGTCAAGCCCGAATCCGAACTGACCTACCCCAAGCACCCGTTCTCGCCCGAACTGTGCACAGAGATCGCGACCCTGCCCCACGGACTCAGCGACATTGCCCTCGAGGGGAGGATTTCCACGCAGATCATCGAACTGCTGTGCCGGCTCGCCCACATGGCCCAGGAGACCCCTCTAACCAGACGCGCCACGACGGAGGAAATCTACCACGTGTCGGTCGACCTCATGACGCTGATCACGCGGACGACCGTCTCGCCGCTGGAACGGAGCATCTGCGTCTTCTGCTGGCTGTTCGTGCTGCGGGAGCAGCCGGACCGCAACGAGAGCCAGAAACTCTACGGCCAGTTCCTGGTCAACCTACGGCGGCGGATCAAGAAGACGGCCGAGTCGTTCATGGCGCTCGACGGCGCGAAGCCCGACTACGCCATGTGGGGGGTCGCCATCCTGGTCGTCGAGAAGAGCACCGAGCGCATCGGCCTGACCGCCGACGAACAGGCCGAGGTTTTTGAGGAGCTCCTCCGCCGACATCCCCCGGCCAGGCGCTGGAAGGACACGGTCAAGAGCCTCAAGAGGTTCTTCTTCCTCGACGCGTGGATCGACGAATACCGTGCCTGGTGGGACAAGGAGATTGAGAGGCATCGAAGACGACCGAGAGAGGAAGGACAGAGCTGACACGTTGTTCTCCCTACTGGAGCTAGTATACTCGGGCTAGATTGAGAGTGTCTGATTCGGTGTATGTCCCTTTTTCACCCACTGAATCTCGAACTCATGCTGGACACATGTCGCAACATCATGCAATATATGCACCCCTAGGTCGCCAATTCTCACATGCGGCCATCACGGCTCCATCACGACAATACCGCCACTCCTGCCCTGCTTCTCAGCCGCATCGAACGCCTGCTCCCACTCCTCCAACCTGAACTTGGCCACGACTCTTGCGCCTAGTGGATTGACACTGTCTGCGTCTCTGTGCAGCTTGACCACTCCAGATTCGACCAGGGCAATGAGCCGCTTGACGTCCGTGGGCTCGTACATCCACTTTCCCCGGACGGTGATGTCGTTGCGCATCAACACGCCGTGCGGCAGGACGACGTCATGGTTGCCACCACCCATGAGACACATCCTGCCGCCGTGCCTGAGGGCGAAGACCCCGGCCTTGAGGTGTTTCGAGTCGGCGGCCGCGGGCGGGGAGATGTCGAAGAAGACGTCGACGACGCCGCCCAGGGCCTGGAGGGCCTTCAAGTCGACCTCCCAGTCTCCCGTCAGCGGGACGGTCTCGACCCGCGCGCGCTTTTCCGGCGCGACGGCGCTTTTCAGGTCCGCGAGGATCTCCTCGTTGCGCCCCATGCAGATGACCCGGCCGGCGCCCAGCTCCAGACACAGGTGCGCCGCGGCGGAGCCGAAGCCGCCCGTCGCGGGGCTGACGACCACGGTCTCGCCGGGCTTGAGGTCCACGCACAGCGGGCCCAGCCCGCCGTACGCGACCAGCATCTTGGGGATGAACATGAGGTTGCCGAGCTGGTAGCCGAGTTTCCGCAGGAGCTTGTCCTCGTCGAGCGCGAAGCAGTTCTCGAGCGGCCACCGCACGTACTCGGCGTAGGTGCCGTCGCGCCAGGCGTCGCGGAACAACTTGGCCGCGGCGCTGCTGTTGCCGTGGGCGATGGCGCTGAGAAACGTGGCGCCCGCGGCGCGGTCGACGTCGTCGCGGCCCCGGATCGTAACGTCCAGGAAACACAGGTCCCCGACGTGCAGGGTCGTCGCGTCGGGACCCAGCGCCACCACCCGCGCCAGCGCCGTCTGTCCCAGCGTCAGCGGCGTCGGGTATGGGTACCGTCGCACCCCGTTGTAGATGTCCTTGGTGTAGCTGATGACCGAGGCCTGGAGCACGCGCAGCACCGCCGACCCCGGCGTCACTTGCGGGGTGGGGATGTGTTGCACGGTGGGGGGTTCGGCGTAGATTTCCTGGCGCAGGGCGCGGTGGGTCGGTGGGATGGACATTGTGGTGGATACTGTCTGTGTGTATAATGCGTGTATGGGTGGGTGTATATACCGAGTAGGGAATGAAGAGAGATATAGACAGTCTCGTTGCACTATCTCTCTTGTTTTCTTTGCAGCCCACTCAAAAGGGGATTTCCTGAGAAGAATTGGGGATTCAATGTGTGTGTGTGTGTTAGATGTATTGTTGAGAGAGCGAGGCTAGGAGGAGAGAGGGAGGAGGAGAGAGACAGAGAATGAGAGAGGGGAGTAAGAGGGAGTTCTTATACCTTTTCTTGAATGTATTGTACCTATGTATGTGCATCATCTTGTCCGCATCGTCATCACACACCCTCTCTCCGTGTGTGTGTCACTCTCTTTTCTCCTCCTCCCTCCCCTCCTCACTCTGTCTTCCTCCCCTGTTCTGGGAATCAATCAAGATGGGGGTTGCTGAATGAATTCCCCCGAACCCGACTCCGTCCCTAACTCCCTCATTGCGTCCCTCCGTCAGTATGTGTAGATTGAGTGACTGAATATGCACGACCGTCTTAACTCCGCCGAACCCCGAAATCAAGAAACCGGGCGATCACAAGAAGGGTGGGGGTAAAAAAAAACCAAAACGAGAAACTCTCCCACGGATGACTGTTGTGCTGGTCGCCAACTAACAATGTTAACGAGGTCAAAATAATCACAATGTCGATATAGAGGGGGGATCTATACCCTTTCCGATGGATGGGGTTTAGCGCTGGCGTGGGTGCCAAGAGGCGGTCACTAAAAGGCTCTAAGTAAAAGCTTACTGTACGGGCCACGGCACGTGCATGGCCAACCACGAATAGGGTAAGGGAGGGTGGAGTAAACCATTACCTCTTACTACTCGCAAGTACGAGGCACTAGGTAACCACGTAGCCTACGAGTAAGGTTATTAGGCTTACTTACATACCACCTATTCTTACCTACCAGCCTACGTGCCTATCTAGCCACCCTCCTGGTTACTCCCCATGAGACAGCGTCCTTGCAAGACAGCTTGTAACTAATACCTACCTTTCCTCTTCCTCGGTACTCCGCATGCTCCCTGGAACATGCGAGTTCTAAAACCCCTCACTAAGCGTTCCCTGAGCGCTCAGTGAGCAAACGCACCAGGGGCTTGGTCTGGCCCCTTGCGATCGGCTGGACATCTGTTTCAGACCGGCGACCCGGGTAGGTCACCATGGAAGGAAAACTGGACCGGACACAACCAGCAAGGACGGTTAGGTGAGGAGCCAGTTCGGGTACCGAAGGGACCTGGACCACGGGCCAAGGCTGAAGCATGAGGCTGAGACCATTAAGTGAGATACTCGTCTGGGACATAGGACAATGGGACGGGTTGCACCAATGAACCATATCCTGCCTGTTTGTCTGTATAACCACGCTCATTACACCAAGCACTGTTAGGAGTCCTTCGCAGTCAATAAACATTATTGCTCACACAAGATAGTGTTACCAAACCGTCTTTCTGCCAGGGACGAAGGGCGAAAATGAGGTGAAGATACAGTTGAATGGTTCTGACACTGTGTAAGGACCATCCAAAGCCATGAGCGTTACTGAACACGAGACGAAAAACGAAGAGCTTCCTTCAGAGAGACGGTCTCTCGAGAGGTTCTTATCCTTGCAGGGCCGTGGGTCCTTCGAGGGCGCTTGGAACGTCTCCTGAGACATCGAAATGTTCATGAAAGACTTTCGAAGGGGTCGGAGTGTTGCAGCCTTGCGCCCAACCTTGCGCACCAGTTCTCTCGTCCGGGCTTTGGTCGGTAACACCTTCACAGCTTTGTTCAGTACCAGCCTAGCCCGACCTCAAATAGAAGCAAGCGTTGCCCTCGTGCCCAGCGTACCGCCCCGGGTTCGTGACACCTCTCTCGCCGACGAAGATGATCTTCGCCGTATCCAGAGGATAACACCTTATACCAAGACAAGATTCATTTCCAACTCTGCGAACAAGACAGTCAGCAAATGTATTTTCTCTACGGCTATTCGTACATTACCAGAAACTTCCCGATCCGGGAATACCTCTGTTTTAAATCCAACATCTATTGAATCTGCGATATAATGCCATCTGTCCTGGTGCCCAGTTGAGATTCTATAGCCCAAGCCCTCTTGATGCCCAGTCGTGATATCCAAGACTCGGGTCCGTGTGACCGGCTGAGGTCCGTTTCCGTCCTGTGGAAGTCGGATTTCGATCCAACTGTGATTGTCAAACCAGGTTCTGTCTGGGTCCATGGGTTCCATGAGTGGCAGGGGTGGGTCTCGGCGCTTGTAGAAGGGATTGTTGACGATCAATTCGGCGGGGTGGCCAAAGAGAGGACCGGCCTTGATGTAACCGAAATTTTGCGTATAGATCCATTCTGTAGGGATGAACTATATGGCGTTCTTTAGCCAATGAGCCTGAGAAGTGACAAAACCTTGGCTACATGGCCAGTGTTAAGGGAGGGAGAATCAGGAAGAGCCCCAGGAAATACCTACCATAGCGTGATCTCGTCGATCTAGTCGACCCAATGCCCGGCAGCAAACCATGACAAGCGCCGCAAGGTCATGGCAGTTACAAGTGCGAACCTTTCTATTGAAAAATGAATAAAACTTGAAACCGTAACCGTAAAATCGATCCGAGGAGCCGAATTCCCACAAGTTTCCTGTGTTGTCCCTGAAAAGGGCTTGCAAATAATTTGACTTGCCACCTTTGATATCGTATTGGATTACACGGTGCTGTTCGTCACCCTCTCTTGCATGCCCAAATGCCCACATAGTAGAAGCAATGTGTTCGGCGTAGAAAGCGACATGGTTTTGGACTGCATTGACTCTGTCAAAATCCAGAATTACGAGACGTATTAGTTCGGTGACATGCCTGCCACCAAAATAATCAGCCGCAGGACCTGGGAAAAAGTAGGCCTCAATTCGAGTTTGTGTGTCCGATATCACCGAGTCCACTAACTGCTCGTCGTTGGTCAAAAGTAAGAGAGTCCAGCTCCAGAGACCAACGCACTTGAATGGTGCGTTATTTTGTTGACTGTCTGGTGATCTGGTGAAGTCTGTCGCTCGTACAACTTGGCCAGAAAAGATTACTCTTGGACGGCTTTCTATCTGAAAATTGCCCAAGTTGCCCCGTACTGCATATTTTGATGCTCCCCGGGATCTCAATGGAAATTTTCCGCGCAGTGTAAAAGGAACGTATGGGCTATATCCGAAAGCCACAGGAATGGTAGGATTGAAGATGTTTGTTTCACCAAGGGGCTCAGGGGGTAAATTGTCGTCGATACTTTGGATTTCTTGGCGATTATCCGACCCAACCGCTGGAACTTCAATAGATTCTACAACGAACGCGGCCGCCATCATTGATGACCGCACCAAGACGTTAGTGGCAGAAAGCTCCGAGCTGAGTTGGAAGTTGGAAAAGAAAGATAAGGGTGAACAGGAGAGTGAACGAGGTGAATTGATATAAACTGGCCGTTACTCAAGCCATGCCAAAAGAACATGCATCTCGCCTGAACGAGAAGACCTGACCTGGTGTTGGCCTCCATCCTCACGCGTACAACACTTGGCGGTAACATCAGAAGGAGAATGGGCAGAGAAGGGATAGCTTAAAAGCGCGTTGGGCATCTTTGCAGATAAAACAAGCCAGTATTGCTGCCTACAAGTACCTCGTACTTCACATGGATTCGTTCACTTTGGTGGGATTGGGTGAGGTCATCTGTTTGCATTCGAGCAATCGGTCCAATTGGGGGCGATTACTCAGCGCCTCAACTCCCGTAGCGATCCGATGGGCACGGTTCACAGGTGGCTGAAAGCTGATTGGTGACATGGTTCAGCACTGAAGTGGGGGTGCTAGAACGAACACAACTGAAGCACGTGATCGACAAGGGATATCGCTGATCGCCTGAATGCGCCACCGCAGGTTGGGGTTTTTAGGCACTTCACTACCAATTCTCCGCAAGTCTCCACTCAATATTCCCCTTCAACTTCCATCCAACCTGGGTTCGTGCCATCAATATGTTTACTGTTTAGGTGCTACTCTGTAAATTACTTCTTTGCATATTTACCTTCCCTTGGTACTTGCTCCGAGGGTGCACTATGACTTCGAGGCTGTTTAACCCGGGGTTTCCCTATGGGCTCTGGGATGAAGTTAACACAAAATTCAAAGATTCTGCAGCTTCAAATCCACCATTATCACCACAAAGCACGAATGCCCCATTGGATCAATCAACGCTCGAAGCATTGTTGGCGCACATACCTCAGGGCGAAGTCGAGATATCTACACTTGATACGAATGTCACTTGCGCATGGTGTAACGTTCTCTACAGCGTTGACATTTCTACAACTGGCGGCACAAAAACGAGGCTACTCGTCGAATTCACTCGGTGTCGCAATGCTTCTCTTGCCGAAGACTACATGAAACATTATTTGGCCTTGTTTGAAAGGAGATTGTCCGACGGAATATGGCCTGCTGGCATTGGGACTCATTCATTGCGAACCGACACAAGTGTATTCTGGATACGCGATACAATATTCGCAAAGGTGTTTGTAGATGACTTTTCTAGTACGTGTGCTCCCGAGCAGTCATTTCCCCTTGCAACTCTTAGGGCATTAAACATACCAAACGAAATACCCAAGGGACATGCTAACATTATTAATTTAGCTGATATGCCCTCCGACCGCCTCAAACATCTAATCCATAATGTCGCCAGAAAAATCGATGAGCACCTTGAAAAATACTCTGTCAGTGAGGAAAATCAAACCATACCTCATGCAACCCTTCAGACAGCGAGAAATATGCTTGTCGAAGTAGGGCAGACCTTCAAAGTTCATATCATGGATGCCGGAGATCTCCACAAGGTCAAGCCATCTCTGATAGAACACACGGACCTGGTCACACAGGTTGGCAGTGGCTCTGCTTCGGGAGAGTACACATTCTTCGCCTTGAAATATGGAAAAACAGAAATCACACTGCCTATAGCTCATGCAAAAACGTTGGCAATGAAACTTTTGAAGTTGACAATAGACATCTGCAAAGGCCCAGAGAAGGTGGCCGAGGATGATTTGAACAAAGCACGACAGCGCGAAGAGATTTCTGAATCAGAGCATGAGCTACTACACTCAGTTCTGTTTGACGAACAAAACCGGACAGAGCCAATTCCAGGAGACTTGGTTGTCAAAATTACAAACGTCCTCTGTGCGCAAGTGATGATCTGTCTCCTCAACAGACAGGGACTGGAGATCCAAATTCCGGAAGATGCCATTATCGCAATTGCAAGAAGATTCGACCACCGAGTAATGGCCTCTTTACTGGAAAAACGTGGGCTAACAGAACCGCTCACTAGAGATGTGATCGAAGCGGCAGCAGAGAATTCAGATGGGGACAAGATAATACAGGTCTTCCTTCGAGAGGGATTGGACATTCCGTTCACAGAAAAAGCGATGATTCAGATTGCAGAACGATGCAGTCGAGTTCTAATGATCGATTTACTTCACAGATACGGATCAGAAATCCGCATTCCAGAAGAAGCCATTATCGCAATTGCAAGAAGATTCGACCACCAAGTAATGGCCTCTTTACTGGAAAAAGGAGGACTACAAGAACCGATTACCAAGAAGACAATCGAAGCGGTGACAGAGAACTCAGATGGTGGCAAGATAATAAGGGCCTTCTTTCGGGAAGGATTGGACATATCATTCACAGAATATGCGATTGTTCAGATTGCAGAACGATTCGATCGAGATCTAATGATCGATTTACTTCACAGATACGGATCAAAAATCCAAATTCCGGCCGAGGCCGTTGTCGCAATTGCAGGAAGATTCGACTACCAAGTGATGGGCTCTTTACTGGAAAAAGGGAGACTGGAAGAGCTACCTACCGGAGATGTGATCAAAGCAGCGGTGGAGAATCCAGACGGTGAAAAAGTGCTACAGACTATATTAACCCAAGAAGAATTGCAAATTTCAATTCCCGAGACAGCAATGGCCGACATTGCAAGAAAATTCGGCCATCAGACGTTTGAGCTTGCTCTCAAGAAGCAAGGATCCAAAGTGCGGATTACCAGAGAAATAATGGACGCAGCAAGGCACAATTACGACAATACCAACGGAATAATGAAGCTTCTCCTTGCACAGTCAGGAGTGAGAGACCTGATTGAAGGAGAAGAACTTGTTTCGTTCGCAAGATATTTCGATGAAGAGTTGATGGATCTTTTGCTGACTTCGTTAGCACCAGAGGTTCAGGTTGACCCGGGGGTACCACAGAGAATGGTCAAAGCAATCGAGGTAAACAGTAAGATTGAGGGTCTTGATAAAAAGAAAGCCCTTGGAGAGAGGATAATGTCGACCTTCGTTGAAAGAACTACAGTAGTGGTGTGACCCAGGCACCAGGTCCAACCCATGTGGTTCACGGCTGCTGAACACATTCGGGCAAGTCAGTCCGATTCAGGGACTCTGGCAACACGTAACTTCCGGATCGGACTATGGGACCATGGGACAATGGGACCTGTTGTACCTAGGTAGGGAGGGGGGTCACAGCTGCAAGTGAATGTTGCCTCGAAAAGGGCAAGTCCTTACTCCGTACTTACTCGCACCAGTAACATCCAATCCCAGGTACTCGGTAGTATTATTACTCGTAGGTGCTAACCTCTCTCATTAGCTCTCATTAGGGAGGATTTGAAAGGCTGAAGACCGATCCATGGATGATGGAGGATCGAGGATGGATATTAGATGGCGAGATGGATATTGGACACATCGAATCCCCTAACTCCAGCCAATCACCCACTTACAAGGTCTGGGAAAAGTAAAAGTAAAAGTACAAGTATATGATGACAAGATGGCTACCTACGAGTAGGTATCTCTCAGAGGTAAATGGCGGCACGGGATCGGGCCATCTATTTGACCCTGCCGACTAGGAATGCCCTGGTCATCAGGTCATCAGGTCACCCATGGATGGCCTTCTGGACAAAAGAAGCACAGCAGCTCCTTTGTAGCCCCTCGATCGATACATGGCCTCACTCGAGCTACCCACTCGTAGCTGACGAGCCAAATCCTCCCGCCTGCGCCATTGACCACCCCAGACCGACGCCGGACCCCATTGTATCTTCCAACGCTTCCAACGCTTCAAACTGAATATATTCCTGGTACCTCTCAGCGACGCTCAAAGGAGCACAACAATCTCCATTCAGCGGCTCAACTTCAGACGCCCGTGGAGATCCTCCTCCTCCTCGCCCTCGTCTGAATGGCATCCTTCTCACTCCCCACAACATCCTCCACTTGCGCCGTCAACCCCAACACCTTTGCAGACAAAGATTTCGACCCAGTAGGCAGGGGAATGTTTGTCGTCTTCTTTGGTGCCGGCGTCCCATTCACACTCCCACCATTCAATTTCCTGAGTCGGCGCACCTTTTTGACCCCTCTATTCTGTTGGCGCAGAAGCGAACGCAGCTGCTCGACTCCCTCCTTGCCTCCTGCTCCTCCCTCCGCCTCCGAATTGCTGTCCACCTCTGAGTTGCTGTCCGCTTTGCAACCCTCGTCCTCTCTCACTTCTCCCATCACTGTTTCGTCAACAGTGCTCTCCTCGACTTCTCCGTGAAAGGTCGCAAGCTTCTCGGCCCAAGCCACCTCTTTTCTCTTGCTACTCTTCTTCGTCGGCCTAGTCTCTGGATTTGGCTGTTCTGCCCCGGCCTCTTCCGAGAACTGCCTAGCCTTCTGCTCAGCATCCATCTGCAGCAACCTGACCTTTGCCGAGACTGCCCCGTTCTTGTTACTCTTAGTGTTTGTACGGGTGGTCACCGCAAGCGATTCAGCTTCGTTGCGGGCGGCGATAAATTCGGTACCATTGAGCCGCTTGAGGGAGATAGTGTTCGGAAGGCTTGTGGCAGGTTTTTGCAGTCTTGGAAGTCGGGTGAAGAGTCGAGAGCTTCGTCGAGGAGAGACATTGACTTCTGGTTCTGGAGCTGTGGCAACAATCGTTGGTGTTTCTTCACTGTCGGTAGCTTCCGGGGGAGTACTGGTCACATCTTCAATGTGAGAAGAACTTGATTTTTTCATAGATGGGTCCGCCGATTCCTCCAGCTGCGTTGTTGTATTTTCCTCGGATGCCTGTTCTTTAGCTGCCTTCCGTGCGCGAGCTCGAGATAGGAAATCATGCAGGTAGGCTGTATCGTCGTGATCGGGAGGGCTAGCTACGGATTCAATCGGGCCAAAAATGCTCGAGACAGTGAAAGAAAAGTGTGCGTCTTGATGTCCATTTCCACATGAGGCAAGGTCCTCGTCGAGCGCCGGCATAGATGCATTTGACGAGGATGGCATGATTGCAGGCGGAGGTGAAGAGGTGGAAGAAGTGTTCATCAACTCAGTGATGGGTGACAGAGGTTGAGGCAAGTCCGCTGCCTGGATAGGAGCTGTGACACTGTCTAAGACATGCAAAGGTTTCGTTGTAATATTACTGTTTGCAACCTCGATCCGGTCCTCTGCTCCATCGTGATTTCCGAGGACAGGTGAAGCCGTTCTGTGTTCCGAGATCCCGCAGTCCTCGTCGTCCTCGATGCCGTCGTCAGCCTCACTAGAAGTGTTTTGATCTTCCCGATCCATTGCAAACACCCCACATCCCAAGACCTTCCGTTTCGGACTGGGTGTCGTCATTCCATCCTCGTCCCATTTAGAGGCGATGTAGTCGGCATTCTCTTGATCCTCCTCTCCACCGAGATGGGCAATTCTCAATCTCTTGACCGGCCGTGTGGCCAGTCGCCTGTTCTCCTTCCTCCAATTCTCCCCAACGTTCGCCCCGATGGCACCCAATGGGACGCGTTTCCATATCTTCTGTGCGTCGTTTCGCGCCACAAACGGTGTCGCTGGCCGCCTCTCCCACGCTCTAGGTAGGGATTTGACTCGCCGAGGGGTAAACGTGTAAGGGCGTGAAGGGCTGGAGGTGTTTTCCTTGTCCGGTTCCTGCGTCGGCGTGGAGTTGGCGAAGTAGGGCGAACGACGAGGTGACGTCTGCTGGGGCGAGCGTAAGCAAGTCGTTGATGCGCTCTCGCTGAGAGCATAAGTTCGCCGTGGCGAAGGAGTGTCAAGCGCTACCGCTGCGGCCATATCAATATTTTCCGTGCGTTTGTTGATTCGAATTGAGTGCGGCGCCAGAACTTTAGCCAGTCAATAAGCGATCTGGATGCTGGGGCGATATATAATGAAAGCAATACGCGGATCTGAGTCTATAGATGAGAATCACTAGCTGACAATAGCGACGACCACGACTTCTGGCGCGCGCGCCGTGCTGAAGCGTGACTTGATTGCAATAATGGCGCATCAAATGGCCATCTGCGCGACGGGCCAATGTTTATAGTGACAAAAAGGGCCTAGTCTGTCTCGGCATACTTGGCTTAAACGAGCACTCAACATCAAATACCTCATCAACTCATCCTCCAACTCCTGGTAGAGCACAAAATTCAACACGAACAAACACTTCAAGAGCAATTAATCATGTGTTTTCTGCGCGTGGGCAGCTCGCGTTAGGCCGTTTGCCATGACTAAGTCTATGCTTTCATCAAATCATTTACACGAACGTAACCCTCGGACCTTGACCTGACCCTCCCGTTTTTGAAACCTCCCCTCCCAATCTTCTGTTATTATCACCAAAGTGAACAGCCATAACTGTCCAACTTTCAGAGCCTGTAAGCATAGGCAACGTCCCCGACCCAACCTCCACAAAGTGTCAATCGCTATGCAAAACATGCTCGTGCTGGTGTACAAGGAGGTTTTGTGTATACATGACTCATTCGATCTCCCATTCCAAGGTTTCCGTGATATCCCAGGACGCCAATGACATAAAAAGGAAATGTCGTGCCAGTATGCGTGTTGTGGGTCTTGTGCCACGCAGAACAACGATGCTAAAGACAGTCAAGAAAGGAAATGTTTCGAAAGATTAGTCGCGCTCATTTAGTGCTGTTGATAGTACATATGGGGGATGAACTCGGCTGATTCAATCATGGGTCCACGTGGGTAGGCGGTAGGTGGTGCACTTTGCGGCGCCATGGTGACTGGGCTGTCATTGACAAAATTGGCATATTCCCAGGTAGGCATGCGTGAGGCTGGAGCAGTCATCGGATGGGCAGGCATGCTCATCATAGCTTGGGTGACGGGAACTCCGTTGTGATAGATGTACTGGCCATTGACGTCGTAGGCAGGGACGTACTCAGGTACCTGCAACTGCAGCTCGGGTGGTCCAGTCACAACTGGTCCAGGGACGCGCATCTGGACAGCTTGGGGGAGATATCCCATCTCGGCATTCATCTGATACCCGGCATGGGCCATGTATTCTGGATGGGGCGAAGATGGATATTGATATTCGGTCAAACCCTCTCCGCCGTACATAGACGAAGCAGGTGTGAGGAGTGGTGCCGCAGTGGAAGAATAGCTGGCAGAGTACTTGGAAATGATCTTCTTCAATGCGGTGGCCAGAATCTTCCACGGAAACACCTTGACATCTTTCTCGATGTTGCGTGGCTTTGGGTGAGGGAAGCCCATGATAACCTTGAAGAATTCCTCGCTGTCCTGTCGAGCCTTGGAAACAGTCAAAGGGCGGAAGCCTTCGAGGTTGCGACGAATTCGGTTCTTCTCCTCAACAGTGAAACGAACCCCGACCAGGGCTTCGAGAAGATAAATGGTGTCAACCGAGGTGACATAGAACTCGTTCTTCTCTTTCCACCAGATACAGCTGATGCAAATGCTGCTGGCCTGGCGATCCTGGGGAGTGACTGGTTTGAAGCTCGCCGTAATAGTGCTGCCAGACTGTTCTCGTTCGAACACGACGAGACGCCGACGAGCGTCCTTCTCTTCTGCAGTCCAGTCTTCTTTCATACTGTCCAAGTCTCCTTTCAGCTTGAGATTAGCCTTGAGGTTGGACAACGTATATGGATTGAAGGTCTGCGTTTGTCCAATAGCTATCGTGGAGCAAGAAGCTGTTGGTGAGGGCTGCATGGTCGAGGTCCGCACCAGCTTGGGCACTGACGACTTCAAAGGAGAACTTGTGGTTGGACGGGGAATGGGAGTCATGGGCGCAGCAGGGCTCTGCTCACTCTTGACAGTGGTGAAGGATGGACTGAAAGCAGGCGTGTTTGGAGAAGGAGCAGCCAACGACACCTGAGATGCAGTTGAAGTTGAATAGTGATGACCAGAGGGTCTGGGAGACGCGCCATGGCTAACGCAGCTAGGAATGCCGGCGCTGCCAGTAGGGGTCGGCACGAATGGAGAATAAGGGGATGTTTGACCGCTAATGTCGTAGTAGTCACCGTTGGGGTCCTGGACGTGAACTTGGGCAAGGACTGCTCTCTTCTGGGCTGGTAGATCGTACTCGTCCTCAGTCGAAGCCTTGCGTTTGCGGGGGAGAGTTTGAATACTCTGAGATGAGGGGATGCGCTGGTGATGCGCATTGGCCACTCTCACGTCCCCATCTTTCACATCTCTAGACTCCGCACAAGGGCCATTGCCAGGAAAGCTCTTCTCGGAGATATAGTCGTTTCCAGCTATGTACTGGAAGTCGGCTTCCTGTGGGTTTCCAGGTTGGAGAAGAGGGTGATGATCATACGGAGTGGGAGGAAAACTACCGTAGAACACCTGATTGTCGATGGCAGGAGGTTCAAACTCTATGACATGAGTCAGTGACAGATACTTCCACATCAACGAAGGGATGACCTACTTATGAGCCCTGCTTGACCCGGTCCATCATAGCCAGACATGGAGAAGAGCTGACCAGGTTTGGCCTCGAGGCCGTCCTGGAACTGACTTGCAAAATGCTCTCCAGCAAAGACTGCAGGATCGTATGAATCGTCGACTATGAATGGAGTGCGGAAGTCGGGGAACGACTGAGAAACGTGTCAGTATTTGAATCAGTCTGGGAGGAGTGACACGACACTATGATGGTAGAGGCCAAGACAAGGGCAGGGGGGAACGCAAGATTGGACTCACCTGAAAGTGGTTGAAAGTTATGGACGCCAGCTTGACGGTATTTTGGTAAATTTCTTGGGACAAAAAAATCACTAAGCGAGCGACTGTGTGCTAAACGAGTGTGGTGGGAGGCTAAATGGCGCCTCGAATCAAAGCGAGTGACTGTTGCAAAATGCTATCGAGATTCGAATGTCTGGGATGTCAATATCGACTTTCGCCAGGGGTGCATTCGAAGACGGGGCGAAGAATTTCAAAGGCTGACTGAGGACTCCTGAAGAGCAGGAGTTGGCGGCTGGCTGAGAGCACCAATTGAGACGAGATGCGATTTAGACCGACGTCGCCAGTTTGAGCGATGTGTGATGAAGCCGAGAACTCGTCGATCCCGAAGAGGTTTGGGAGTCGGGAAGGTGAGGCAGATTTAATCTTGAGAACAAAGAATTCCAACCGGGTGGAACGAACTATCAACACTGATCAGCCAAACTATCGCCAGGCCAGATGGAAATCCAGGTTACCAGGATCTTCCTGTGTAAGGGATGCTCACCTCTGTCAAGATAGATCGAGAAGAGATTGTGGCAAATATCTGTAACAGGTTCCGAGAGCGGGTCGATTTGGGAAGTAAATCCCTCTTCTACCACTGGCAGGAAACCAACTGTTATCGAGGGCGTCAGTGAGACATTCAAGAATTCATCGAGGGGAAAATGAAAGATAATTTCAATGCCCAGGCAAGGACATGATGTGCAAGCAAGGAGTTGTCTGGGTCTGTCTTTTTCGACGTACCCAGAGGACTCCAAGGGTGGCAACTGATACACTTACCCAGGAGGCCGATTTTCCGACTTGAACCAGAGGTCAGGAACCCAAAGGCGATCCAAACCCTTGTACCCTTTTCGGACGGGTCTATCCGTCGAGTTTTGCCAGGTAAGTCGTCACCAAACGGGTGGTTGCGCAGCGAAAGAGTTGTGAGATGTGAAGTTGCCCACGAGTTTCCAGCCTTTATTTCGTGCAAATGGAAACACAGAGGAACCACGAATGTTCCAACTATCACTCGTACACCGGACAGGAGTCGAGTAAATATCAATAGCTCTCTTTTTCCACAATCAAATGTGGTTTCTAGGCTGTGAAATTGAGAGGTGGTGGATTGGAAGGATTCTGGGATCGGCTGATTTTGAGGGGGGGGCTTTTCAGCGAACCAATTCGAAAAGCGAAGGACTTGAGCGATTGATGTCCAACGAGGGGATATTCGAAGTCGTGAAAAGCGAGTGTGTTATTGTCTTCAAAGTCGAAGTAAACGAAAGTATGGTCTGCGAACAGAACCAGAAAACTTGGGTTGAGCGAAGGTGGTGAGGGATGAAAGGATGATGAAGCAAGTGGAGCGGAAATGGAAGAAGAGGAGCCGAGGGCCAGGAGGGGGGAATCAAAAGGCTATATCGGCCTCGACTCAGCAGAGAGAACAAGCCCTAACAGGTAGAGGCTGTGAAAAGCCGCGAAAGGCGAGGATGGCAAAAAGACGGATCAATCAGGTCACGCAGAAGTGCTCGGCGAGGGAACGGGGGAGACGTTTGTGTGCGGCGAGCGTGAGGCAGGTTCGGTGGCAGTGAGCGACTAGTGGGCTGATGGAGAAGCGCAAGAGGTCAGTGTGGAAAAGACTTGCTGCAGGGAGTGTGTGGTGGAGGTGGGCGGAGGGGCTTACCGGGGTGTCAGTGATGGGCAGGTTAGCAAGGTGGATATGGAGCCCAGGGCTTGCCAGGTGAGGATAGATGGAGCATTGGAGGATGGACACGACGGCACGGCTTTTTGTCGACCTTGCTGCTACTCGCCCTTTTTTTTTTGCGAGGGATGCGAGGGGGGATGAAGGGAAAGGGAAAGGGAAAAACGAAAAGACAGGATTAGCACCAAAAGCGGAGACCAGCCGGAAGAGCGACTGGTGAGTGGCTGACACGACCCAAGGTTTCGATCACGGATCGAAGAACAAGCTGGTGGCAGCAAGTCAAAGACGGAACACACCCATCAAGTCGCTTTTCCCTCGTACAAGAGCCAGTTGAAGCGTGGAGTGATGTGCTCAGTAGCCGTCTTATTCATCCTTTTTTTTTTTCTCTCACCCACGAAGTCTCATGCCCTTGATCTCAACACGACTTTTCTCCGACAAAAGGGAGGGTTGAGGAGGCCGTCACGTTGTCGTCACCAGCGCTATCGGCTTCACGGCCACGGGTGCGGCCATGGTCATTGACTTTCAGCTCAGACAGCACTTGTACATACTTTGTACAAATATACCACTAGATACTCCCTTACCGCTAACCCTCTATTTGCTGTCATTTTACCAGACCCAGATTTGTCCAACGAAATAAGAGAAGAATGGGGAAAGCAGAGGCGGGCACTGCGGGCTAGAGTGGTTGGTCGGATGGTTGCGATGTGCAGATGCGCGGCAGGCAAGGAGTAGCCTGTGTGAGCTGTGTGTGGCCGGCAGCTGGCGGCATTGTAGTAGTGGACATTGGCCTCTTGCAGGTTTTTTCGTTTCTTTTTCGTGTATTGATACGTGTGCGTGTGTGTATGTACGAGCCGACGGCCATGATTCCATGACAAGCTGGAGTCAGGGATCATGATGGAAGAGAAAACAACCACACCGGGCCAAAAAAGAGATCCACCATGGTCAGTGGCCACCCAGAGGGATCACCAACCTCAAAGGCACCAAGGTCAAAGGGGGAATAGTAGTTTTAGTGAGCGAAAAAAGCGTGGCAGCCAAAGAACAAGCATTGCCAGGGGAGGATGGGATGAGAGGCTTGCACAGCCGCAATGGATGGGTAAGAGGAAGCCGAAGCTGGAAAGAGAGGAGAGAAAGAGGAGGAGAGGGGCACCGAAAAGGCACCAGAAATGGAGAATGGCTCCCTGAAGGCTGCAGCAAAAAGTTCGAGGGATGAGGTCACCCATTGCCCACCTTACTGAACCCGCCTGTCCTATCACTTCCCTATCGCCCAGCCTAAACCCTGGGTGGTTAGAGAGGGGACACTTTGATACCACTGGTGCACTGGGCTGCTGCTCTCCCCCCAGTGGCCCTTGTTCCCCTAGCCCTAGCCTCGAGTCTGTAGCCCCCTATGAGTTTGTAGGCAAGGACTTGTAGGCCTAACAAGCCCTTTAGGTGTAGCTCATACGCGCTCTGGTACCCGTACAGGCCTATCCCTGCCCCTGAAGACCCGCATCTCCGCATGACTTTCCCCCTTGCTAGCTGGTGGCCCCCGTCTTCTAAAGATAGACCACCAGTGACCAGCAACCGCCCAAAACCAACGAGTCGACGAAGTTCTAGTCCTGGCCTTTGGAGACTGGCTTTCTGTTACCCTCTGGTGCCTCTACTGGTCGCTGCTCGCCTCTGCTGGCCTCTGCTGGCCCTATCCGCCTCCAGCGACACGCCCTCTTCCAGTTCGCTCGTCCGTCGCAGCATTGGCCGTTTGCGGAGTCTTTCTCAACGTCACCAGAAGCGACCCTTGGCTATTGGCTGGTGGATTTCCTCGGCCTATGAGTAAGATATCGCTTCTGCTCTGGCATCTGTGTCCAGCGTTTCACGTTGTGGCAAACACATCTGGACAAGAGAGGTGCTCCGACCGGATCGCGTCCACAAACTGCGCTGGTGGTTTGCTGGACGGAGACCATTTCCTTGTTCGACTTGTCTGCTGGAGGTTTGCAAAGAATTGATCCTCGGTGATTGTCCTTGTTACCTGGTCTTCGTCGACTCGTCCAATACGGCTCAAAGGGTTCGCCACTCCTACGAAGTACGAGAGGGAGAAGACACTGCCACAACCCACTGGGGCTACACCACCCACCTATGCCGAACAATTTATCCTCGAACCCATTTGTCGCTCTGTGGCTCTTTTATTCCCTTGTGGTCTTCGGTTTGGCCGGTTCCTGCCGGCTAAACGCCCTGGAAAGGATCGTGCCGGCTCATGCAAGAACCGTCTCCCAACTGGCCCCTCCAAAATCTGAATCTCGAATTGTTAGGGGGAGAAAGGGCAGTTCGCTATCCTTGCATACCGTACCTCCATATTGCATACCGCGGTCGCACGGGCCACGTCCCTTCAGCTGGACTATCCCTTGTTTCTCCGACCCTCAACTGCAGCTTAAGCGAGGTTGGAAACACCATTAACGGCCCTGGAACTACCGTGTACGTGGCCAAAATGCCCAGCAACTTCTCAAGCCAGTGCTCACTATGACACTGACTTGAGTCTGGGGAACTTCGGCCGTTCATCGCCGGTGTCGTCTCCCAAGCCCGCCAAAAGCTCGTGCCGCGACCAGGGGGCGGATGCGGCGCAGTCTAAACCCGGGACAACTACTGCACAAACATGCCTCCGTTACATGACTGGGTCACAGTACTTGATTGGTACTGGTACGAGAAGTGTTGAGGCCTGAAGAATCAAAGGAGCCAGGAAATAGGTATCATGCTGCCATTGTTTGCTCCGCCAGCCTAAACTCGTACAGTACCAAATTTCTGACACTTGGACATTCCCATTCCGGTCCATGCCGGATCGAGACTCCACCAACTGCTCGCGAAGCTACGAGAGAATGTTCTTGCTCCGTTGTGGGTTGTCCAAAGGCAAAGTCCCCACCGACTTTGTCACATCGTCTTGGTGAATGAATACTGAACAGCCCATTGAGATTGTCAATCGCGACGTGGACCCATTCTACAAAAGGTCTGATCAGACTTGACCAGTCTCTCTACGAAGCACCAGGGTCTGTCTCGCCATCTCCATTTCCGCTGGCCTCCGTGGCCCTTGTACTGTACTTGTTACCCTTCATGATATCGCTCCGC